GCCCTGGAGTGAACTAACAAGCCCCTATTATTAGCTTAAGGTGGTTTAAGTTGGGTTTTGTCACATGTAATCCAGAGAGTTCTCAGCTCAAACACCTACAGGCCCTTACTTCAGGATTGAAGCTTGTCTGCAGAGCCCAGGTGAGGTCTGCTTACAAGAGTGAGAAGTCCTGGGCAGGAAGACAGCCCAATGCAGAAAGGCAAGGCCTGGACAGAGGGGATCCCGGTGGAAGAGGAGGAAAGCTAGAGTAGAGGCCATCCAGCATCTGGGGCTGGCAGCCCAGGCTGACATGATGGCATTGAGTTCAGCACCGTGGACAGCAGTGGCTTCCCCACACACAACACTGAGGGCCCAGAGGAGGAAACAGAGATCTCCCACCCACCTAGGAGACACACGACAATGAGGTTCATCTTGAGGCTGTGGACAGACTCCTGAGAGATGTCACAGTGTCCTGTGTCTTGAAACAAAAACTCTTCTAGGTACTTAAAAATCCCCCTTTCCTGGCCTTGCCATTTTCTAGGGTGGTGTTAGGGTGGAGTTGTAGTTCTGAAGAAGAAATCAGATAATGCATCCATTATAACAAAGGAGCCAACACAGGAGTGAGATGAGGGTGAGAGAGGTCCCTGGTGCTGGATGTGCATCAGGTATACAAGGCAACTGAGTCAGGTGGGTACAGAAGGAGTGACACAACATTAGTTATGCTTTGCTGGACTAAAATATTATTCAGAAGAAAGGTATATTCTCTTATAGTTTCTGAGGGGTAAACCTGGAAGCAGATGGGCTAGCTGGTTCTGGCTCAGTGTCTCTTATGAGGTTGCAGTCAAGATAATGGCCAGGGCTGGGGGCACCTGAAGGCTTGATCAGGGCTGGGGGGTGTACTTCCAAGATGGTGCCCTTGTATGGTGACTGGCAGGTGGGATCTGTTCTCTGCCATGTGGACTTCACAGAGCAGCTTATAACACAGCAGCTGACCTCTCAAAGTGAATGATGAGTGGGAAGAGGGGGAGAGGGAGCACCATCAAGAAAAAAGTCCTAGTGTGTTTTAGGCCTAGCATCAGAAGTGACACACCTTCACTTCTGCACCTTCATACACGTCACACAGATGGCCCGAGTTCAATGTGGCCAGGGGGTTATATCAGCCCCAAGAGGCCATCTTGGAAGCTGGCTACCACAGGCTCCAAGAAAAAATAAATAAATTCAAGATGCCCTGATGCTTTTAATGTACCAAAAAGGGATTTATATTTCTATTGCAGAGTTTGAGAATAACTAATGGATACACAGAAAATAACCAAGCCCAAAACATAAGGCAATTATCAAGTGCAGGAAAAACAAAGAGGTTGTACAAAAATGGAGATGTAACTACATTACATTACTCAGCTATGAATAGTATGTGCAAAGAATAATGCAGACATTGAATTCTGATTCAGTGAAAATGAGAAGATGGAAGGAAAGTGTGTGGGGGCTACGTGAGAGGAAACAAACTCTCAACTCCCATAGCAGAAAATCAATGGATAATTTCTAACTCTAGGGGAGAAAAAGAAGGAAAAGAAAAAAAAAGAAAGGCAACATTAGCATGGAATTTAGAAGTAAATATGAAAAAAACAACCCCCAACACCAAAAAAAAGAAGAAGAAGAAGAAGAAAAAAAGACCCTAAAAACTAAAATAACAAAACTTTGCATTTGAGCAGGGGAAGTCAAGAAAGGAGAGGAGTGGGTGGGTTAGGATCTACTGGATTTTCATTACTGTTTGACTGTTTAAACTATGCATATTTAAAACCCTGATTTAAAAAAAAAAAAAACACAACAAAACACCAGTGCAATTTAAGTAACTAAAAGACAAAAATACTCCAGCCTGCTCTCCACTCCCAGCTCTCCATTGGGCACCTGTGGCCCTGAGAAAGGGCCTAGGGAGCTGTCTCTTCTTCCTGGAAAGAACCCCCAACCCACGCCCCATGTGCTGGAGTCCTCCCCTGCTCCACCATGAGCCTCTAGTGGTCTTCCCAATCTCTCTCTGAGTTAATCCAGGTTGGCTTACCTGTCTGTCTTGGGACTGCATTCTTCCTCCACTAGCCTACCTTCCACCTTCCCTGCCCCCTTCCCAGGTCTTCTGCTGGTTGGGTGGAGAGGAATCAAACTGGGGAGCACCCAACCCTGTCCACAAGCAACAACTGTGCCCCTGGCCCCTCCAACCTGCATTCCCTACCCTGCCCTGAGTGCTGCCCATCATGGTAGGAAACCCAGAAGTTGCTCCTGTTTCCCAGGGAGGTGAAATGGGGATAGTGGGCTGTGCTCCATCATTTCCATGACACCTCTCCTAATTACCCAGTGTACTATTCATTTGGATGTCAGCGTTGCCGCATGACTGTGCCTTTAATTAATAATTTGGTAAAACTCCATGCAGAGCCTCACCAGGGCAGTGCAACAGGGACCACAGGGGCTGGGCAAAACCTGCAGCGAGTGGGCCAGGCTGATGAGGGCCCCCATCCCGCCGCCCAGACCCAGCAAGTGCAGAGGCCTTAGGCTGGAACCCAGGGCCCTGCTTCCTTGTCCCCAGGTGTTCCCATCAGACCACAGGGCCCCAGGTAAAGCCCCTTAGGGAGCCCTTCCAGAGGAGGGAAGCAGACCCTGAGGGCTGTGTGTGTACCAGTGACTGGGGTCTAAGTTGGGGGATTGGCTCCCCTGAAGCCCAGACTGGCCCTTGAGCCCTGGAGGGTTGAGACCCCAAGAGCCTAGGAGTGGGGGGAAGGTGTGGTCAAAGGGGCCAAGGATCCTGGCTCAGACACAAGCTCAAACAGGTCAATACTTGTGATCAGAAAGTAAGGGCACAGAGGAGGGATCCTTGGGGCAGCTAGGAACATGGCCGGGCCTCCTCCCTATGGCCTGGCCTTGACCCGATAAAGAATTCTCAGGCCTGGGTGTCCTTTGTTCTTGACTGCTCCAAAAGTAGGGAGGGTGGGTAGACCAGGGTCCTGGAGACAGGTGCCATGAGGGCCCTGGATGTGACCTGAAATGGCCAGGCCTGTCCACCAGCTCATGGTAGCCTCCAGGCTCAGCCCCTGGGAACCTGGGAAAGGGGCACAGAGGCTGCCAGGCTAACAGGAAGATCTATTTGAATCTGATTTGAATTATTGAGTGTTTCGAGACTTATTCTTGGTTCTGGGGCAGGCTTTGGTCTGTGAAGATGGATATCATCTCGGTCCTATTTTTAAGGTTCTGTGGGAAGAAGCCCAGACGCCACTGCACTTAAGGCTCTTGTGCAGCCTTCTGCAGGGCAGAGCCCCTGGGGGTGGGGGGAGAGGCAGACAGGACATGCCATCCCCAAGCCCCTGCCCCATTCCCATTGCTTTCCTGCTCTCCCATGAATGACCCCAGCCAGCAGGCCCTCAGGCTCCACGTTGGCTCCCTTCAGTTGCTTCAGTGCCACCCCCATCTTTCCAATCCTTCCACATGAACTCCCAGCTTGGCCTACCCCTCCGAGATGCTCAGGGCTATATCCACACCCACCACCCTGGCGTGAGCCAGGGGTCCCAGCAAGCTGCTGACATGCTCTCTCTCTTCCTCTCATCTCTGATATGGCCTTGGTGTAGCCAGCAGACAGTACCAAGGAGCCAATGGGTCTGGGCACTGCTACAGATTCTCCTCCTCCAGGCTGTAGCTGAAGCTAGTCCTTTTAAAGTTCAGATGCCCACCCCACTCCCACCCCCACCTCTACCCATAAGCTTTCCATGTCTGGCTTAAGCCCCCACTCAGCCCACCCAATCTCTGCTATCCTTCAACTGCTTCAGCTGAAACCTCTGAGGTCAGGCCAGGATTTAGGTGGGGCCATAATTAGATTCTGATGGGGTGGGATTTACAGTCTTTGGGGCTTGTGGGAAGAGATGGAAGCCCTTGAAAGCAGAGCTAGGTTGAGTCCTGACTGTCTGAATCTTGCAGGGGACCCTGCCCTCCCACTCATCACTCAAGCCAGGGGCACTACAGAGGCATCGTGGGGGTGGGAAGAGCACACCTTAGAAAAACCACTCACTGCCAGACTGACCCAAACTGCTAAAATCAGTAAGCAAAGTGGAAATACTACTAACAACTTTATAGAAATAGAAAATTTCACAAACAATTGTATGCCACCAACACACTAGACAATCTGGATGAAATGGACAAATTCCTGGAAATACACAAATTATCAAGTGATTCAAGAACAGAAGATTTTCATAGACCTATAACAAAGAGATTGAATCAGTAATCAAAATCCTCCCAACAAAGACAAGCACAGGGCCAGATGGCTTCACTGGTGATTTTACCAAAGGTTTAACAAGAATCAACAACAATCCTTCTCATACTCTTCCAAAGCAGAAAAGAGGGAACACTTCCTAACTATTCTATGAAGCCAGCATTACCCTCATATCAAAGCCAGACAGAGACATCACAAGAAAAGAAAACTACAGGTCAGTATCCCTTATGAATATACATGTAAAAGCCCTTAACAAAATACTAGCAAATCAAATTCAGCAGCATAGTAAAGGTCATATACACTATGACCAAGAGGGATTTATTCCATAAATGCAAGAGTAGCTCAAAATATTAAAGTCAATCAATATAATACATCACATTAACAGAATGAAGGAAAATGATCATTTCAAAGGTGCAGAAAAAACATTTGATAAATCCAACACCCTTTCATGATAAAAACACAGAGAAACTAGGAATAGAAGGAACTTTCTCAAGCTGATAAAGGGTATCTATGAAAAAACCACAGCTAACATCATACTCTGTGGTGAAAGATTGAAAGCTTTCTCCCCCAAGATCAGGCACCCATCTCTCTACTTCTGTAACAGACAGATATAAAAGGCACTCATATAGGAAAGGAAGAAATAAAACTTTCTCTATTCACATTAAACATGATCTTATATATAAAACCCTTAAGGGACACAGACACACACACACACACACACACACACACACACACATTAGTGCTAATAAATGAGTACAGCAAAGTTGCCAGATATAAGATACAAAAATAGTTGTATTTTTATATACTTGCAATGGGCAATTCAAAAATAAAACAGTAGCATCAAAAACAATAAAATACTTAGTAATAAATTTTACCAAAGGAAGGATAAGACATGTAAAGGAAAATCACAAAACACTGTTAAAAGTAATTAAAGAAGATATAAATAAGTGAAAAGACCCTGAGTTCAGTGACTGGAAGAGGTAATACTGTTAAGATAGCAGTGCTCTCCAAATTGATCAGTGCGATCACTATCAAAATTCTAACTGCTTTTTTGGGGGAGTAGAAATGGACAAACTGGTTCTAAAATTCATATGGAATTACAAAAGACCAAAATATCCATATGCAAACATTATCTCACAATGGGTCAAAGATCTAAATGTAAGAGTTGAAACTACAAAACTCTTGGAGGAAATTTTTGTGACATCAGATTAGGCAATGGTTTCTTTGTTATGACACCAAAGCACAAGCAACAAATGAAAAATAGATAAACTGAACTTCATCAAATTTTAAAACCTTCACTCAAAGGATGCAATCAAGAAAATGAAAGGTGACTTCCCTGGCAGTTCAGTGGTTAAGACTCTGCGTTCCAACACAGGGGCTGTGGGTTTGATCCCTGGTTGATCCCAGGCTGTCCCTGCCTCTGACCACTAATGCCTCCGTGTGGAGCCTGGCTGGTGCTGTACCCCCATTCTTCATTCACTAGGAAATGACTGTGCCCCTGCCGGCATGGACTCCACGTGTATCCTCACACTCAGTCCCCCAACTGGATCAAACAAATGCTCGGCTCCTTGCAAGGATCTGAGCAGGACACAAACCCGAGGCAGGAGAGGCACTGCTGGCACAAAGGAGTCAGAAGTCACAGGTACTGAGGTGCAGGTTCCAAAGCCACAACATCCCAGGGCCTGGAGTGAGTGGGCAGATGGCCCAGAGGCTGCTAGGGAGGGTGGGGTGAGGTGGGGCTCCCTGTACACCCCTGGCTGTGATGAGCAGGTATTTTTTTTCAGTCCCAGGACTGGGTGGACAGTGGAAGCAGAGGTGAGAAGAAAGACGTGCCAGTGTGGACATCTGGGGAGGACTGGAGATCAGAACCTGGGACAGGCCTTCCCGCCTGCAGAAGTCCCCTTGGAGGTGCCTGTGGAACATGCCAGAAGCTGCTGAGCCCAGCAGGCCTTTGGGTGGAGCCCATAAGCATGTGAGTGGCACCCAGCAGCCCAATTGACCCCAGGAGGTCCTCTGTATCCCAAAGCCCCCCACCCTGGAATGGTCCTGTTTCCTACTGTAATGTCCTAACAATGCCTTATACAGGGCTTCAAGAACAGAGGTTAAGCAGAAGGGGGACAGCACCCTGCAAGCCCCAAACAGCTGGATGCCTTGCTCATTTGTCCCCTTTGCTTCTCCCAGGAGCGCAGGCCTGGAGGAGAGCTCCTTTCTCATCATGAATGAAAGGAGAGACACCAGAGCAGAGAACGGAGGGAGTGCTAAGACCTGGGGCTTCCCTGGGTTTCTCTGCCAGGCTGTCAAACCATGACAAGCAGCTCCTTCTCGAGAGGCAGCATAAATGGCAAGAAAGGCCTTCAAAGATTCTTCACATTTATCGGCAAAGACCCCAGAGTTCTTAGGGAACCTGGGGTCCCGGAGGTGAGCTGGCAGGTGGAGGACTGGGGGCTGTGGGTGGAGCTGTGTGCCTTCCTGGGATTTAGCTCACACTGAGGGGTGTGGCCGGGCAGGGGCCAGAGTCAGGGATGAGGCAGAGCTGCTTCCCAAGGTGGAGATGCCTTTTGAGATTGGGCCTCTGGGTGAAGAGGCTGGCAGGGCGGAGTGCATCAGGTTGCAGGGATGGGGGAGAACTATTGGCACTTGAATGCAACACTTGAGCTACCCACCCTCACAGACCCTGGCCAGGACAACAGACGTCAACACCCACCCCTTCTGGCACCAGTGCCAGCCCTCTGCCTGGCATCATACCCCTTCAGCCTAAACTGTCCCTGTATGTCCCTTCCAAGCTCAGCCTCTTCCAGGCTAAGATGCAGCTCTTCTGCCCTCCTCCTGGCCCTGCATGTGCCAGAAGCAGACAGGCTGGAGACTGGCAGAGCAGCCAGGGGCCAAGCCCAACAGCAGCCACCCCAGTTTAGATCCTTTCCGGGCAAAGCAGGAGTGGCTCAGGTCAGTAGGAAGCTGGGTCCTGGTTTATAAATGATCATGAAGCGAAAGCAGCACGTGCACTCAGAGGAGCAGATGGGCCAGGAGAAGGTGTGGATGTATGCATAGTCTGGCAGCCATAAGCCTACCTGGGCACTTTCAGAATGGAACACAAAAACATCAGAAAACCCCCTATGAACCTTGACCCCTTCCTGTGCTCCTGGGAAATTAATGTCACGGGTTCTCTGGGTCTGGTGTCCTGCCATGTGAGCTTTGTCTTCCAGTGAGCTTTCTCTGGGCCCCCAGACTCTATGACTGCAGAAGGGGAAGGTGGCCACCCCAGTTCATCTGAGAATGGCTGTACCTGCTGCGTCCCCATGTCCTCGGCCATGGGTGCCCCACCTACTCTGTGGGCCATTCCCTCAGTCCCCAAAAATGAGTTGGAGCAGGGTTGCAGGAAACCCAGGAGTCTCCCTGGCATCTAGCTCAGTGCCACCCCCCAGCCCTTGCCCTACTGCCCGGGCACCTGGGCCTAGGGCTTTCCGGTGTGTCCTGGGGCTTCAGCTCTGGGCTTCAAGGAGCCCATCCTTACCTGCAGGCTCTTCTGAGACTCCTTGGGGGCACGCTTTTGGCCTTTGTGCCTCCTTGCTCCTGGTAATGACATCAACAAATGACAGCATCACACACCAGAGCCCCCCTCACTCCCCAGGTGGTCTCTGGAAGCTGAGCCAACCTGGATCCTCAGGGGCTTGAGGACCCAGGTCAGAGGGCAAGGCAGATCCTGATGGCCAACCCCTACCCCAGGAGAGTTCAGGGGTCCCCCCAAGTCCTCAAAGCAGCTTAGCCAAGTGCAGGCCAGGAGGCGAAGGGAACACAGTGGAAACACTGTGCTTGCCAAGGACTCCGAGCGGGAGAGGACAGGCCTGACATAGAAGCTGCTGGCTGCCATCTCACTGCCTCAGTCTCCTCATCTGCAATGTGAGCACAGTGCCTGTCTTATGGAAGTGCTGTCAGGATTAAGTAAGCAGCCCCTGCATACACGTGGCAGGATGAGAATCACTGTGTACCACGCAGGTGAGGAAACAGGCCTGGAGAGAGCAAACGACAGCTGGTGCAGAACCAGGTTGTGAGCTGGGACCATCTGACTCCCTCCTGTGGAACCCAAGGGCCTCACAGACAAATGGACCAAGGCAAGCAGGGGGCCGCCAGGGTGGGAGGTAAGCAGTGGACTGTGAGGGTTTCTGAAGAGTTCACACTGAACATGGAGTCCACGCTGGCGCCCAGCATTCTCTCCTGTCCCCTCAGAAACTTTGCGTCTGCTGCCTGGCCCGACATGTCTGGCCTGAGCTGCAGCACCACAACTGAGAGAGGCCCAGCCACCAGAAATGGCCCCACGTGGGCATGACCCCTCCAGCCCAGCACTCACCTCCCCGACTGCGGGTCAGGGGCCCCTTGGACTTCCTGGGTCCTGCGGATGTAGTCTCGGGAGCGGATGTCAGCCTGGGGAAGAGGGCTGGAGTGAGAGGGGGTAGCTCAGGCCCCAAGCTGGTCTCTGGACCAGTTCCCACCCAGAAAGACGGCCTCTCCCGGGAAAGCCCACAGGGGCCCGGCCTTTAGGACAAGAAGCAGCAGCCCCATCATGTGTGGGTGCCAGGATGCCCAGGCCCTCTGGTCAAGGTGCTTGATGGCATGTCCCTAAAGGGCCTAAGGGAATTGGCTGGGTGCCCCACTCCTGTTTCAGCTGGCTTTCAGTGGGTTTATAGCTTGTGCTTCCCTGTAAGTTTTGCTTGAGCCAATGTTTTTCCTGCTAAAACTCTCTTCTCTGAAGGCTATCCTCAGCCCAGCTTGTCTGTCCCCACTTTTGGTTCATCTGGCTCTCTGGGTAGTGTTAGCTGTTAACTCTGTCTGTGGGGAAGTGTCTGGAAAGTTCTGCAGAGTCACCAGAATCAAAGGGGGCTTGTGGGCCAAAGGCCAGTATCAGACACATTCTGGGGAGAAGGGATCAGGTCTGAGGGTGGCCCCCAGAAACCTTCCACTTGGGTTCTCCCACTGGCTGACCCCCTTTCAGGGGGCCTTGCCTCAGGGAGGCCCCTGATCCCACCTCCACTGAGCTTAGCCTCGCTTCGGGCCACAAGACTACAGGACACAACAGCTAATCCTCCTGACAGCTTCTACTTCAGAGTGAACGGGCAAGTAGGCAGGGTGGGCAGCAGGGTATTCCAGGGGGAAAGGTCCTGGAGACTTGAGGTAGTACCTCCTCCCTTCCCCTAAAGCAGCCTGGCCTGGCCTGGGGGACAAAGGGCCTGTGACCAATGGAGCTGGCCCTAAACCCCTCTCTCAGCTTCTCCTCTGAGCTTCCAGAAGTAGTCAGGAGGGCAAAATGTACACAGGTAGTGGGCCCAGGAAGAAGACAGATCAAGAGAAAGCCAGTGCCGCTGGACAGGGCCCCACCCCCTTTCCTGGAAGCGACAGGGTGGGTGGGCTTCTGGGTGCAGATGTTTGATTTTTCTCAAGAACACACACACAGTGTTGCCCACCTTTGAGGGGCTCATGGCACTTTATGGGGTATCCCCCCACCTTCAAGGACACAGCGATCATCCACTCTGGGGCAAGGAGAGAGGTAGAGGGACAAAGACCTGCCCACAGTATCGGCTCAGTGGAGTCCCTGGTTCTGAGAGCCTGGGAAGAAATCTTCGGTCCTTGTTCCCAGCCCCACTCCTGCCCCAACCCCTGCCCACAAGGTTGCACAGGTGGCTGGGAATGGGAAAGGAAAGGTTTTCTGGGGCCAGGACACATATTACAAGCTTGAGAACCCATGCACTTACAAACCCTGTGTGGGGAGGAAGGGAGTGAGGCTGAGGCTGTGAACACAGCACATCCATCTGGAAGCCACCCTTGGGGCCTAGGCTCTGTGGAGCCCTCGGAGCTGCCGGCATGGGCTGAAGCAGTCGTGTGCATGCTGCTGCTGCCATCTGGAGGCCAACCTGCACACGAGCAGCTGGGAGGTCCCAAAGCCCAGGCTCTCGGGGTGGGCAAGGCAGTCAAGATCCTTGGGTTTTTGGTGTCATCAGGTTGCCTCCTGCTGATGCAGCACAGGCCTCAGACCTTGCTGGGAAGGCAAATCTGACAGAGTTCCCTCCCAAATCACATCCAAAGCCTTGTGGTAAACCTGAAGACCTGCCCCAATGCACACCGGCTTCCACCTGCTCCCCCGGGCCAGGGCTCCAGACATACGTTCCCTTGAGTTTCTGGGCATCAAACTCCTTCCGCCCCACGGCCTTTGTAAATGCTGATCCTCGGGCCTGGACTACCCTTCCCCCCTCTTCCAGCAGGCCTCTCCCTGAGGGCAGCTTCCACAGATCCTCGACTCACGGGCTTTCCAGGAACCTATACCCCCTGGGTACCTCCTTGTGGCCGACACCAAGGTGGCCCAAGGGCATCTTGCATGAGGTTCTGTCTCCCCATAGCAGACCAAGCTTTTTCTCGGCTGGGCCAACCTGTCCACGAGAGTTCTGATCCTTTTGGGCCCCAAGTTGGTACTATGTGGCTGGTGTGCCCTGACTGGCATTTCTAGCACAAGTCTTCCTCAGCTATGCCCAGTGGCCCTGCAGGGGCCCCCCAATCGAGGACGGCTGCTCCCTCCCTGGCCAGCTGGGCAGCTTGGGCCCTCAGGGGCTGGCATTTGAGCCGACGTCAGCTGATTCTCCCAATGACCCAGGGTGCAGGAGGCTGAGCACAGGGCCAGGCCAAGCAGGGCTCCAGAATGAGTCCTGGGACCTCTGCACCTTCTGGGCCCCTCTCCTCCCCTCCAGGGCCCGATGTGACCCAAACAGACTCTCCCACAGGTGCCTGTGGCATGCTCTTAAGCCCGAAGGCACAGGAAGAGTAGGGGCTGTGTGCTGGCCCACCGACCTGGCAGCCCACTCACCTGGCGCACGGGCTCCGGGACCCGAAACTTGCAGCAGCTGTGGGTCAGGCGCACAGCTGCCTCCAGGCTTATCTTGTGGCCCACAGAGACATAGAGGGGCTTGGTGCTGTGGTCGTGGCTCCTCAGGGCCTGTGGCAGAGAGAGGGTGAGGTCAGGGCGCTGGGCGAGCTCTGTGGGCAGGAAGACTGACACATCTCAGCTGGCGGGCAGGGGCTTGGGGGACTGGCGGTGCCTTCAGGGTACCTTCCTGCTGCCTGTCTTGGGGACAGGATAGGGCCAGTGAGGGCCCAGAGGCCTCCTCAGCACAGTTTTGGAGGGGAGGAAGTAAAGATGCAGGGCCAGCCCAGAGCGGCAAGGTCTGGGGTACACACATAACACAGGTGCTAACCCAGGGCCCAGCTGAGGGGTCCGCCTCAGTGGGGCACAGGCCCCTGGCCACTCACCCTGCCCAGGACAGTCCCAGAGCTTCCCATCAGAGGAAATGAGTCTCCTCCAGCCTTTAGGAGCTGTATCTGGAAAACAGAGGGAAAAAAAACTTGGAGAATACCTTTCTTGGTGAAGGGCCAAAGGCAAGCCTGCTCATTTTCAAACTGTGAGCAGCTGCTGGGCAAGGAGATGGAGGGGCCCATCCTGTGAGTGGATCCTGCTTCCAGGCAACACCTACGGCATCATCCCACCCTGACAAGGCGCTCTCCTCTCAACCCTGCAGCAGAGAAGGGGCGGTGGCCCACTCAGGCCCCAGTGCCGGGGGTGGGGAAGCGCCAGGATGGTGCGCACACAGGGCCACAACCCGCTCGAGGCTGCTGATTTCCTGCTGCTTTCTCTCCTGCTACAAATTTGAGCACTTCTGATTCAACCTGACAAACTTTTTCGGGTGGTAGGGAGTGGCTCGCTGAGTGGGTCAGGGGCCCCTGTCAACTCAACAAACACGTGCTCCACTCAGACACGGGGAAGCTGGAAGGATAAGACAAACACAACCGATCCCTGTTCCCAGTTGGCTGTCCAGGTGGGTAAGCCATGCATGTCACCGACGCCCTCTGGAAGGGGTCCCAGAGGATGGGGATGCCCCAGGCTGGTAGGTGCCCCAGTTCCACGTGGGAGGAAAAGCACGGAACGTTGCATAGGCCCCGAATGCCCAGTCCCCATTCCCTACAGGCTCTGCTCCCAGTGGGCGCCACAGGGTAGACAAAGCAGGAGAGGCAAACGTGGGCCCAGAGGCTGGGAGAGGAGTTCCGGGTCTCCAGGGATGACCCACCGCCCACGAGCAGCACTGGTCTTCCTCATTCTGGCCAGCGACCCAGGATGGGAAGAGTGTCCCATTGGAGCCGGTCCACAGTGGGGCAGTCTGTCCTGCCTGTGGGGCACACAGGCCCCCTTACCTTCTCCTTGTGCAGAGCGTTGTTCTTGAGCCCGTCCACCTGCAGGAGTTTCTTGGCCACCCCGATACAAGGCAGGTCTGTGAGGACACCAAGGTGGCAGGCCACCCCAAAACCTGCAGCGGCAAAGGAAGATGAGGCTGGGGCAGTGAGCCCAGCAGTCAGGAGTCAGGGTGGGGGTAGGGGACACACCAGAGCCTCACTGAGCTTCCGCACATCAACGGAGGCCTGTTGGTGGGCAAGGACTAGGGGTTCAGGCCTCAGAGACCCACCTTGACCTTGAATCTGGCCCTCTGCCCCAGCTTCTCAGCTGGCAGGCTGGGTGGATGCCTCCCTCCATCTGACTAGATTAGGAGCCTAATTACAATTAACATGCTCACACGTTTCACCTGCTTCTCCTTTCATTTTCTGGCACCTTCCATCCACCCCTATGTTTGTGGCTACCTTCAGGCCTCTAGGTTTCTGTCCTAACTGCCCCAGCACTTTGGGGTTCCTGCCAGGAGGCCAGAATAGCAGTGGCTGGGGTCAAGACCCAGGGCTGGCCTGCTGGTCCTGCACTAGCATCCAGGGTGGCTCTGGGCCCACAGGCTCCCAGGGCAGGGACTGAAAACACCATGCCAACCCTTCTCGACTCCCTCTGCTGCTTGAACTCCAGGTTTGTATCTGAGGGTATGACAGCCCCTTCCCCTTGGTGGTTTTTTCCTGGGTCAAAGGTCCCCTGTGTCGGTGGGGCACATGTGTCCGTTCCTGCTTGGTTTCAGGCGAGGGTCTGCCAGTGGGACAGGCTAGCTGAGCTCAAAGTGATAAAAGTGAAAGTGTTAGTCGCTCAGTTGTTTCTGACTCTTTGCAACTTTATGGACTGCAGCCCGCCAGGCTCCTCAGTCCATGGAATTCTCCAGGTAAGAATACTGGAGTGGGTTGACATTCCCTTCTCCAGGAGATCTTCCCAACCCAGGGATCAAACCCAGGTCTCCTGCAGTGCAGGCAGATTCTTTACCATCTGAGTCACCAGGGGAGCCCCAGCTGGGCTCAAGGTCTATGACTTTTGGTAGCGCTATGTCCAAACTGGGTGGTGCTGCCTGAGCTGGGCCCGCACACGTAGTGGGGACAAGCAGGAAAAGAGGTAGGGGTGAAGAGAAGCAAGGGATCTTTAATAGGGGCTCTTGGCAAGGAAAGCAAAACCAGAAGGAGCTGCAGGGCCAGGCTAGGGGTGGAGGGCCCATGGCCTGGTGCAGGCGGACTGCCCCCTCCAGGTCCCTCTCTTACAATCCTCCTGGGCCGTCTTGGGAGCAGGATTACCTCGGTGGTGCAGCACCCCATTTCCATCCACGAAAAGGACCTGAAAGAGCCACAGGGGAAAGTCACAGTCAGCTGAAGTACCTCGCATCCATCAGGCTGGGGCATCCCAGAGCAAGAGGAGGGACCTAGTTCTTTAGATCTTATCCCTCTTGAGGCGAAAGCACTTCTCCAGGAAGTTCATGGAACCTCTCCCTGCAATGGGGCAAGGTCTGTGGAGGGTCTTCCCTCCAGCTCAGTGAGGTACTTGCCTGGGGCATGAGGCAGGGTTCCCTCTCCTGAAGCCGCTGTACCGCGTCCACCAGGAAAGACACCTCTCGGAAGGCCAGGAAGCCCGAAACGTAGGGGGCCGTCAGGGTCACCATTCGGCAGTCCTCATACAGCACCTGCCACCAGGCACCCGGTCACCAGGCATGCTTGGCCCTGGTCACCTCCCCCTGCCCGCCCTCAGCCCTCATCTGTCAATCCTCATCTCTTCCTGTCTTCCAGGCTCACCCCCAAATCCCCTTTCCTTCCTCACTATCTGGGGACACATGATCCACCCTACAGGTGGGCGGTGGGGATTCAAATGCTGCCATTTTAAAGGCACTGGCCACACCTGGTCTGTACCAGGCCCTCCTCAGGTTGCCTCTTTTGTAAGTCAGAGCTGCTGTCTTCCTGCCCACCCTGCTGCCAGGCCATCTGGAAGCTCACAGAAGACCAAGCACAAGAAGCACCTGTGAATAAGGACGTCAGCGTGTCCTATGAGATGGAACCTCGGGGAAGAAAAGGCCAGGTCTTCATAGAGGCTACACAGCCAGAAGGGCAACTCTTGCTTTATGAAAAGAGAGTACAAATATTTCAGACAAAGGACAGGCGTGATCAGAGAGGCAGTCTGGAAGAGAACTAGATCCTGAGAGACTGGAGTCCAAAAGGAAAACTTCTGAGGCTGCAACTGCAAATAACCCCAGAGAGAGAAAGGTGGTTACCCCTGGGGATGTTGTGCTAAAAGGCCTGGCTGATGCTGGGAGGAGTGGGGGCCAGAGGTCTGAGGCAGACCTGCTGGGGACCATTCAGTTTTCACATGCTCTGGCAGACTGTTCTTCAAACTCAAAGTCCCACCACAGCATGGAAGAGGGGCTCCTGTTCCCACTTCATTAGAATGGTAAAGGACCTGCTCAGAGCACAGGATGGCAGCCCTAAGTCCTTTAACACTGAGTTTTCATTAGAGCCAGACCTGCTTGAAGTAGAGAATGTTTCTCGCTAAGCACACTTTTCCAGAAACCTCGGATGTCCTGCACTGTTACTGGCCACTCCCCACCCCCATCTCTTGGTGACAGCTTTCAGAACCATATTTTCACCACTCCCTCTAAGCTGGGTCATAACGGCATGTCCAAGTGAAGGGATTACTCTAATAGTATTGAGGAATGGCTTGTTCTTCCAATATTTTTATCAGTGATTCATAGGAGACTCATAAAACTACAAGTGATTTAGAGTGGGCAGGGTCCAGGTGGATGACAGACTGGAGAATTCAATTCCCAGTGACCCCAGAAGGCTGGAGTGCTGAACCCCATGCAACAGAAAGACTCTTTACAGGGACATAGGGGAAGTTCAAGTGTGGCCTGAGTTCCCATAGGCTGATGGTGGCTGCTTATGTCTGAATCTCTCTGAACAAGTTCCAGAAACCAGAGATCCACAGAAGAGGAGATAAACCTCCCCTGGCTCCATGCGCACATCATAACCAGGAGATGACATAGTATAACCATCAGTGTGCACCTACATGTGGAAATAAACAGCCCAGACTCACAGAGCCAGCTCCAGGCCCTGCAATGGGAAGGCAGGTAGGGATGGGGCAAGGGTAAGAGGGTGTGGAAGGGCCTACTGGTTGGGAGCCTGATGGAATGATACCTGGGGGTCAGCCCTGGCCTTACTAGGAAGATGCTGCTCTGGGGAGAAACAGGTGAGCCCTGGGGGCTCATGGAGAAGACAGTGAGGACAGAAATGTAAGCTCCTTTGGAAACGAAAGTATCAAAGAATCAGAAGACACATTGCCATCTTTGCTTCAGAAAAGAACACCATTTATTAACATGACTACACTTCATAGTTCAAGACTTAAGAAACACAACGAGCCACCCAAACCCCCAGCCCTTGAGTTCCCTCTTTAAATATAACTTAAAAGTCAACAGTGAAAGGCTGTACACAAAAACTACACGAACTCAGAAGGCAACGATCAATGCTTGTGAGCTGATGAAATGCTGCCCCCAACCAGTCGTACATCAGAGGGAAATTAAATGACAGAGAGCACAACCTGGCAGAAATAAAAACAGAACCATAAAAAAACCTGGCAAGTTAGAAAACCCAGCATATGTATGACTGAAAAAGAGAAACCAAACTGTGGAGCTGAAATAATAAATAGAACTAACACTTAAAACCACAATCTAAGAAACATCCCCAAAATAAAAAGTGATCTGACCCCACACATTGAAAGACCCAACTGGGAACTTGAGGAAACTGATGGGGAAGAGCCAACTCAAGATGTATCTCAGTGGAAAAAAGGTAAATAGGCAACATACTGGACCGCCCCCCCCCCCCCAAATCCCCATAGCAATCATAATCTACTGGTAACAGTAATTATTTAATATAAAATATGTCAAAGTCTTACAAATAAGAGAACACATTTTAGAGATTAAAGACCCCTGGGGAAATATGTTACGGAAGGGGTGATGGAATTATGTATGTGCACTCTAAGGTGTGATGACGACACCACCGGTATGCAGAAAAATGTCACTCTAGGACAAGTCTGCTAAGCTCTCACAGGTTCTGGGAGACACTCCTGAATCTCAGTGTGCACACACAGAGAAGACCGCAAAACCAGCTGAATCTTAAGTAGAGGGAATACGGGTGTTCAATGTGTTATTTCAACTTTTCAGTATGTATGTGTGCACATTCTCAAGTTACAAATCTGGGACAGGGAAAAATCACTTGTGTAGTTAGCATGTGGGTATGATCTGGATGGTCAGTAATCTCTGAGAAGATCTGCAAGTTTCAACCTAAGCTGGCATTAGGCTCACCAATGGATGAACCAAACGGCGGAACTGCACTTGAGGTACTCAAATCAGTTCTGGGTGCTGGATATAAAAACGAACCCTGCTCACTGCAGGTGGGCCAGAGGGCCAGCAGCAAGAGAAGGAGCTGGGAATCACCCCAGTGAGACTCAGGAGAACACAGAACGGTCTTCAAGTAGCAGGGTTTTCACAGAAGGGCAGGAAAAGTTTGTCCTGTACTCTGTACCAGAGAGCAGAAGTCACAAACAAGTAAACTTCAGCTCTATGTGGAAAAGAACATGCTCTTCCAATTACGGAATGGGCTCTGTTGTGAGGCCACGATGTCAGGCATGACGAAAAGAGTTTCTGGCTGTGTGAATGGCAGATCAGAGACTCACAGCCTGGGTTTGCTATGCAAGCACAGGAAGGACTGTCGAAAAAAAGCAAACATCAGCAAATGGAGAGGGGCCCAGGAATCTTTTTTGTAACAACTTTATTGAGATACAATTTGCTACCATAAAATTACTTGAAGAGTATAATTCAACCATTTCTGGTATTTACAGTCTTTCAACCATTGCCATAATCTAACGTTAGAACATTTTTATATCTCCTAGATAATTCTTATACTCATTAACAGTTACCCTCCATCTCAATCGCTAGCCCTTGGCAACCACAAAACTACTTTCTGTCTCTATGGATTTGCCTATGAAATCTTATTTCTAAACACACTTCCAGGTGACTCTGATTGCACAGAACCATAGATGAGCATCTGGGAGTCACTGGACCAGACTCTTAGAAGAGCATTGCTTAGACTAAGCATCCACAGCATAGGATGACAAGTGCTGACTACATTCAAGTGCTGGGGTTCTGAAAAAAATACAGTATAACCCTACCCTTGAGAACCTACAGATGGTGGGAAAAACAATATAAACCAATAACTTCTTTTCTATGAGATGGGTCGGGAATATCCCCTAGAGAAGGAAGTGGTAACCCACTCCAGTATTCTTGTCTGGGCAATCCCATGGACAGCGGAACCTGGCAGGCTACAGTCCATGTGGATGCAAAGAGTCAGATACGACTTGGCAACTAAACAAGAAGGAGAGACTATTCAAAATGATTACTGCAATGAAGGGGAGTTGACTACTGCAATAGGGAGAGTGCTCTGCTAGTAGGCTGTAAGATCTGAGAGGATCTCTTAAATCAGTAACTTTAATACAGTGTGAGAAGTACTATAAGAACACAGGCAAAACAAAGAGACCTAGGACAGACAAGAAGGTGATTAATTCTGCAGGTAGAGAAAGGTATAGAGCGATGGGAATAAGTGCATTGAAAAGTGAGAAGCTGTCCTAAGATTTAACAGTAGCTTAGCATTTACTTTTTGAGGGCTTACCACATGCCCGTTATGTTAATTGCTTTCCACGCATGATCTCAATTATTTCTCACCAAACTCTGAGTCAGGTATCAATATATTTCTGCTGAATTTTGACTAAAGGCTCTTCAAATAAAGTGCAAAGACGCTGAGGCAGGAAGATTGCAGCTTTGGGAACAGGCAGAGGGGCATGGAGGGGGAAACGCTGAAACTGCAGAGCAGAAGTTTCTTTGTCAAGCTCTTCTTCAGCCAAGGCTTCCTGAGCTGTTGACTCCAAAGGAATGGTGGGTGCACTGTTCATTCATTCACATATCTATTTGAGCATCTTCTGTGTGCCAGGCATCAGGCTAAGTGCCAAGGCTACAACTGGGGTGCAAGAGAGTACAGTTTCTGCTGTTGTGGAGTTTACATTCTGGTAAATGTAATTTACATTGACACACAGGCCAATTCTATCCCAGTGATAAAGAGGAATGAGAGGATGCTGGGAGCAACTCCTGGTCTTGTAGGACGAGGTGGGGGGCTTACTGGAGGACCTAAGAGATGAGGAGGAGTTAAGACAGATGAAAAATATTCCAGGAGAGGAAACATCACAGCAAAGGTCAGGCAGGTAGATACAGCATGGAGTGCTTGAGGAAGCTGAAGTCCTCCTGAATGGGGAGTGGGTGATGAACGCAGGTGGTGGCCAGAGGTGAGCCTACTGTGAGTTACATTAAGCAGGGGTCAGATCATGAAGAGCCTTTATGTCTTGTTAGTGAGTGTTACTTTTATTTACTATGCGATCACAGGATGGGCACTTAAGTGTTTTAAGTAGACTACGTGATGACTGCTCACATTTGCTTTTTAGGAAAACTGCTCTGTTGGCAGCATGGAGAAAGGACTCAGGGAAGATTCTGCCTGTCACCTATGTGAGAGGTGACAGTGGTACAGCCAGGGAATGGGCAGCAGCGATACAGACAAGGGGACAGACTCCACTGATTTTAGGTGGTGGAAAAAATGTAGTTAGTGTGTGATCAGCTGAGGGGTATGGGAAGACAGATTTCTAGTGTCTTGGGCAACTTGGGGGCATGTTGCTGTGGGTCCCTGAGATGGGGAGCAAAAGATGACAGTCAAACTTGGAGATCATGAGTAAATTTGGACTTAGATCACAGGATCTAGTCAGTTTTTGTTCCCCTCCTCTTTTATTAAAAAGCTTTCCAATTTATTAGTGAACTCCCACAAGAGGAGAAGAGGGGCTCTACCCTAGCACTGTGCCCTGTCCAGAGCCCCGCCTCTCTCACTAATGCACCCGGGTCCAGCGGTGCGGCCCCTGGCCAAAGTCCCCTAGGGGTTACCTCAAGCTCTGGGTAGTTGAGCACCACCAGGGAGGCGCAGGCGCTGCCACTGTCGTCCTTCACAAAAGACACGTCCACGCCCCCGACCCTCTGCAGGCCTGAGAAGGCGGGGTCCAGTTGCCAAGCCTCCGTGTCCTGGTCCACAACACGGGCCTTCAACGAGGCTTGCTCCCTGAGAGTAGAAAGAGGTCCAGCGGGCCGCCCGGCCCGGAAGCCCCGCACCCCGCGTCCAGCTGCGGCCGCCCTCAGGCGGAGTCCAGGTCCGGGAGTCGGAGCTCTACCAGAGACCCTCCGGGTCTCGAAATCCCTCCCTCTCCTGGGACCCAGACGCGGTCCCGGAAGCTACAGCCCTTAAGCCCGCAAGCCAAAAGCAGGCCCAGGCCCCTGCGGCCCTAAGTCAGGGGTTATGAGGTCGGAGGTCCGGGGGAACCACGTCGCTCCAAATCCCTGGACTTTGCGCGTCCCCTGCCTCATTACCGTTTCCAGTCCAACAAGATTTCCTCAGGCGGTTTCCCAGCCGCCTCTCGGGCCATGGCGCTGCCCGGAGCAGCCCCTTCCTGTAGCGTCACTTCCGGAGCGCCGCGCGCAGGTGCCGTGCCAGCGTCGTCGTCGTGGCGGCGTTTGCTGAGGCTCTTCGACACCGCCGTGTGGTGGCCGGAGGCTAGCTGGGCATTAGCTGCGCTGGAAGAGCGGCAGCCAGCCATCAGAGTTGGCCTTCTTCCGTAGCCGCGGGGGAAGGAAAGTCTTACCCCTCCAGAGCTTCTGACGGGATCTGAAAGTTAAACTGACAAACACAGATCTGCAGCAGAAAAGCAAAGTGTACATATTTTACTGAGTTTCTCCTCATACCTGCTTACCTTGTGGCTTAGCTGGTAAAGAATCCACCTGCAATGCGGGAGACCTGGGTTGGGAAGATCTCCTGCAGAAGGAAAAGGCTACCCACTCCAGTATTCTGGCATGGAGAATTCCATGGACTGTATGGAGGTCGCCAAGAGTCGGACACGACTGATCGACTTTCACTTCTACACGTGCAGGGAGGGGACCTTTCACTGGAGAGTGGAGACCCAAAGAAGTGGCCAGAACGAAAGCTTTATTCTGTTAGAGAAAGAAACAATGAATTTGTGAAGAACTGATAAGGCAAGAGAGGTTTGGACTGTGGGTAGTAAATAGTGAAACCAGATCGAGCTTTCCTCACAGCCTTCTTGGCCCTAAACCCCCTGCCTCTGGTGATAAGAATGTCCCTCTCCTTCCTGGGAGGGGCCCTTTCACCTGGGAGATTTGGAGCGAAAAATGGTTGAAGCAGGAGTGATTTTGCTGCTTCTGCCATTGTCTAAAATTTCTCTGGCTTAAGATCAATACAGCAAGGTGCCATATTTTGGGGCAGTGTGTCCTGAACACCATCAGCAAGCATCTTCCGTTTCCATGGTACCTTGACCTCAGTTTCAGTGACTCCTTTTGAGGACAAGACACAGTCCTTAGTGGGTCCAGACTCATAAATTTGACCTGGTGGATCTTGGTGAGTAGAAAAACTAAATAGGGACAACCTGTGGGGCATTGACTGACCCTGCTTGTCAGTTGAAAACGTCTCTTTCTGCTAGATGTTGTACAAGATGCTGAGGTTACAGCTTCCTGATGGTAGAACTGCAGTTGTGTTAAGTGCTGACATGAAAATAATGTGGGAGCCTCTTTAAACTGGTGGTAAAAGGAGACCTGAAGGTTGAGTACAAGAGAGCATTTTAGGCAAAGAGAACAGCACATGTAAAGGGCTGAGACAGCAAAGAGGTTGGTCTGTTTGATGTACTGAAAGGTGACCAGCTAGGCTGAGATGCAGCGATATAACCAGTGGTTTATGTTCTACTAGGGGAATTTGGAGAAGTATATGGATAAGTAATCTGAATATAAACCTCGAGAGGAAAATACAGGAGACTAGAATTGGAGTCTGAGTTTCAGGAAACGCTTCATATGGCATTGACCACTGGTGGGTCTGGAGATGTGGGTAAGTTTTCAGCTAGGAGAGGGGATGAGGACTATTTCCTGAGCACTCACAGCAGACCAGGCACTGTGTTGCGATTTACCCACGCCCTCTTATTTCTCACCACAGCACTGAGAGGTATTTTACAGATGGGGAAATTGAGGGGCAAAGAGGTCAAGGGGCTGGCCTGAAGTCAGAGAGCAGGCAAATGGGAGGGCCAAGAATTACTCTGGGGTCCACCTGGACGTTACTCTGTGTCAGCCTTGTCGTGTTATAGAGCAGACAGGATGCAGAGGGCTTTCGATCCAGTAATCCGGAGCCATTCACTGGCCTGTGGAGACGGAGACAGTTCTGGGGTGCTGAGGAGAGAGCAGTGGTCTGGATGGAGGTTCTGATGTGCTTCAGGGTATAGGCGTGGTGATGGGAGGGAATGCTGGGGAAAGTGGAACACTCCAAGTGGGTCTCGGTGTGAAGGAAGGGGAGCGGGGTTAAAAGCAGGCCTTTATAGGATGTGCAGTCACAGGGATGGTTTCCATGTGCTCCCACTGGGCCCTTTCCTCTCCAGTTTCTCTCTGCTGTCGCCCCAGATGGCTTCCTGAAATAATCCCAGCTCCTCAGAAGGAAGCACAGCCTTGCTGTCCTCAGAATACACTTCAGTCTGATGAGGTGTGAATCTTGTCAGCATTTGCTTTCTTGGGAGAAGGCACATTCCTGGTGTTTTTCCAGTTGGAAATGGGATTCATAATGTTTGAGCATGGGACTAATTAATAACTAGAGAAATTAGAAAAACCAAAAAGCAATATAAATGCAAATCATGGCATGGATGGATGGTTATTCAGCTCAAGGCCTCGGGCTTTCTTCTTCTATTCATATGTCCTCATCTAGTGTCTTTCCAGGTCCAGCTGATACAGCGACCTTATACTTGGCAAGAACATATTAAGAGATGTAGCAGTGCCCCTGTGTGGGGCTGGACATGAGTAGCTTTACCTACTGAGCAAGGCCCTTTTTCAGTGATTGTTTATCAGTAGAAGTTTGTTTCCGAAGTGGAATTGCCTGAATCTGAGAGGAAATTAAATGGCTCGTGACTGTCTCAGTTAAAACACGATGAAATCCTATAGTCATTATTGTTATTTAGTCGCTAAGTCGTGTCTGACTGTCTGTGACCCCATGAACTGCAGCATTCCAGGCTTCCCTGTCCTTCAGTATCTCTGGGAGTTTGCTCAAACTCATGCCCCTAGAGTCGGTGATGCCATCCAACCATCTCATCTTCTGTTGTCCCCTTCTCCTGCCCTCAACCTTTCCCAGCATCAGGGTGTTTTACAGTGAGTCAGATCTTCCCCATCAGTTGGTAAAAGTATTGGAGTTTCAACTTCAGCATCAGTCCTTCCAGTGAGTATTCAGGGTTGATTTCCTTTAGGACTGACTGATTTGATCTTACTGTCCCAGGGACCCTCAAGAGTCTTCTCCAGCACGACAATTTGAAACCATCAATTCTTCAGCACTCAGCCTTCTTTTTGGTCCAACTCTCACATCCATATATGACTACTGGAAAAACCATAGCTTTAACTATGTGGACCTTTGTTGGCAAAGCAATGTCTCTGCTTTTTAATATTTTGTCTAGGTTTGTTATAGCTTTCCTTCCAAGGAGCAAGCGTCTTTTAATTTCATGGCTGCAGTCACCTTATACAGTGACTTTGGAGCCCAAGAAAATAAAATCCGCCACTGTCTCAACTTTTTCCCCATCTATTTGCCATGAAGTGATGGGACTGGATGCCGTGATCTTTGTCTTCTAGATGCTGAGTTTTAAGCTAGCTTTTTCACTCTTCTCTTTCACTCTCATCAAGAGGCTCTTTAGTTTCTCTTCTCTTTCTGCCATAAAGGCTGTATCATCTGCATATCTGAGGTAGCTGGTATTTCTCCTGGCAATCTTGATTCCAGCTTGTGATTCATCCAGCCTGGCATTTTGCGTGATGTACTCAGTATATAAGTTAACTAAGCAGGGTGACAATATACAGCCTTGACAAAATCCTCTCCCAATTTTGAACCAGTCCATTGTTCCATGTCCAGTTCTAACTGTTGCTTTGGACCTGCATACAGGTTTCTGAGGAGACAGGTAAGGTGGACGGTTATTCCCATCTCTTCAAGAATTTTCTAGTTTGTTGTAGTCGACACAGTCAAAGGCTTTAACATAGTCAATGAAACAGATGTTTTACTGGAATTCCCTTGCTTTTTCTATGATCCAGCGAATGTTGGCAATTTGATCTGATTCCTCTGCCTTTTCTAAATCCAGCTCATACATCTGGAAGTTCTCAGTTCATGTACTGCTGAAGCTAGCTTGAAGGATTTTGAGCATTACCTTGCTAGCATGTGAAATGAGCGCAATTGTACAGTAGTTTGAACATTCATTGGCATTGCCTTTTGTTGGGATTGGAATGAAAATTGACTTTTTCCAGTCCTGTGGCCACTGTGGAGTTTTCCAAACTTGCTGACATATTGAGTGCAGCCCGTTATCAGCATCATCTTTTAGGATTTGAAATAGCTCAGCTGGAATTCCATCACCTCCACTAGCTTTGTTCATAGTTATGCTTCCTAAGGCCCAGTTGACAAGGGTGAAAGGTAAATAATTTACACACATAGTAAGGACATAGAAGAAGACAGTGATCAGTTGTGAAGCTTTTCAGGTTAAGTCACCATCATTCTAGTGACTGTTTCTGTGTAGCCTGAAAGCAGAAGGAACTGTGCAGTATGTGAAGTCCAGAAAAATGAATATGAATGGAAACAAGAATGAGTAGGCTGGAGGGGAAGGTCAGGCAGGGTCAGTGGGAAGCTATGGAGGAAGGGAAAGTGGGTGGACTTGACAGACTGGGGGCAGCAGGGGGCACATCTGTGAACCAGCACCTCCTCTTACTATGGTTCCATGGGTTCTCTCCTGGAGGCACCCCTTCTTTTTAGAAGAGAAAATGCAGTTTTCCCCTAGAACAGTGTTTTGCCAATTGAATGAAAGTGGGCTGCTGGAATCTTATTGTTTCTTGCTCATGTGTCTTTACTTCCTTTTCCAGAGGAGATGCTTCCCCAAACCACAATCAGCTCCCTGCCAGAGTCAGCTTTTATTCTTCATTGGCTGGAGCTCTGCTTCCTCCTGGAAAATCCTGTTAGGCAGGGGGTGAGAGGGCAGCCTTCTGGGGTGAAGCTTTGGCCCTGAGCCTGAAGACCAGGGAGCAGTGTGAAGCTCCACGTCAGTTCTGCTGCCGTTTTGTCCAGAGGAAGTTTACCCTGTTACATTCTAAACCAGAGCGCACGTTTTCTGTCCAGAACCTTCCACTTTTTGGACACCCCTGCAAGGACATTTCCACAAACACATGGAACCATTCCCCAAAGTCTCTTCCCCAGAGAGGATTCTTTAGCAAGTTTATTGAAACAGGTATGACAAGTATAACAAAATTTACATCTGCCTGTGCTAGATCAGGATATTTCTGTAGAAACAACAAGATAGTGGTAGCTAATGACAATTAACACTTTGAAAGCATAACATACAACAACATATCTTCTTCACACCCCCCCCCAAAAAAACCCCTTCATAACAGTGGGGAAAAAAATTCTCCCCTGCCCCTCAAAGGAGGTGTTCACAGGTTGGCCAGCTCCAACCCAATTCTGAGGTATCAAAGGAGTTCCAAGTGCAAACTGAAGTGATGAACAAGCAACTCCCGCACTCCCACATCCATTAACCACACAATCTAGGAAAGGAATGTCCTCGTGGAGTGCCTTTGCATAGAATTATTAGATAAACATAGGTTACTATATACAAGTGGATATGGTACCAGATCCTAGGTCCCTGTGCTCCCCTTCCTCAACCACAGTGAAGAGAAACCGCAATATTGAAAATGGAGCACAGATTGTTCTACAGCTCCCTCCAGTGGTGCTGAAGGGCCTACTTTGTCCTTGGCAAGCGTTTTCTATTTTTTGTAGCTCTCACCATTCTGGGGCCTCATTTCAAGTTGACTGAGACATCATGTTATCAGGATGTGTATGAAAGACATTTACCTCTGACTTGTAAACAACTGTTGTCTCAGGGCTAACAGGGGCCGAGCTACCCAGGAACAGGGATTAGTCCGGAGAGGTCAGAAGCACCAAGTAGATTTTGAAAAAACGACACAGCACTTAGCGTGAGAACAGCAGCACGAGACTGGGGTGCGCTGACTGTTCTCTCTCCTTGATCAGAAACTTGACTGGTGTATATTCTGAGTCTGTTTCTGTGCCTTGACTGAGACCCAAAGACAGGACCAGTAGTCATACACTTGGGGACATCAAGACCACGCTAAAAACTCACGTTTATTTAGCAGAATCCTACAGAAGCAAAAACTTCCCCCAGAAATGCCAGAATGCCAGAACCATGCCTTTGATCCAACTTTACACTGTTCAACTTTCACTTAGAATTTACTAGAATACTAGAACTGGCAGGAAATCTGGCCTTCACTCCAGTCCCTTCATTTTGTAGATGTGGAAACTAAGTCACCAACAGTGTCCTTGACTCTTGGCCCAGCGCTCTTCACAATGAAAGATTTGGGGCTCTGATCTTGAAATTTGGCAGTGAATCATTTGTGGGCATGGGTGAGGGCTGGCTAGTTTGGCATCAAGGCACTCGCAGAATGGCCTGACTTGTATATGTATCTTCTTGGAGACCTAGAAGTATTTGTACAATTCTCTGAACTTAAAGGAATGGAAGAAGGAAGAAAGCCAGCTTCTCTTTTGTGACTGCAGAATAAAATAGAAAAGGCAAAAATTAATAACCTTATTTTCTGGTCCCTCTCAGCAGGCAGTAGTCTGAGGAAGTAGGGGCTGGTGTGCTAGGTACGCGCATGGTAAGACACAGGACACCTGGGGCACAGGTTGTATGTGTGAAGCTGAGAAGCTATTTTTTGGTCTCTCCCAGAGGATGGTGCTTTATTCCAGTTCCATATAATCTTCAGTTCTCACTTCCCAATGAATGGTATTCAGAATATGAGGAGATGAGTTTCTGAATGTTCCTGAAACAGTTTGGCTCTCAAGAAGCTGTCAGCCAGCACAGCACATCTTGGTCTCAAATTTAGTGCTGTGCCCACAGCTTTCTTTCTAAGCACCCACCCGTGAAGGAAGAGCCTTCTCTGCCCAAGTCCCCTGTAGAGACAGGAAACAATTCTATCTCATCTGTCGATTCCGTTTCAATTCAGCAGCCATTTTCCACACAGTGACACAATTGGAAAGCAGTATCTCTTCTGGGAACTGTGTTTCCATTTCAGGAGGAATTTCACTGTCTTTAGTCTCCATGTAGCTCACCAGTGTATCTCTCAGGCTGAAAAACCAAGGAACAATAGACAGCGTTAAATATTCATGTGACATAAGGAGTCATGTGATCACTGGTCGGTTTTTCAGGTCATCACAGGACTAAAGTGCTCATTAAGGCCGGTAATACTGAGAGTCAGTTTAAAGACAACTAACTGCTGGCTCAGTGGTTAAGAATCTGCCTACAATGCAGGAGACCTGGGTTCAATCCCTGGGTTGGGAAGATCCCCTAGAGAAGGGAATGGCAACCCACTCCAGTATTCTTGCCTGGAGAATTCCATGGACAGAGGAGTCTAGTGGGATACAGTCCATGTGGTCGCAAAGAGTCGGACACGACTGAGCCTGTGCAGCTGATCCGCTGAGTTACTGACCTGGCAGTAGAATCCTGGCTTCAGGGATCTAGTGCATCCCTGCTGTTCCCCACCCTGGACTGCACATACTCTACAGGAAGGAGCTCCCCTTGATAAGGGCCCTGCCAGATGGTTCTAAGAGCTCTAGTAATACATCTGCTATACAAAAAACAAAGCCTCACCATTCAAACAAAGCTTCTAGTCCAGTTCATGACTTGTTTAACAAAGATAAATTCTCTACGAAGAGATATTCTTTCCTTACACTAAAAATTCTGGGATAGCAAAGATTTCTTAAATAAGTTCAAAGAATACGAATGTAAATAGGCATATGCTACATAGCATAATGGAGGAAAATGGCAATTATGAAGCCCCATGTCAATGAGGAAAACTGGAGTTTATCTATTTAGAAAAACAATAAAGTGAAAATTCCTTCTTCAGACCACACATTAAAGCACAAGGAAAAAACATGGGAGAATATTTTATAACCTTGGGACAGGACCCTTAGAGGTATATCTTCCTAGAGTCCTCATAGGAAAATTCTCTCAATTTGGCTTCATAAAATTAAAGACTGAGATAGAGCCTTCGTAACATACCAGATAAAATATGAAGAAAAATACACATAGTCCAAAAGAAAACTAATCAAGAGGCAGTTTGGAGGAAGATACACAAGTGGCTGATAAATATTTTCAGCCTTACCAGTAAATGGGAAAATATAAGCAAAAATGAGATACCATTTTGGGGCCATTAGATTGTTAAAAATACAAAAGATAGATAATATCCAGTGTTGGGTATTCTTTATACATTGGTGTAGCTTTTTCTATCAAAGTTAAAATGCACATCTCTCTGACATAGGGAGACCACTACTCATAATGCGAACATAGGACTTTTGCAGTTGATAATGGTTAATCGGACTTTTCTGATGGCTCGGGGTAAACAATCCACCTGCAATGCAGGAGATGCGGGTTCAGGAAGTGGGAAATGACAGCCCACTCCAATAATCTTGCCTGGAGAATCCCATGCACAGAGAAGTCTGGCAGGCTACCATTCATGGTGTTGCCAAAAAGTTGGACACGACTTAGTGATTAAACAACAATGGTAAATCAGCAGGAAACCAAATTCTGCAGTAAGACAACAATTTCCATGACTATGGACGATCTTGGGAGACATGGCAGAATGTTGTATGTGTGCCTTGCTTGTCTGCCTTGCAAGCCCCTACCTCCACTCAGGGTTGAAACTCTCTGCAGTCTTGGGGTTCTTTAGCTTTAAGATCATCATTTCATGAAGCTCCAGGAGGAAAGCATCCAGGCCAATCTGATTTAGGAAGGTGTTGAGCGGCTTAGCTTTTTCAGGGCTGAGATCAGCTTTGTACCTTGGAATGATTTCCCCAAATGGCTCCTGGAATGAAATAAGAACAAATGATACACGGAAGCCTGGAAAGGGAATGTGCGGCTCCCTGGGTCCAGGCGGACAGGAAGAGGCCAGACTCACTTTTCCCAGGCGAAGTAGCTGTTCAGACTTGTGGGCAGAGAGGAACTGCCAGAGGGCGATGGTATGTTTTAACTGGCATCTGTTTAAGGCCTGAAAGAGAACAGAACTCTTGAATATGAGGCTCTGTTTCCATTTGGCCCTGCACTGATTCCACCTCCTTCACTACGGAGGCCACCTCTGCTTCGTGCACTAATTTCCTGCCTCAACTCTGAGATGTCTCTGAAAGCCTTCTCCCACCGCAGCATCTCAGAGTCCACCAGCAGCACGCAGTCTGCACGCACACCTCAGCAGACTTGTGCTTCCAAAGTCTGTACATTCTGAGTACATTTCTGCATCTCCTGTCACTGTGTTCTGTTTACAATGTAAACTGGCTGGGGAATGAGGTATTTTCACCTCCCCTCCTTTTCAGGGGCTGCCTAGATTGGTACTCCCTGGGGGGTGGTATCCCAGTAGGAAGTGGGGAGACGATAGAAGGCATAATGCTGATTTCCTTTAGAAGAGGCCAGACACAAGACTACCTTTGAAACCAGTGAGGTCGGATCGCCCATCTTCAGCATGTCTTGGATATACACATTTAAGTGCATGTTTGGATCCCCGCCAGCTGTGCCCAGAAACCCCAGCGTGACTTCTATGGCAGACAGAGCTTCACAGGTGTCACTGTAGGACTGCAGTTGTCCTCTGATGGCAGTGGTGGCCGCACTGGGGAGGGGACTCTAGGAAGTCAAACACAGGATAGGGTCCACAGTTGGGGCATGCTGTGCACCGCCACCCTATAAGTCTTATCTTCATCACTGCCAAGGCCACAGAATGGGACAGGCTCTCTGACAGCTTCTTGAGTGTCAGCAATATTCAGGTATGTTTCAGAGAGAGATGAACTCACTGAATGCTCAAATCATCTTTGTGAGGACATGCATATGGACACACACATACACAGATACACAGCCCCCACAAACTCACACAACACACATAAATCAGAAAAACAGGAATAAGTAAGTTCTCTGGACCTTCTGCCTCAGCATACACAGTCATGACAGCACTACTAAAAACTACAAGCACAACATTTCAATCTGTTAATACTCAACGAGAAAACTTCTGCTGGGACTTCCCTGGTGGTCTGGTGGTTAAGAATCCTCCTTGCAATGCAGGGGTTGTGGTTAGGGAACTAAGATCCCACATGCCACGGAGCAACTAAGCCTGCCTGCTGCAACTACTGACTGCGTGACAGGATCTCGTGTGCCACAACCAGTGAGTCTGTGCACTGCGGTGGGACTTCCCTCATGATACGGTGATGGTCCTGTATGCTGCAACTAAGACCCGAGGCAGGCCAAATAAATAAATACTTTAAAAAGATTTATGAAAAACAAACAAAAAAAACTTCTGCTGATCCTGTGTGCCCTCTAGAAATATCACGATGTTCAGAACAAAGGGAGGCCCTGAAACTCTTTGGTGCTCACGGCAAATGCCCTGAGTAAGGGCGGAAGAGTCCTAACATGGATTGAAACACTCTGGTAAGACAGAGGCACACACAAATAAGGTTGGTCATCACCTGTTGCATTTTGTTCTTGATGTCCATGAAGAGATGCTCATAGTTCCAGTCACGTCTGTATACCAGAGTGGGTATTCCCTAAAGTGAGAAAGAAAAAGACTGGAATGGAATTCACCGAGGAGCTCTCCATCAGATGACAATATATGCCTGAGTTGAGACTTGGTTGTCGTCCCAGGGATTTCAGTGCATCACCCAGCAAGGCAGGCAGCTCCTTGTTGCCTCGTGATGTGTGTTTACCCCATAATCTATGGAAACAGTGACACAATGAGGAACCCAGCCTGCCCCCCAGGACCAAGCAGATACTGTCACATAGTATTCTGTGGCCCTCAGACCAAAAGTGGGACCAGGCTATGAGGACATCGTACTGACACAGTGAGCACAGACTGTGAATGAGGGGGCACGCAACTGACAGAGCAGAATGAATTAAGGCTTGAGCTCAAACAGTTCACCGCCTTACTGCAGGCAGGGAGGAAGCATAAACAGAATGAAGTGTGGACCTGGAAGCAACAAGCACAGCGCAGGTAAAGAACAGCACTGCAGGCTGCTTTCAGGGAAGGGAGAGTGATCCAACCTGTGCAGTCATGGGATTCAGTGCAGGGAAGTGGATGGAGAGATGCAGATCTGGATGTCAGAAATGTGGGCTAAAGAGCCTGAAGCCGGGGACTGGTTGGGAGCTACTGCAGCAGTGGAGCTTAAGGACAGATGCTTTGAACTAGAGCAGCGGGCTGGTTGGTGAAACGGAGGCGCCTGATGGTACAGATGACAGACTGTGTTTTCAGACTAAAGGAAAAGGGGGAAAACAATGAGGTTCAGTGTGGGTGGCTGGTGGTGCCATTAACTATGGCAGAGAAATCTGGACTAAGTCCATTGAGACCTGCAGTCACCCTTGGGATACTGAGGTGTGGATCAGACGTATAGACAACTCTGCAGAGCCGTCAGCCCTGAATGCAGGTGTGGTCACAGATACTGGGAGTGTCGATGAAGGGTCCAGAGGATCCCTCCTCATTCTGAAACTGCTGTGATCAAAGCCACACTTGAGGCAACTTTTGCAAAACAGACACACAGACCAGGGACATGTGGACCATGGACACGAGGGCCACGTCAATACAGCAGGTCAGCCTTGCCTTGAGGGTCAGCCTGGGCTTGCCCTGCAGGAAGCGGCTGATGATCTGGCGCTGGATCTTCTCCAGGTCAAACTCCTGCAAGGTCTCCCCGCCTCGCTCCACGTGGTACTGGCAGTTGGAGAGAATCAGTGGAATCAGGTCCCGCTCCACTTCGTAGCTGATGACGTGCAGGTCGGCAATCTCAGAGGCATCGATGGAGTAGCTGGAGACAGACAGACAGAGTTCAGAGTCCCAGTGAGATGTACATGGCCTGTCCATGCAGAGCCAGCTCCTGTCTGATGTTGCCACAGGCTGTGCAGGTGAAGGGACATGCAAATCTGTGACACTTGTGAGCGTAGCTGAAGGGGTTTCTGTTCAAGAAGGACCTGAAGCCTGGCTTGCTGTCTCTAGGTCTGCTGACCCTATTTCCCTGTTTGTTCCCCTCAGAAATGACTTCCTGCGCTGAAAGGGCGTCCCCTGATGTCGGCCTGCATGCTTACCTGTTGTCTTCCTTGGAGAACTTCTCCACCGCATAGACAATTTCATTGTGCAAGTTAATCAAGTAGCTGACTAAGGCGGTGGAGCAGAGGCCACGGCCCTGGCGGCGAGGCAGGATGACTTCCAAGTCAGTGTCCAGATCAAGGTCGGAGCTGCAGTAGTCTTTAGGTAGCTTGATCTCACCTTTAAATGACAGAGGGGCAGTCACCTCCCTGCTGGGAGCCCACCACGAGCCCACCACGGTGGGAAGGGGGGCAACGCAGAAACCACCTCAATAGAACACAGCTGGGAACCAAGAGTGCTTCTGTCTCCCACCTCTCTTTTATGTGCTGACAAGTTTCAAATAGTCTCAGCTCCTTTTTGATACTGAATTTATAGACTCAAGAGGACTGAGGGGTTGCTCTTTCTGAAATGTTATCCACTCATCTCAGATACCCTCACTGAGTCCACAGATCCAGCATTAGAGACACACAGCATGGTGCTGTGCACACACGGAACAGGCTGGAGAAAACAGGCCTTCAGAGAGGTGCTCCTGTAATGTTTAGTATAAAGGGGATTTGACTTACCATTGGTCTCCAGCGATCGCCTCAGCTTGTTCCATGTTGACAGAAAGACAGTGATTCTACTGCGGGCTAACTTCTTCAGCCCATCTAGCAAACAAAACACTTTTTAAGAACTCCAAGATAACACCTAGTCCCATCTAGGTCAAACCAACAGAATTACTTGCTCTTTGACCCCCCACCTTCATATCATCACCAACACACTCTAAATGCTGTTTAAACTAAAGCTGAGTTTGAGGAACCAGAGAGAGAGAGGGAGATTCTGGACTGCTACAGCAAAGCCTCTAATGTGTCCCAGGCATTCACAGCACCCACTGCTTCATGCTACAAACTTAGGGAACAGAACACACATTAGCCCTGACCTGGAGCCCCCGAGTTGGACCAATTCTTTGTACCACAACAGGGGTAGTCCTGATGCTCTGTGAGAGCAGAGCCTTACCTGAATCGTGACTGCTAATGAAACTTTGGATGGATCTGTATTCAGCTTCTGAAACATTCTGGAATCGTTTCACTAGATTCCTTTGCAGGGCCAAAATCTCGGGCAAGAATTTCACCAGTCTCAGCTCTGCCTCCTAGAGAAGGGTAGACCACCAGGAACACTTTTAAATGCACCTAGATAATGTTCCTGGGAAACAGACTTTGGGGCTGGCTCAGGCCATGAATTTGTAGTTTAATAAGGTCAATGTGCCATTTTACATAACACATAGTACTTGAGAATGGTGAAAGGCAAGTACCTTTCACTGCCTTCAGCAAGTACTTAGCGACTGCTTACAATGTGTTGGCCAGTGTTCTACACTTCTTCAGTGTAATTGACCTGAGCACACCAGTGACAGATTACAGTGTTATCACGATGGCCTTCCCACCGGGAATCCATTTTCATTAACTGACCCACCAAAATTTCTGCATCATCTTACTTCTTCCTAGGGTCGAGAAGCAAAACCTGTAGGGCTGACACAGCAAATGTGTTTGCCAGAAGCTGATGAAAGAAAACAGCCTCTTGGGCCCATGAGATGGGCTGGGTGTGGAGAGGCACTGCTGAGAGCAAGAGGACTAAGCATTTAGGCAATGATGCTTAGTGATGTTCCAGTATCATTCTGAAGACCTAGGACCTTAGCTTCTTCAGTGTAATGGACCTGAACACACCAGTGACAGATCACAGTGTTATCACGATGGCCTTCCCACAGGGAATCCATTTTCATTAACTGACCCACCAAAGTTTCTGCATCATCTTATTTCTTCCTAGATTGCAAATACTGGTACATGGAGGAAATGATTAGAAAATGTGTCTTAGAAAATAAAAATTCAAATGGATTAAAGTTAGGAAGAGTGTGTAATTCTGGCTCTGAAAGATATGATGCACACGTTACTGCTCTGTTCCCCTGCAATCTACCACCAGCCTCACTCTGAATGGTTTAGGAACAGGGAAGACTTTTTGTTTGATTTCAGTTATGCATTCCCAACTGAAGTTTTTTCATTCAACAGACACTCATTGGTGACTAACTGCTGCAGGCAGTGGGGGGATGAAGTTGAACAGATAAATGAAAGATATTATTCGGTTCTTTCTTGCTGAGTGATTGGGAGAAACCCTTCTGGCCAAGTACTTTACAGATTCCTACTAATTCCAGTGCGTGGATATATTTCACCTGTGACTTTATGCTTCAAATGACTTGTACAGATGGATGTGTTTGGAGATCTCTATCCCTGGGTCTTCTGCCAGAGACATTTTATTCAAAAATCAAAGTAGTTTAATGGCTGTCCCACCCTCAGGACTGATCAGACTAAATGAGAGCAGGGTCTCCAGGTCTTCAGGGGACATGTAGGTGACGGTCGCAGTGAAGCAGCCTCACCTTCTGCAGAAACTTCCAGAGGATGGGCACTGACTCTTTGCCATTCTTCTGCTCCACGATGTGCTGGAGGTGCTCAATGGTGATCCTTTTCCTGCAGCTCCACATCTTAGAGCAGTGAACCATGCTATTCTTGGGCAGGTGGGGCAGGAAGGTCACTGGGTCACCGTACACGATTTTGGCCACAGGGTTGGAGCTGATGTGCTCATCTTGGCTGACCTGAGCGTTCACTGCCAGGAGGGTTTTATCTAGATGCTAGGTGAGGAAAGCGATATGGGATCTGAAGTGAGATGCTAGGTTTTTGTCTCCTCAAACAGAATAAGTCTCACACATCTATATTTTATTACCATTATTTTAAATACTTGCTGATTTATATTTCCCAATGGGCTTAGTTACTCTCAGTAACATTCTTATCTGACAGGGTTTATTTCTCTGCCTCATTTGTACATTCTGCTATAAAAAGTAGTGGAGAGAAAATGACTGCCTGTGCTTTCTGGATTCCCAGTAATTCCTCAGCTTTATATACCAGCCTGCCTCGGGAGGGGACAGGATGGGGGAGGGGGCAACAGGAGGGTGGGATGACCAAATAGAGAACACTTAAATCTGTGACTTAGCCTAGGGTTTCTTTCTCTAAGGGACACTTCCAGAAGGGAAAACAGACCAAGTGCTCAGCAGAGGCTGTGGAAACCCCTTCCCGCACCTTCCCAGAGAAAGTAGCCCCATAGCTACTCATCATTTACCTCTAGTTCATGCAGAATAAGAGTCTGAACAAGCTGTTCCCAGCTGTTCCTCTTTCCCCTGGTTGACAATTCTGCATCAAAATGTAAAGACCCTACAAAGAAAAATGTGTATGTTACCCAAGAAACAAAAACCACAGCATTCTACATAAAACATTGAAGAAATGTTTAACTGAAAGAATGCTCCTTTTGCGAGCAGGGGTGGATATATTTTCCTAAAGTAACCTGAGCATTTAAAAATGTTTCCTGCTGCTACCACCAAACTCATGATCTTTGTGAGGATGCTTCAAACTCTAAAATCTCTAACCCATGTAATTATAATCTCAAAGCCATTCTGAACAAAATTACTGAAAGGACAATACTTTAAATCAGAAGCCCAGGGGCAAAATAACAGTGACTAGTGGCACCACAGGTCTCAACTGCTGCCACCTGGGCTTGAAGACAGAGGCAGGACCCTGTGGGTGCATTTACGTGCACCCCAATGTTCATCGCAGCACTGTTTATAATAGCCAGGACATGGAAGCAACCCAGATGCCCATCAGCAGACGAATGGATGAGGAAGCTGAGATGCTAGGTTTTTGTCTCCTCAAACAGAATAAGTCTCAGACATCTATATTTTATTACATTATAAATACTTGCTGATTTATATTTCCCAATGGGCTTAGTTACTCTCAGTAACATTCTTATCTCACAGGGTTTATTTCTCTGCCTCATTTGCACATTCTGCTATAAAAAGTAGTGGAGAGAAAATGACTGCCTGTGCTTTCTGGATTCCCAGTAATTCCTCAGCTTTATATACCAGCCTGCCTCGGGAGGAGACAGGATGGGGAAGGGAGCAACAGGAGGGTGGGGTGACTAAAGAGAGAACACCTAAATCTGTGACTTAGCCTAGGGTTTCTTTCTCTAAGGGACACTTCCAGAACGGACAACAGACCAAGTGCTCAGCAGAGACTGTGGAAACCCCTTCCTGCACCTTCCCAGAGAAAGTAGCCCCAAAGCAACTCATCACTTACCTCTAGTTCATGCAGAATAAGAGTCTGAACAAGCTTTTCCCAGCTGTTCCTCTTTTCTCTGGTTGACAATTCTACATCAAAATGTAAAGACCCTACAAAGAAAAATGTGTATGTTACCCAAGAAACAAAAACCACAGTATTCTACGTAAAACACTGAAAAAAATGTTTAACTGAAAGAATGCTCCTTTTGGGAGCAGAGGTGGATATATTTTCCTAAAGTAACCTGAGCATTTAAAAATGTTACCTGCTGCTACCACCAAACTCATGATCTTTGTGAAGATACTTCAAACTCTAAAATCTCTAACCCATGTAATTATCATCTTAAAGCCATTCTGAACAAAATTACTGAAAGGACAATACTTTAAATCAGAAGCCCAGGGGCAAAATAACAGTGACTAGTGGCACCACAGGTCTCAACTGCTGCCACCTGGGCTTGAAGACAGAGGCAGGACCCTGTGGGTGCATTTGATGCAGAATGCCATAGAAACTGTCAGCGTGCTTCTAGAATTTGGTCACTTTGTCAGTATGATACTTGCTGAGCTTACCTAGTGTGAAACCACTCCAGAATGAGAAACTTAAAATCAGATTTTGCTAAATGGAAAATATATATGGATGCTGAGTGAGTGAAAGTCGCTCAGATTGTCCGAGTCTTTGCAATACCATGGACTCCACAGTCCATGGAATTCTCCAGGCCAGACTACTGGAGTGGGCAGCCTTTCCCTTCTCCAGGGCATCTTCCCAACCCAGGGATTGAACCTAGGTCTCCTGCATTGCAGGTGGACTCTTTACCAGCTGAGCCACAGGGAAGCCTATATGGATGCTGGTTTGTGGCAAAAAAAGCTCCTGAAGTGGGAACGGATTTTCTTGTCGTGTGACAGAACTTTTAATTGCCATTTTTATTTTAAATAACATTGTCATTAGAGTGGTAATTTAAAAAGATTTTTGCAGATAACTTAAAAGAAAACAAAACTATTCTTCCAACACTCGGAGACAACCCTCTCACTAACTTGTCTTACAGACCTTTTCTTTCTCTGTGGACTTTAAATTTTAAACTAGAAAATGAGCTTAATAGTTGTTAGCCTACTTTTACATGTGACAAATTGTGGATGCATATACATATTAAGTCAGTCCACGAATGTAGTATTGTTTCAGGAAAAGAAGATGCTCCCCCCGCCCCACAAAACAAAACAAAACAGATATCCAACAGAAAGAGACCAAGTTCCAAGTGCTTATCAAACATTAGTCTCTTTGATGTTTCTTTAATGCACGTCGCTTCTTTTGGATGCCGTATGTTCCCCATGCAGTGGCTGAACTACATACAAGGCTGACTTTTGAAACTAAAGCCTCCCAAATACACTCACACCAGCAGGGGGTCAATGGAAAGGCCAGGCAGGTGCTCCCCTCCCCGACTCCCTGGAAAGTGCACGTCTTCCTGCTTGCCCCTCATCTCCTTCTGGGGTCGAGGAGTGCCCTGCTCCCTCTGCTGGCTGTGCCCCACGCCCCTGGCCCCGTACCCAGCTCCTCACTGTGGCCCTGCTCTTGGAGAAGGCGGCGCAGGACAAGGTGCACCACGCTGGCGGTCTCGTCCGCGCTCCTCCCCAGCATGTTCATTAGCTGCTCCAGGTCTCTCTGGATATGCTGCTGCAGAAACCCTTTTGGGTCCCACACCAGAGGTTTGATGATGTTCATCAAGTCCTGTGGGGGCAAGAGGACAAAATGTCAAGCAAGGTCTTGTTTGAGGAGGGGATGGCAAGTTCAGGAGAGGTAAGGAGGGGTGAAGAGCCGGTTCCGAGCCAGAGGACAGGCTCTAGGAGGGATGTCAGCGTGATTCAAACAGTAGAGGCGGCAGAAAACCGAGGAGCAGAAACGAATGTGGTCTGAAAACGACTGCCTTCTATATTGTCAATGTGAAATAAAGAACTTTAAAAACCTAAACTTTTTGCTCTCATGGTTAATGAACTTAGATAAAATGCAACATGCTATTTCTTTCTTCCCCAGAGCTACAGCAAAGACACAGGTAAAATCACGGTGATTTTAGCCTCTCCATTCCCAGGTGTGGACCGGAGACACAGAGCTATTCAGTAAAAACTGACTTTACATAAATCTGACAAGTAGTTCCCCTCACCACCATAGGCCACAGTGGGAAAAATTAGGATGTGTGAATTTTACATCATGTTCTGTGTTAGGTAACAGTGACTTACCCAAAATCCACAGTGGGTGGCTAGGTCTTTTAATTTTATTTTTTTCAACTATTTAAAATGATTTATTAAAATTTTTTCATGATTTATTAAAATTTAAAAGTCAATGTACAAATTACAAGAATGACAAAAATTCAGACTAAAATGGTTTAAATAATACTAAATTTTTAATTTCAACTTTTATTTTAATTAAACCTTTCAAAATATTCTTATATAAAGTTGTAATTCTAATGTTCGATATCCATCTAATTGTCAAAGAATTGGTATCAGGCTTCAACATGTTTCATCTAGACCTACATGCACAAATGTAGGTTAGTAAGATTTGTTTTATATTGTAAAGCATTCTTCATTTGTTACTACTGCCTATACAATTACTAATTCATGAGAACCCTGGGAACCACAAATTGGAACTTCAAAGAGGAGTAAGAAAATTGTTTCTACTGGGAAAGGATACTTAGTTATCAGAGAAGCAATAATTCATACTCTCTGAAAGAGTGGACAAATTCATTGATCTGTCTATCCCCTTATCCAAGTACTTCTGCATTCAGATCTTCCCCACACTCCCTAAGTAGTTTCTGCTTCTGATGTCAGTAAGGGCACAACACACAAACCTCACAGCATGCAAACACAGGAAGCAGTCTTGTGTTTCAAGGGGCAAAATCAGAGAACTCGAGCGGAACAGGGTTAGCCACAATGAAACCAAGCAGGACCCTGCAGGGCCTTCCCAGGAGCCGGGTGGGGTTTTTAGGTGAAAGGATTCACTATGAAAAGCTACCATAGAAAGCAGGGCACGACCGCGCAGTACCGTGCGCTACCTGGGGACTCTGGGTGGCTCCCAGAAGCATCGCCAAGTGAGTGAGTAGCCGGATGAGAAGGAAGACCACGGGGGACATCTCTCGGTCAGATACCACGGCCACATCTCTGGGCGGTGGGCTTCCCAGCACATGGCCAGTTTGAGTTCTGTCCGTGGGGTCACTGGAAAGGACAAGAGAAGACAGGGTGAAGGCTGAAGAAGACCATTTCTTCCGCTCTGGGGGCACACTTCAGAGTCTTAGGACCTAGAGACCAGGTTCACGGTTTTGAAGAAAATGATGCTGAAATTTATTTATTCTATTAAGCCTAGACCACTTTTCTGAGCCTTTTTCTTTATAGACAGGCCCTTCTGGCTGACCAAAAGTCCACAACAGTGTAAAGTGTTTGTGAGACTAGCCAGGGTGGGGGTGGGGGTGGGGGCGGTGGGGAGGGGCAACATAATGGTAGGGGGTTTGAGGTAAAAACTATTATGTATAAAATAAGCTACAAGGATATATTGTACAACACAGGCAATATAGCCAATATTTTATAACTATAAACGGAATATAACCTTTAAAACTGTGAATTATAATAGTGCACACCTGTAATTTATATAGTATTGTACATCAACTTCAGTAAAAAAAATAAAATAAGCTTTTGTGATAAGCAGCCCTGAGGTGACCTCTAAAATTAGTTCAGCATTCACTCGACCCAGAAAACCCCACAAAATCATGCAAATCAAGATTCACTTTAAGAACAGTGGTGAACCGCCCCGACCATTGAGGGGATGCATATCTGAAAAGCCACCAAGTGTCCGAGGACGTCACTTTAAAGAGCAGTGTGTGCCACTCCACTGTTATGGTGGGGAGCTGGTCGATGTGCGCAGGACAAACTAGGGCTGAAGGCAGGGTTGGCGGCCCAAAATCAGTGCTGAATCTTTACTGCACGTGCTCAAAAATGCAGAAAGTGATGCTGAACTGAAGGACTCAGATGTAGATTATCTTGCTTATTGAGCACAGCCAGGTGAACAAAACCTCCAAATGTGACACAGGACTTACAGAGCTCAGGGTTGGATCAACCCCTCCATGAGCTCTCCCCGCCACACTGAGATGATCCTTTCTGAAAAAGAACAGACTGTTCCTAAACCAGAAGAGGAGGTTGCACAGAAGAAAAAGATATCCCAGAAGAACCTGAAGAAACAAAAACTTAAGGTATGGGAATAAATGCTGCAAGAAATAAATGCAAATAAATAATAATAGTGAAATAAAATCATTATCAAAACAAAACTGACTGTTTGCTCCTGGGGCCATATGTCAGGATGGCGGTCTGGACCTGCTTCTTGCCCTGAATCAGTGGGACAGCGGCAGGCAGGCAAAGGACAGAGCCTGGAGTAGCTGACATTAACATGGAAATATATACACACTGGTCTCCTTCTCCCACATTAAAAACTAGGATCCAATCTCTGCAAAGGATTTGGCATCACACCCGGATGACAGGTGCAGTGTGATGGCTATGTTCAGTTGAAATGATACTGGAGATTCTAGGACATTCTAATAGTTTATGGAGATAACAGGTTAGAATATTTTAAACTGTAACAGCACCAAAATAGCTAGACTATAAGATCAATGTAGAGAGGTCACACCTCCTATTAAGGGAGCATTTACAACCATACTTGTCTAATGAGCAACTGTGGGATTATGAGATCAGACTTATAGCTGGACTCTGAATTATTTGATAAGATTGACTAGGTCTCCTCTATTTTTCTCAAAAGAAAAAAAATGTAAGCTAAGAGTTTGTAAGTGACAGATTTAAACTTCCCTCTGAATTTGGTCACCCTGTTTATGTCAAGCAGTTTCTACAGGGGTTGTAACCAAGGTTCAACTGGAAGATATTTGAATTAAAAAGTATTAATAAGTATTAAGGTATGGTCTGTTTTTGCATTAAAAGCCCAGTTAGCCAGTGACAGATCAAATGCCTCACTACTGAATAGACACAGAGACCTTGGCATTGATAGCCAACATGACCCAGATCCAAATGTACTATCGTAATTGATAATATATTTAGTATTGATTTATCAGCTGGAATAGAAACAGCCGCAAAGTACATGGTTCGATTATTTAGAAAAGAAATAGAAAATTACATACTTGATAACACGAAACCCCTCCTTCGGTATGTGATTAATCCCTCCAATTCGAGCATGACAGTCAATACAAAAGCTCTGTTCCATCGGCTGGCCACACTAGGAGAAACACACATGTGCCCCCAGATCAGTTTGGACAAATCCTGAAGTATGAGCACATACTTACCACAGCAGGTAGTGGATGCCACTAGCATTGCTTCCTTCGGTGTATGCGTACGTCAGGTGGGGCTGCAGGAGCCCTGGGAGACAGGGCAGGCACTGCACGGCAACTGTGCTGTGTGTGTGTGTTAGTCACTCAGTCGTGTCCATCTCTTTGCGACCCATGGACTATACCCACCGGACTCCTCTGTCCAGGGGACTCTCCAGGCAAGAATACTGAAGTGGGTTGCCATTTCCTTCTTCAGCCAACTATGTTGTGTGTGGGCAAATATAGACTTTTTTAAAAATAGAGGCTATTAAGTTTTATTCCCAGTCACTTTATAGATAAATATATAAAACTCAATCTTTCATTTTCACATTCATCACTGTTTTCCATTCATTCTCCTACAAGTTTAATGCTTCATTATCTAACACCAGGAATACTACAGTAGCTTCCAAACTGATTTCCTTAAATGGCATTTCCTTAATAGAATTCCTTAATGCCATTTAGAATTTTTTATTTTTAAACAATGTCACCATATGATTTACTACTTTCAAAGGTTCATTTTTCAAAATCAGATTGTGTGCTACTATAAATACACTAATAGTCTGTAACATACCAAACCAGTCTCAGATTCCTGGACCACAGAATTTCAGTACTGGGAGCAGTCTTAGGAAGAATCTATTTTAATCCCATTTCATGGACAATGAAGTGAGAAGCTCAGAAATATAAGGTGCGAAGCATGTCTCAGGTTTATCCTCCATGCTGCTTATTTACTGTATTAAATAACATTTGTCTGTTTCAATTCAATAGCCTGTTCTGAGCAGGTAGAGATGACACTATGAATGGCCCTGGCTAGATGCTTTGGGATTCAGAGATGAACAATACACGCATCTTCCCCTCACAGGCTTAAAAGGCACGCATGTTCTTTTCCTATCCTTCGGTGTCTAGACCCTATCTGCTTGCTGGGCAAGTAATCCAGCCTACAGTCTAGTCAACACCTTGTCATCACATAAAGACCTGAGTCACTGACTCCGTACTGCAGTGGCCAGGAAGGACTGCCAGCATGGTTCCAGCCCTGCAGTTTTGTCTTGCAGGGGACCTTGAGCAACATCTGGAGGCAGTTTTATTTGTCACACTGTGCCAGACAGGATACTACTGCCATCTGGTGAGCTGAGGCCAGGAATGCTTGTAAACCTGCAAGAATGGCCAGGCCAGCCCCACAATGAGGCCTTATGTCCACAGGGCTGAGGTCAAGAAACCCAGGCTGGAAAACCTTCATACCATTTGGAGGTTTAGTCAGAATACCTAGTGAAAGTGAAAGTCACTCAGCCGTGTCTGACTGTTTGCAACCCCATGGACTGCACCAGAATACTGCAGTGGGTAGCCCTTCCCTTCTCCAGGGGATGTTTCCAACCCAGGGATCAAAGCCAGGTCTCCTGCATTGCAGGCAGATTCTTCACCAGCTGAGCCACAGGGGAAGCCCCAGAATAATGGAGAGGGCAGCCTATCCCTTCTCCAGCGGAGCTTTTCGACCCAGGAATTGAACTGGGGTCTCCTGCATTGCAGGCGGATTCTTTACCAACTGAGCTGAGGGAAGCCCTATAGAACAGCTGTCAAAACGAGTTTGTGTTCTCCCCAAAGGTCCAGTCTCTCATCATCCTCCCCACTCATGGGCCCCCTCCTCGGACGTGGAGGAGGAACACACATTCTGAACCCCCACAAACCCTATCCCAAATACCAAGACTCACCTCTCCTACAGCGCACACGTGACCATTGGGACATGCTGTTGAAAGAACAGGACACATGTTGGCTGGTGAGGCTTTGCCTAATGACCCACCATTAAACAGGAAACCTAACTCCCTGCTTTCTGGTCTAACCAAATAATGACGTGGACTTGATGTCCCGAGCATGTTACCAGAAATCTTAAACTCTGCTGGTTTACTAATAGATATTTGACACCATACCAGGAGCTCAACTTGTATCAGTGAAAAATAGTGTCTGCGTTTAATTTCACAAAGCAAAGAGAAACTAGATTACAGGCTCATACCAGGGGTTATTTTTGGAGGCAAAATGGATAGTATTTTATACCCTCCTATTTATTCTCTTTGATTTTTTTTCTTTTTGCTGTGAGCAGGTTTTATAACAACTTTTAAAACTACTTTTAAAAGATTATCTACTCAAGACAATGGCAAAATTTACATCAGGTCATGGGTTATATTATTTCCTCCCTCAGTCCTATATTTCTAAAAGAACTATCTTTGGATCAAAACCTTGGTTGTATTGTGAGCTAGCCCTAGACTGAGCTTCTGATGTGGTTCCCAGTGCCCCCTTCTCCCCCAGAGGGCATATTCCAGGAAACAGAAGTGCATCTGAGAGGACCCTTTCCCTGGGACTCAGAAAAAGAATGATCTGCATCATCCACAGCCAGCAGGTACCAATTCCCGCAAAGTGTTCGTGTTCTGCAAAGGCACCCATGGCAGGAGGAGGCAGGCACCTTGGACCCTTCAGGCACAAACCCATGTACCCCAATTCTATACCAATGTTTCCTGTAGTTTCAGGTTGCTACTCAAAGCTCAGGAGTGGGATTCCACCATAGGCCAGCACTTACTGTACCAGTGGACTTGTTCCAGACCCTTCCAATTCCTAGCTTGAGCCAGCAAGTCTTCAGGCATCGTTGGAAGAAAGGCATTCTGAAAAGCCAAAAAAGCAGAGCTGGCTTTAGCTTAGTGAACACATCGATTCACTGTCGCTGCTCAGCAAGAGGCCTTGAGTAGGAACGTGACCTTGGCTTTCTTTCTTCTCGACCCCAAAAGCTCTCTATGAAGAACACAGAACAGCTCTCTCTATGAAATGACAAAGGGTAAGGCAAGTTTTTCACCATCACTGTGGACTGAAGCATCAAGTGAGAAAGAGGACGATGGCAAACCGACAAGATAAACAGGTTCAACGGTTTCTGAGGTACCGGCTGGGTCTCTAAAGTTTTCCCTGTGAATGCAGAAGAAATCATATCCCAGTCTTACCACCATGAGGTGTGGGAAGAAGGCCAAATTCTTCAGGGGTCCTAAGACTTGGCTTTGTCCACAGAGAAGGATGGTTGCAGCATGAACAGCCATTTCTATTACTGTCCCTTCCAGGTTGCTGACCCCAGGACCTGTCCTCAGGAGGGGTAGTTCATTATTCACGAGGGATATTGCAAAAGATCTGATATCGGGAGACAAGGTCTTGCTTTTCTCAATGAATTTCTCCATAGCCTCACATTGCTGACAGGAAAGAAATGAAAATACATCAAATAAAAATATTATATGAAAAAAAATATTATATGAACAGCAGAAGAAAAGCCAAAGGTTTTCTCTTATGTTAGTCATGCCTTCTGATCCCAAAAACTTATCAAATATCTCCTTAAGAGGAATTCTCTGGTGGTCCAGTGTTAGGACTGCCACTTCCACTGCCGAGGACCCGAGGGTCAATCCCTAGTTGGGGAACTGAGATCCCTCAAGACACAGGGTGCAGCCATAAATAAATAAATAAACAAATAAAGTTAGCTGCATTAAAAGNCTTCTGATCCCAAAAACTTATCAAATATCTCCTTAAGAGGAATTCTCTGGTGGTCCAGTGTTAGGACTGCCACTTCCACTGCCGAGGACCCGAGGGTCAATCCCTAGTTGGGGAACTGAGATCCCTCAAGACACAGGGTGCAGCCATAAATAAATAAATAAACAAATAAAGTTAGCTGCATTAAAAGACTTCTAAATCAACGTTAGAATGGCTAAATGATTACTGCCTGAAGGGGAATTATCCAGAGACATCTCCTCTACAAACACAGAAACCACATATGCAAGCACTAGTTTTGATCATTCTGTTTTGGAAAACATTATTTTATGTTCTTGTTTGAGACAACTTTATTTTTATTTATTTATTTATTTATTTATCTGGCTTCACCAGGACATGGAAGCAACCTAGATGCCCATCAGCAGACGAATGGATGAGGAAGCTGTGGTACATATACACCATGGAATATTACTCAGCCATTAAAGAGCTCCTACAATCCTGAAAAAGCAAGGACATCAAGTGAGACTTTTAAAAGTTATACAGATATAGCTCAGGGCCAGAATCTCATGTGATCTGTATGTGAATAAAGAATGAGATCAGTACTAAAGCCTTGGAGAGGATGAGTGAGCCTTTCCTAATACCATAGGCACCTGGAACCCTGCACCTCAGGACCATCTTCCAGAAAACAACTCTTCAAAAACATTCTCATATTAAAAAAAAAATTCTCATATTAAATGCAATGTATATTTATTATACATATATTTATACATATATTTATTATACAGCTTACAGCAGAAGTAACAGGGATCACTATCTGTTCTCTTTCTGACTACTTCCTTGGTCCCTTTAGGGAACTTTTGCTGAACTAAGATATTTATTCCTCTTTTTCCAGCAAAGCCACAAGATAAGTAAGGACTCGAAAGGAAATAAGAACGTAACAATTTAAAGATTGTATTTGTAAACGCCTGCATCTGTTAAAATAAACACGTGCATATGTCTCTACGGGAATTATGAGGTTTTGCTTCCCGTGCCATCGCATCTCAGAGCAGAGGAATCCTGGAGAAAGCAGCTTTTCAGCAGGGTCTCAAAGAAAATAATGGACCTAAATAAATCAGAAAGGAGCTGCTGGTGGCCTCTCACAAGCCCAGCAACCCAAATCAACCGCTGCCACTCCGTGTTTGCCAGGCGAGCTCACGAGGCCACGGACATAGGACTTCCAAGGCAGCATGTCACCCTGTGGGGCGTCTCCCACTGCATCATTTGACCCTAACAAGACAAGACTTAGGCGGTGAGGGGCCGCTGTGTACACAGAGCAGCCGCCAGCCTGGCCTACCTCCAGAGCCATCTCAACAGCCAGGGGCTTGGATTCCAGAATGGCCTTGCCCACTGCATCTCGGACAGCCTTGTAGTTGATCCCATGCACCAGATACCGATCCATCTGGCCTGGATGATCCATCTGCAACCCCAAGAACACAGGGGTTAATCACGGTGGGTACAGTGTGGGAAATATTGAGCAAAGAACCTTCTTGATAGGGAAAGGAACCAGGCAATCACTGAAGGTTTAAGGGCAGTTGAAGCAGGTTTCCAGGGTAGACTGAAGCATGACAGCTCACTGCTGTTTGGGAAGCACCTCCTCCTCACTGGATGAAGAGTGGGCGAAAATCTAGGGGAGGTGATACTGTAGCTACTTGCCATATGAACTCAGAGTAGAGCACCAAAAACTTACGAGTCAAGCCTAAGCTCCAGTTGGGAGGAAAAATAGGCAGGATTTTTAGTGCCATTTTTGTAACCTCAGGACAGTGCAAATTCATTCATTTCTAGGCTCTAGGAAAGGACAACTTAGTCCTAAAGCCAAAATGACTGCAACTCTGTCATCCTTAGTCCTTTCCTGTCTTCCCTGCTGAAGATAAAAAGGGCTTATTTTACAGGACGAATGACTTTTAATTTGCTAAAGGCCGAAGCCACAGAATCATTCTTTTGCTTTTCCTGTGTTGAACTCAATCAGAAGTGATGCCTACATATGCTTTGCAGGTAGATGACAAACCAGAAACAAACACAGACACACCTTTCCCCTAGGCAGATAACCGTGATCACAAGCTGGATCAACCGAAATCCAGACAGAGGACCAGACCAGACCAGATGCAAGCATTTTCCCGGATGGATGTGGGAGAAAGGCAGGGAGGGATGGAAGAGCAGCAGCCCTCCTCCTGGGGTGGGTGGGACAAGGGAGCTGAGATAGCACTGGGGCTGCCGGACTGCCCTTCTCACCTGCTGTGCGAGGACTTCCTTAGGAAACACCCAGCGGGCCGGATGGCCCTCTTTGGAGAGGCTCTGCACAAACGCCATCCCCTGCTGGCTGCTGAGCTTCCTCAGCAGGTACACTCGGTACCAGTCATTCTGGACCCGGGCACAGAAGCGCTTCACCTGCTGCAGGTAGTGATGCTTCTCCTCCGCCATCTCTGCAGAGCCAATGAGAAAGGCCAAGTGATGGCTGAGGGTACTTGTCAGCTAACTCTCTGCAACAGAGGCTAGCAAAAGCTCTGCACCTACCCTTTGGGAACTCACACTGAGAGAACTAATCTAGAAGAAAGGGGACATGGTACAGACCAGGATAATTCCTGAGAACCAGCTTCCCACACTTCCTGAATTTCTAAATCATGGGGGCTCCCAGCCTGTGCTCAAGAAAGTTGGGAAGAAGACCTGCCTGAGCCATCCTGAAGCTCGGCGAGGATCTCAGATGCCTTGTCAAGACAGAGGCGGATGCGGGCCATCTTCTGTAGGTGCTCCACTGAGGCCTCACCAGCAGGCCATCGGCTGCATCCCACTGGCTGGTATGTCGTAAGGAACTGGCCTTCCTCTCTCAGGTATTTCAGTTCATCCCTTATGAAGAAAGCATTATTCTTCTCATGTATTGAATCCTAGGGAACATAGAACCAGAAAGAAAGGATATTATTCTTTTTTATTTACAAGACCCCATCTGTGAAATTTCACCAGTGTGGTCATGGACAGTGTAATAAGGATAAAGAACAGTGTTGTAGGTTTGAGTGGATATTTTGTGAATCATGAAAAACCAACACCTCCTTTTATTTTTATTTTAGGGAACAGAAGGAGGGAAAAAAATAAAAGGTATAATGAAAAATATTGTTTTAACCTAATGTAACTTTTCATATGCATTGTAAGATTTTTGGAAGAAACACAAATACAAAGAGAATAAAAATTAGAAGTATTCACAACCTCAGTACCCACAGAGAGGCATCATCAACTTTGGTGGCATATTCTTCAATGCCTTTTTCCCCCTCATGCACATGTACATAATGCCAACATATGCAATTTCTGAGGACAGAAGTAATGTTTCTGAAACATTTTTCCCCCTAAATGGAGTACAGCATCTATTAATGTCACCACATAAATTATATTCTGTAAATTTTCAGAAAAACACTATTCCATTGCATAAACCATGTGGTTCCGAGAGCCTGCAAAAGAATTGTAGTGAGGTGATAGTCAGCTTACCTCCAGGCAGTTGCTAAAGAGCATGTACAGTTCGGTTTTATCTTCAGCCAGGAATGGTTTCTTTTCTAACTCGGACAAATAAGTCTGAATATACTCTTTCACGTCACAGAAGCTAGGGAAGGAGAAATATTATATACACCTGGTTAGCTAAGGTCTGGAAACCCATTTTGTCAAAACAAAGGTTTGAAGTATCTATTTGCCTATTATTCATTTCCTGCTTCCTGTATACTTATACATATACATACATACGTAGTTGGGAAGATCCCCTGGAGAACAGAATGGCAACTCACTCCAGGATTCTTGCCTGGAGAATTCCATGGACAGAGGAGCCTGGCAGACTACAGTCCATGGGGTCACAAAGTGTCAGACACTACTGAGCAACCAACACTTCCACTTTCTCACATACATAGATGTGTTTATATAGTTTATAACATGATTTTATGAAGAATATTTTAGCACCAACTTGGAGGAATATAAAATTCCATATTTTAGATGGGCTTCCCAGGTGGTTCAGTGGTAAAGAATCCGCCTGCTAATGCAGGAGACTCGGGTTTGATCCCTGGGTCAGGAAGATCCCCTGGAGGAAGAAATGGCGACCCACTTCAGTATTTTTGCCTGGAGAATCCCATGGACAGAGGAGCCTGGCAGGCTATAGTCCATGGGGTTGCTAAAGAGTCAGACATGACTTAGTGACTATACAATAACAATTTTATACCAGCTGTTCTCAAACTTCTGGCTCCAGGACTCCTTCCCAGACTTAAAAATTAATGAGAACCACAAAGAGCTTTTGCTTCTATTGGTTATATCTTCTGATATTTACAATAATAGAAATTAAAACTAAGAAAAATTGAAAATATGTATCAATATTCATCATTTAAAATAACCATACTAAACTCATGACATATTAACATAAATAATATTTTAAAAAATCTTTTCCAACACAAAATTTCATTAGTAAGAAGGGCATTGTTTTTCAATCCTAGAAATCTTTTTAATGCCTGGCTTAACAGAAGTTCACTGGATTCTCAAATCTGCTTCTGCTTCTAGTTGGTTGCACTATATTATATGAGCAAAATCTGGTCTCATACATTCTGTAGTTGGAAAAGGGAGAAATATTTTAGTAGTCTTTTCAGGTAAATATGGATACTCTTTTTTGATGCTACACCAAAAATGATAGACAATAATTTCTAAAGGTTAGTTTCAATCTGCAATCTGAAACCTCACCAATGTACTTTTCATCGTTAACTACATTAAAATCAAATGATCTACCTTGCAATCAGATAGATTTCTTTTTGATCAATGCACAATTCTGTGACATCAAGAACCAGTTACTTCATAAATACTGGTTTGCTGAGCTGTGCAAATTTTGCAAACATTGACACATTTTTATCATATATTTTACAAAAACTCACATTCATTAATATCACCACCCATGTTATCAAAAAGTTTGTATTAGAAAGCTGACAGGCTCACAGTGGAGGATACAAGTTTTCCAACATTTTATTTTATTGTTTTTTAATTTAGCCATGCTGAGACTTGAAGGATCTTAATTACTTGACAGGGATTGAACCTGGATCTTCGGCAATGAAAGCGTGCAGTCCTAACCACTGGATCGCCAGGGAATTCCTCCAAACCTTTAAATATCTGCTTATAAGCTTGAATTTTATAATTAGCAACAAAACTCTCAGTTTGTGATAGGCTCACCTATCAGTTTGTGATAGGTGTTTCTCAGGAAAACGCCTGTCAACTAACTGCCCAGGTTTCAGCATCATTTGTCACTCATTCTTTCAAGTACAAGTGGTATTTCACAAAAAAAGCATGCAGATTAGGATGTAACTCAAGAACTGTAGGAGTGGTTTTCCTTGAGACAGCCTTGTACCTTGGTGTGCTGCTGGAGGCTTTGTGTTATCTCTCATTATAATACAACATAACCAGTCATATCCTTAAGAGTAGGGATTTAGTAGAATTAATAATTTTTATAGCTTCATCAAGGACATTATGTGAAACTGGCATTTTAAAAAATTACATGTGCATGGTGGTGACAGAAATAATGGCTACTACCAGGGTCTTTCTCATGCTAAGATGCTAGCAGCTTTACCTTTCATCACTTTAGTAACATCAGTTCAAACAAGTTGAAAAAGTCAGATGCCATCTTAGTGTTATTTGCAGTCTGGTCAACACCGTCCCATGCACGGGTCTGCCCAGACAGCAGGTGCCTACATTTCCATAAAGTATGTAAGTCCAGTCTGATTCATTCTTAACACACAAAAGTACATGAAACACAAAGAGCAATGACAGCAGCAAGTATTTTTCAACCCAGGAAATGACCATTCATATTTTTAAACTGTGTTTATGTCTCAAGATTTTTATTTCAAAATCAGTTCTGTAAAGTTTACTCTAAATATTCCAGAACAGAGCATTTACCTTTGAGTATAGTTTGTACTCATATTAATGTGTCTATACTTTATGTCAAGAGATATACATGTCAATGACACTTCCCTTTCTCCCATCCAAGTACTAACCAGGCCTGACCCTGCTTAGCTTCCGTGATCAGACGAGGTCAGGGGCGTTCAGGGTGGTATGGCCGTAGACGACACTTTTCCCTTTCTCTAAGCAAGGAGATTCAGGTGAATACAGATTTCACACATTTACCTAAATTAATGAAAATCACAGAATAGCAAGAGGCTCTTTTCATATCTCAAGGCAACTGTGTCTATATATGCCTTAAGAGCCATTTTCGGGTATAGCAAGAAATGTATTTTAAGAGTATTGTATTTGAAAATCCTGTTTGAAAAGGCTATTTCATAAATAATGGGGGGGAGGCACCAAAATAAAATGTCTGTAGACCAGATTGCAGTGGATCCCTGTTTTAAACATAAATGTAATCTCTATCTTAAGTCATATTTCGGACATTTAAGTTGGAAGTAGTTGTGTCTGTTGGAAATTTTCCTATAGCATCTTGATTTTGCCATCACCTCAAGGTGAACTCTCTCAAGGTAGGACACAGGTTGAGAAACAGAGTATATTCCAAAAGACATCTTCTGAATACAGATCACCTTTCTAAGAATTTTTAAAAATAGCATAATTTGACAAGCCCATTGAGGCGCCATATGGGCTTCCCTGTTCATTTATAGTATCGGAGAAACTTAAGAGTAGCAAAACTTAGACAACATCAAGTGCAAGGAGGTTGAGTGTAGATTCTAAGTTATGGTCCAAAAAACCACAAAACTTTGTAGCTATGGAACTGAGATGAGAATTGTGGATTTCTGACTCCCGACTTCCTGCACCCACACATCTCGCAGCACTCTGTGCCCTTCCCCCAAATCTGTCTTCTTCCTAAACACGTGCTTGTGGCCATACTGAACTCATGGCCAGCATGTAATATGCCAAGGATACAACCCATACAGATAAAGGAACCAGGGCGCCTCTTGCTAAAGAAGCTTCCCCAGATACTGATCTAGCTACCAGTTCTGCAAAGAATGCACTGCGGCAAAGAAAAATCCATGAGGAGAAAAAAAAAAAAGAAGTCAAGGTGTTTCAGAGGCAACTCCATGTTTGTGGTGCTCACCTGTATTTTAAAAGCAGTTTCAGTACCACTGAGCGGATCACAGGGGTCTTATCCACGACATCATCAAAAGGAGAAAGAGACTTTGTGTGTTCACGGCATCCTAAAACCAGGAGAAAGGCAGATCATTGTTCACATCAGACATAAAAAGTGAGATGAAGAACTGAATTTTTAACTCTATTGGAAGACAGCCACTCACGTTGGGGAGCCTCTCGAAGGAGCTCCTTCTCTACAAAGAGTAAGGATAGCAGGTCTTTGACCACTTCCTTCTGAGGTGGAGAATTGTCTTTGAAGCACATGGTAGAAACCAGGTCCACGAAGAAACTATTGCACATCTGCCGGAAGCGGGCATGTTTCTCAATGGCCTCCCTTGGGAATGGTTAAAAACCACGGTTAAAAAAGTCTTATAAACTGTGTTCCAGAATCCCTCCCTAGAGAGTGCTTTGGGATTTGGATAGCTTTTTTTTTTTTAATTAAAAGATGCAAGTATCTCCATATATTGATTAGAATCAGTCTCCAAAAACAGACAGTACGTACACTTGGCTCTTTTGAGAAAGACTTTGATCATTTGGACCATCTAGTAATAGCCTTTATATCCCAAGAGTTTCTCAAAGCTCCCATCCACTGGACTTGTCTTGTGCCCCACTTTTAGAAGGCATCAGAAGGGAAGAAAACCATTGTTTGGGCTATTTTAATCAGTGCCCTGAAGGCACTTAGCCAAACAAGAGTTAGCTTTATCCTCAAATCATAGAACATGGATGGCATTTACACATCAAGAAGATAAGCCAGTTGCATTTAAATTCTTTGGGTACTTGTGATGGCTTTACTTAGTTTACAACTTTCTGGGTATTTTCCTCTAATTTTTCAATCTCCCTCTTCTGTACACATGCATGTCTTGGGAAAAGGATAATTTTCAGACACTAGGTGTTTATAAAGGTACATAAATAATTAGTTGTCTTTCTTAGGACACTTGTCTGCTATGAGGCTTTCTAAGGTCAATAGTATATTTTAAAAATAATTTTGTTTATTATTGGCAGTGCTGGGCATTGCTGTGCAGGTTTTCCCTCTAGTTGGAGAAAGCAGGGGCTACTCTCTAGTTGCACTGCTCAGGCTTCTCATTATGGTAGCTTCTCTAGTTGCGGAGCACAGACTCTAGGGTGCCTGGGCTTCAGTAGCTGCGGTACATGGGCTCCATAGTCGGGGCTCACAGGCTCTAGAGCACAGGCTCAATAACTGTGGTGCAAAGGCATATTTGCTCCGCCACATGTGGGATCTTCTCAGATCAGGGACTGAACCCATGTCTCTAGCATTGGCAGGTGGATTCTTTACCACTGAGCCACCAGGGAAGCCCAATACTTATATTTTTGAATCCTGTATTTGCAAAAAAGGAAGAAAAAGGTGGAAGCTTTCTCAAGAGAAAGGCTGTTTTACCTGTGCTCCTGGGACACAGTTGCAGAGTATCTGTCTGGTAAGTCGGTTAAACACAAGGGGCAACCCATATGCCCTTGGGTGAGGTTAACGTCAATGCAGCGCAGGCAGAAAACATGGTCACAGGGCAGGCAGACAGGATCCTGTGCATCTCCCAGGCAGATGGGGCACGGCTGAATCCCAAACCTAGAAGCCAAGAAGGGTGGTCAGCTCTAAAGCAGGAAAGTGGGACATGAGAAGCAAAAAATAAAAAGCTTCCGAATTCTCAACCTTGTGGATCCCTAATCCAAAATCTCACCTGGTGAAACTCTCGCTGACCTGGTCCTTACATTTACGAAGAGTAGTCATCACCGCCATGAAAGGCCTGTGGGTCTTCATGTCAGAGTCCTCTAGTAGGCACTGAAGGAGAAAGGCATTGGCAGGAGGGCAGGGGGGCAGAGAGGGAGAGCAGAGGTCAGCCAGGCCAGAAAACATGGCATGCCCTCTGCCACTGGTAGAGCTAGACAGTTAAGGCTCTGCTGTCTGTAGTGCAAGGCTTTTTAAAATTTTGTTTAGCAATTTCTTCAACTTTGAATGCCCTATGGGACTAGGCTGTTTTGGGGAGAAGACCGATATTCTCAGCTTTAGAGTTTTCCTTTCTTCCACTTTGTCTTTTAAAGGTCTACCCCCTCTTTCCATTATATTTCAAACTATAAATGATAATATAGTGACTATCTGTGTATCCACCAAGCTTTAAGTAATCTTGGCATTTTTTTGAATATTTGCTTTATCAGTTTCTGAATAACCAAATGTTACAGGTATAGTTTTGATTTCAAGTATATCCCTTTCTACTCCCAGGCCCAGGGAACCATATTCTTAAATTCCCACTTCTACTAGATTTGCACCCATGCATGCATGCATGCAACTCTGTTTTAGGGACATCACACTATACCTAAGCTTGGCAACTTCCATTTTTCATTGATAAACGTAGGTTCAGATCATTCATGTTTACTACTGCATGGTACTTGGTGACAAAGACACTGGTCACCTATTTTCCTATTAATGAACATTTAGGATGTTCCCAATTTCTTGCAATTACAAACATTTCTGTACCCAACATTCTTCCATGTGTCAGAGTGGAAACAGGAAAATTCCCTAGAGTATATATTTAGAAGTAGAAACACTGTTTCTTAGGAAAGACATATCTTTAATGACATAAGATAGTGAGTTTAATTGGTATGCTTAGGGAATTTTCTGATTAGATATGATGCTTGTTATATAACATATATATTATGTTAAACATAATATAGATATTATGTATACCCATGACATTATCTGCTCAAGGAAATTTCCTTTCTATTCCTAATTCAGCAAGAGTATCTTTTTACCAAATTATATATTTTATGAAAAGCTTTTTTTGTACCTTTTGAAATAATCATTTGCAGTGTATTGTTTGATTTGTTTTGTAACTGATGACATTTATAGGTTTTTCAACTGTGAGCTATCCTTGAATTCCAGGACTAATCTTACTTGGAAATTGTGAGATTTTAATACCCTGCTAAATTTGATCTGTTAAATAAAATATTCAAAAGTGGCCAAAGGACTTGAATAGACATTTTCCAAAGAAGGTATACAAACGGGCAATAAGCACACAAAAAAATACGAACATCGCTAGTCACTAGGGAAATACAAATCAAACCACACGGACTTGGTGCTCTGTGATGACCTAGATGGGTGGGATGAGAGGAGGGGAGCCTCAACAGGGATACATGTATACATACAGCTGATTCATGTTGCTGTATGCAGAAACTAACAACATTGTCAAGCAATTATACTCCAGTTAAAAAAACCCAACACCACAGTGAGATACCGCTGCATACCCATTGGGAGGGTTGTTATTTTTAAAATGGAAAATAACAAGTACTAGTAGGGATGTGGAGAAATTGGAGCTCCGGGTCATTGCTGGTGGCAGTTGTGGGAAACAGTATGGTGAGTCCTCAAAATGCCAAACATGGAATTACCATGTGATCCAGCAATTCTACTCTTAAGTACACACCCAAAAGAATTAAAGTAGTGACTCCAATAGATACTTCTATACCCAGGTTCATAGTGGCATTATTTATAATCACCAAAAGGTGGAAACAACCCAAGTGTCCATCAACAGATAGCTGGATACACAGAATGTGCTCTATCCATACAGTGGAATCTTACTCAGCCTTAAAGAGGAAGGCAATTCTGACACCTGCTACAATGTGGACAAACCTTGAGAACATGAAATATGCTAGTTGAAAAAGGACATGTCAAAGGCTACACAGCAAAGCTGCTGGCAGTGCCTGTGTGAGGTTCCCAGTAGGCAGAGGCTGTTTTCCCCGTTTTCAGAGACAGTGGCCCTGAGAGGCCATTGATGCTGAAAGGATGGTCACTTTTTCTGCAGGGTATTATCCTGTGTGGCACCAACTTTATAAAGGGTGTCGAGGGGCAGAGACATGGGCCTTCCTGTGCCCTTGGTCCCACCAACAGCACTGTGTTTGGAAGTCCACAAGTCCAGTGGCATCCTCTTACACCGCCGTCTTCCTGATCATGGCAGTGGCAAGCTGCTCCCACTGTGGGCCAGGCTGCTGGTCTTTCTATGGCCACTGGAGGCCTGGTTGGAGCCTACCCTTCAGTCCTCCCAAGCAGATTTGCTGCACTGATAGTTCCTTTTCCTGCAAGAAACCCTAAATGACATACCTTGACTTACCACTCAGGAGAGGGTAGAAATTAAACCATTAAATGCCGCAAATAGAGCAGCTTATGTGATCAAATCACTTTCCTTACTACAACCAGATAAAACTGTCAGAGCAGAAAGGGAATATACCACCTTGCTGATAGAGGTTAGGTCAAGCTTCAATTGTGCTTCGTCTTACAAAGACGCGGACCTCTGCCTGCTAGGCCGAACCTTTGCGCTCACCTTGTTCAGCAAGGAGACATGGCCGGTCACCAGCTTGAGCAGCTCAGGAATCTGACTCTCCGTCTCCAGCAGCACGTGCTCCACAAAGAGCGAGATGGAGAAAATGCGATTCCAGTGGGTTCTGTCAAGAGAGGGGTTCCCTCACTCAGCTCTGACAAAAAGCACCTGAGACAGAAGGCAGAGGTGCAGGGAGGTAGTTTCGAGGCATAGGACTTGGAAGTTAAGAAAAGGAGCAGATCGTAAAGTATTGAAATCAGAGAGAGACTGTTCTCTTATCACTGTGGAATTATGTTAGAAATCAATATCAAAAGATATTTGAAAATAACCCACATAATTTCAAGTGCAATGTGACATTTATCAACAAAGATCTTTGACTTTGCCACTGAAAGTCTCAGTAAAGCTTGAAGACTGAAGAAACACAGAGGGTGATTGCAGAGAAGAAATAGATTTAAATGAGAAATATCAAAGTGAGAAATTAACATCAAAGATACTTTAAAAAAATCCATGTATTTGGAAATTAAATGTCCACTTTTAAATGGTAGGTGTATGCAAGAAGCCATAACAAGGAAAATTCGAAAAGATCTGTAACATAATAAAATTGAAAAGAGAATTTCTCAGAATTTGTTGTATGCAGCTGAAGCAACTGAATTCAATGTGGAAGCTTGAATAAGATATGAAAACAAATAATGGATACTAACATAAAATTTTGTGAAATTTCAACAAAATCTGTACTGAAGTTAATACTGTATCACAACTTAATTTCCTGCTTTTTTTTTCTTTTTTNCTCCTTTTTTTTTTTTCTTTTTTACAACGTGGTCTTTCTTTATATTCTTAGAATTGGATTAGAAGTTTCAAGCTTCATTCAAAAAAATTTAACTCACTAAGATAATAAACTTTCTAATCTTTAAGCAAGAATATTAGATGCCAAAATACATAGAAGTATATCAACGTTATGGTGAAAATAAATTAGTGGAATCAAAATGTCATACTTTTGCTAAGCAAAAATTCATGTCTCTAAAATACATATTTTAATTATATATATTAGGTTTATATATACATATACATATCTGTGTATGTACAAAAGCTTTCTTACTATGCTAGATAAAGGCTTCAGAAAGAACAATAAACAAGAGACAGAAATTGGAAAACATAAACTAAATGAAATGGGAGCACAGAATATGAAATAGAAAAATGAAACAAACTAGACAAAAAAAAAATCATCATATAGTCCAATTGTTTTTAAGCATGGATAATCATTAGAAACACATCTGAACTCTGGAGAAAAAAAGCAAAACATGGGCATTTGTATTTTTCAAAAACTTCCAAGATAATTCTGATATGCCTCTGGATTTTAAAAAGTATTACAGGCTTTTCTATCAAATGGTACTTTTACTGATATAGAACTATATTATTTTCTGTTGACCAATCATAACAATGGTATGAAGTGAATAAATAATAGTTATATAGTCACAGTAGTAAAAGGTGTTTACAGTTTTCGTGTTTCAGTACCTTTAGACCATGAAGCTTTCACACCTTGCATACATTCTAATGTCTCTTAGTTTACAGTCTATGGCAATTTGAATAGAACTTGTATCCTACTGTTGTGTGAAAGTTATAAAAAATTATGGTTCATGGTGCTTTTCAGATCTACTGTATTTTTTTTACTTTTCTGTATATTCATTCTATTAATTTTTGAGAGTTTGATATTAAAACTACAACTAAAAATCTTAATTAATCTACTTAAGAAATAATTGTAATATATGGTGGAACTATATGTAACTCTTTTGGGTATCTTCCAAGTCTCCTGTAAATGTGTTATCACACTTTCATAATTTAAAAAATAAAAAAGAAAGAGGAAAAAAAGGAGCAGGAGAGAGGGTAAGTGAATCAGGTAGAAGCCCTTTATGATGTGCTCCCTGACCTCTACCCACTTCCGTCTTTCTCCTCCTCGCCGCAGACGCTCAGCTCAGACAACTCAAGCTCGATGCCTCTGCCCACGCCTGGTGGCTCCCACCTCGCCCTCGAAGGCCAGCCCAGGCCTTGTCCTCTGGGAAGTCTGCCCCGAGCGCACGCCCTTTCTCTGTCACCCTGCTGGGGGCCTCTGCGGCTGCTCCTTCGCCATCGGGATCACAGTAACCCGCTCACCTCCGTATCACCCCCATCATCTGTGCAGTCCCTGAAGGCTCGGCCCTCGCCTGTTTTTCTAGGATCACTGAGATGCCTGGCGTTTAAGCAGGGTTCCACAGATGTTAGAGAATGACGAGGAAAGGCCCACGTCCAGCGACAGGAGCATCTGCCCTCTCTCTCTGTACCCAGGCCTCCTGGGTCTTACCTGACACCGGTGATGACCTCTCTGGTCTTCATCCCACAGTCCTGCATGTAGCCTTCTGAGCAGAGGAGCTCCAGGGGCATGGAGAGATTCTTCACCGTCCGTAACCAGGCTTGGGGACTGGGCTTCAGGAGGTTTTCCGTCAGCATTTCAGCACAGGCCACTGCTGCCAACACATCCAGACTCTGGGGAGCAGAGAACAGGCCTGTGACTGAGCAGTCTGTCCCCCGGCCCTCACTGGGCTGCTCTAAACCTTAAGTCGGAGGTCCTGGGTGTTTTTCTTGTGCTCCAGGCTTGGAGCCTCCTCTTTCATTGTCTTGGGATCTAGGAGGCATGAGTTAGATGCATTCTGACTGAGACGCCACACTGATGTGTGTGCTGGTAAAGATGTCTCCCAGTTGGAACAAGGCCCATAAGCTTTCCCTTCCCAGGGCGGTGGTGGGAGCACCCCTCCCTCCACACTCGCTTGAGGAGGCCAAGCCGCGCTACAGGCATGAGAGATCCCTAAGAGGGGCCATACCATCTCACGTCCAACCCAGTTCTGGTTCTGTGTGCCTTTCATAAGGCTTGGTAGAATTGGAGGGTGGATGGTCAAGATCCTGGAGAAGTTCTGTAGCCGGCTTCTGAAGTGGTGGTAGGCGAGGTGCACTGATGGTAAGGAGGCCTCTCCCTCTGGGCTTCCTGCATCCAGCTGATTGACGCAGGACTGCAGAGCTATCTGCAGAGCCTGGGAGGAGAAAAGCTTTTAGTATATTGTTTGGAAAGTATTTTTTAAAAAGCTTCATTTTGCTCGAGGAAAATGTGAACCATTCAAAAATGACAANGTACTTACGTTTAACTGTTCCCAAGTGGACACTCTCATGGTCAAGAGAAGGAAATCTTTCAGGTAACACTGAAGAAGCTCCTGCCGCTGGTCTACTGTGAGCTGAGCAAGAAAACTGCCCAGTGGGGTCTTCTGAAAGAGTTCTAGTAACTTCTCTGCCAGTCCTGTGGGGCAGGGCAGGGGGAGGTGGGGCAGGGAGGGAGACAGAGATCCACTGGGGTGAAGATGTTGACCATGATTCCCCTTACCAACCAAATGCCTTTTTATCTGCAATTCTAGACACTTCAGATATTTTCCCAGTGAAATAACAGAAACAAAGTCAGAAGGAATGCTCTGTTCTGGTCATAAAAGCCTGCGTGTGTGCTAAGAAGTCACTTCAGTCATGTCTGACCTTTGCGTCCCTATGGACTGTAGCCTGCAAGGCTCCTCTGTCCGTGGGATTCTCCAGGCAAGAATACTGGAGTAGGTTGCCATGCCCTCCTCCAGGGGATCTTTCCAACACAAGGAGGGAACCAATTTCTCTTACATCTCCCACATTGACAGGTGGGATCTTTACAACTAGCGCCACCTGGGAAGCCCCCATAAAAGCCTAGCTAGCCCTAAAGAGAATACAATCTGGAATAGACCAATATTTCCACAAGTCATAAAGTGCTTGGGGAACCCAGGACCAAAGTGAACCAGGATCAAGTGGGTTGCCTGCCTGGAGTTGGGTCAAACGCTCCTCAAACCAAAAAGACCTGCCTTCTAGCGGATCGGGTGCTGGCCCCCAAGTCATGTGCTATCATAGAAAAGTAGGGTCAGTTTTTGATAGGGTATGAAAAAGAGAAATACGCTCTCCTCAAGAGAGAGATTGTTTTGAGTTTGTTCACAAAGAATGGCAGAAAGCTTATCTAGAAATCTAAGTTCATCGTCAAGTATTTTGACATGTACTTTTTAAAAGACATCTGGCCTTTATTTAAAGATTGAACTGTAGCAGATGTACCATGTTTCTTTCAGTGATCTGATGTCTGCCTATCTTATGAAATGATCACCATAATTAAAAAAAAAAAAACAAAGCTATACATAAACTTTGAAAAGACTACTTCATGTATGAAAGATGACAGTCCCAAAAGTGGTGTGTGACCATTGGGGTTTTCCTGGAATGCCTGTGGCCAGATGACTTGGCATATGACAACAGAGCAAGGGAGGACAATGATGGCTCAGTGTGGGCAAAGGTACTACTCGGGTCACTGGCACTTGCTGAGAGGGGCTCAGAGACATCCTAGTGTCCGAGTTTTCCAGGGGATTCAAATGGAGGTGATGACCTATGACAGGGTATCAGGGTCTCCTCCTGTAGAACACATCCCCTCCCACCATTGCTGAGCTCACCCGCATCTCCTGTGATGTACTGAGTGTGGACCCACAACTCCTCCAGATAGTCCTTGATTCTCCAGCTAAATGGGACACTATTGGATGCCTTCTCTGAGAGGTTCATGTAGTTCTGCACCACGATGTAGGACATCTCTCCTTTAGACCTGCAAGAGGCCAAACGAGGACCAAGAATTAAGTAGTTAGTGAGATGGCACTCAAGATGCAAGATGAGATCTACTTCTGATGCCAATTCCTCTCCATCTTCAAGTACTGGGAGGTTAGTGGGCTGCAAAGACAGCCCCCTGGTCTACTGAACAGCTCATTTTTATACCATAAAAGAACTGAAGGATGATCTTATATCATCACTGGGTTTTACAGACAAAACAAAAACAAACCACAGTTGCAAAACTGCTTGAAGACTTGGGCAGAACCAGTCTGGTGATGTCTGAACCCACTCTTGCCCTATACCTGTGCAGAGAATCGGAGCCACCTGAAAGCCAAGCAAGGTTTTGGCAGGCCAGCTGAGCTTGAGTTACATAAGATCAGGCCTAGGGACAGGCTCTGCAGTTCCTGCCATTGGCAGGAGGAACAGGAAAATCAACATAAATCCTCCCTTACATGCAGCTTCCCCAGTGTAGATGAGGTGGAAGTAGGCCATTTTAACTGCAAAGGGTGCTCTGAGCACAAGGAAGTAAAGTAAGTCAAGAACGAAGCAAGAATTTTTCAGAAATGTGTCAACACTTTGTCACTGTATTGTCATGCCCTTGAGGCTACAAAAAGGGCCAACTTCAATGTGATTCTAAAATCCATACTAATATTTCATCAAACATCTGGGAGAGCCTATGAAGTTTGCTGCTATGTTATGGGTTTATATCCCTTCCCAAGAAAAGAAAGTCTTCTATTCACCTTGTATCAATTGTCACAAGAGGAATGTTCAGAAGTTTATCATCACTAAAAATAAACATCCAAAGGTCTCTTGCCCAGGACGGAGAGTGTGGGCTGACCAGCAGCTCAAGGTTGCCATCCCTGTCCACGCAGGAGATCACGCTCGCCAGGAGGGGAGTCACAGTGCCCTGGACCCGCTTCCAGAGGGTCTGCCTGTGTAGAGGAGAGAAAGGTCCGCTCAGGTTAGAAGGACCACAGACCATACTGGGATGCCCACATCCTTTTCACATTTTGTGCCTTCATGGCAGTAACAAAACATCTGCTATACTATTCCCACACTACAGCTGTGTTTTTCATATTTTTACATCATTTTTAAGGGCTAGAAGAGATTAAATCAAACTAAGATTAGAGGCAGGTCAGGAAGCAACAGTTAGAACTGGACATGGAACAACAGACTGGTTCCAAATAGGTAAAGGAGTACGTCAAGGCTGTATATTGTCACCCTGCTTATTTAACTGATATGCAGAGTACATCATGAGAAATGCTGGGCTGGAGGAANAAGAATTGATGCTTTTGAACTGTGGTGTTAGAGAAGACTCTTGAGAGTCCCTTGGACTGCAAGGAGATCAACCAGTCCATCCTAAAGGATATCAGTCCTGGGTGTTCATTGGAAGGACTGATGTTGAAGCTGAAACTCCAATACTTTGGCCACCTCATACGAAGAACTGACTCATTTGAAAAGACCCTGATGCTGGGAAAGATTGAGGGCAGGGGGAGAAGTGGACGACAGAGGATGAGATGGCTGGATAGCATCACCAACTCAGTGGACATGGGTTTGGGTGGACTACGGGAGTTGGTGATGGATAGGGAGGCCTGACGTGCTGCGGTTCATGGGATCACAAAGAGTCGGACACGACTGACCAACTGAACTGAGCTAAAGATTAGAGGCAGAACTTGAAAGGTCCTTAATTTTACCTCTAATAAACTGGAATTAGTTCACTGAAAAGGCCAATTAGTATTGTTTTATTTTGTTATATACCTGTTTTCCAGAACAAGTCACCTATGCTCTATAAATAAATCAAAGAATGACCAAATTCACTTGAAAAGTATGATATTTGAAGAAAAAAAAAATCAGTTGTGAATAGAATATAATAAAGAAACCAAAGTAAATTCATTTCACGTTACATTAAAAAAGAAAGCATGTCTTTATCTAAGTTACTTCTGTTGAGTATGACTTTTTGTGACCCTATAGACTGTAGCCTGCCAGGCTCCTCTGTCCATGGGATTCTCCAGGCAAGAATATTGGAGTGGATTGCCACGCCCTCCTCCAGGGGATCTTTCCGACCCATGGATGGAACCTGCATCTCTTATGTCTCCTGCATTGGCAGGCACATTCTTCACCACTAGCGGCACCTGGGAAGCCCTGTGTACACCAGCATATGTAGTTCAGTAAGTGAAGGGGCGGTGTCAAGGACATAGAAAATATAGATTTTTAAGAAGCATTTATCTAAAATCCATACAGAGGAACCAAGAGAAACAAAAATAATTCCAGGTCCAAATCTGATCCTTCAGAAGGTACAACTGGGAAAGAAATGAAAAATAATTAGAGAAAAACACAGAAGCAGAAAAGCCCTATAGTTACAAAACCAGCCATCAGGAAGCTCACATGGTCCATTCAACCTAGACGTTCCCACATGTCCTTCTTGAAAACAGTGCGGAGATACATCCCCGCCGAATCCAAGCCTCTGGATGAGTTAAGTATTCTCCTGGAGTCAAAGAAACTGAGGGCCAGGCTGATGAAGTCTCAGGTCTTAGACGACCTTGCAGATGGGGTGGGCGGCATCTTCCACTGCTCACCGTGGGATGCAGAGCAATACCCTCTCCCTCAACCACACAGGTTGTCATGGGCTAGTCTTGAGAACAGCATCAAGGTTTGTAGAAAAAGCACCAGGGACAATAAGTGAATACTTTGGGTCTTATTTTCATGGTTATCAAATAACTTCATGCAGGAGGTCTAGGAAACCAACTTTCTTCCCTCCCGTACGTATCTATCACCTCTTTAATTTACCAACCTAAAACTGCACCCATGTCTATGGTGATGAACATGGTGATAAAAGTCTACATCTGACAAGAACCGATGTCCTGGGTTTTGTTTGTTTTGGTTTTTGCTATGAAAAAATTTAAAACACACAAAAGTACAGAAAAGAGTCAAGCGAACCCCATACAACGACCACCCAGACTATCCTGCACTCTCCGGGGAAAAAAAGTCGATGGCTGTGAATTTCTCAGAGGTTTGGAAGGAAGCGGCCCCTCAGCTCCGAGAGCCATGCGCCCAGCCCCCAGTCCCCCACCGCCCCAGGTTTCCTTTCCTGGCGGTACCTGAACGTGCCAGCCTCCTGTAGAGCGTCCTGATTGGAGGCCTCCCTCACCACCCAGTCCTTCACATTGCAGATAGAGTTCTCTTCCTGCTTCATTAAAAGGACGTAGAGGCGCATCTTAGTGACCAGCAAGAAAGTGGCTGTGGAAAAGCAGAGCAGACGTGCATTCAGCACATCCCTGGGCACGGAGCGGTGGGCTCGGCATCCCTGATGCATCCCAGCAGGAAGGGAAGCCCGTCTCCTTTGGCCAGGCCAAGTCTACAGAAATCCCAGAGGTGCGTGTAGGTTGCCAGAGAGCCAGCTGCTTCTGGGAGCCATGGAGAGCTACAGCAGGGGGATGATTCATGGACTGAAGGAGAAGCCCAGGCCGGGGTGTGGACAAGAGGGGCTCCCACACCTGTGTACTCACCGTCTTCGTCTAGGAGGCTGAGGAGGATGGACACCCTCCGAACGCTGCGCTGACAGTCCTCATTCTGGTCTCTGAGCATGCCCACAGCTCCCTGAATACAGCTTTTCAGCAGCCTGGTGGTGTCCAGGATCTGCGTCTGTCGACAGACAATCAAGCCTTCCATTTCTGCCACTTACACGTCAAGAAAAGCCAGGTGATGCCAGGGAGATAAGGTCCAGGCACTGCATGCAGGGGGCACAGCTTTCCTCCTGCCCAGGTTCCTACCACATGTCCTTGTCAAGTTCCCCTTAGAACCACTCTGAGGGAATTCCCTGGCGGTCCAGTGGTAAGGACATTGCACTTTCACTGCCATGGGCCTGGGTTCAATCCCTGGTCAGGGAACTATTAATAAGACCCTGCAAGTCATCTCGTGTGGCCAAAAGAAAAAAAAAAAAATCTACTACAAAACAATGCTATGTGCCTGTGGACCTTGTCAGTGGTCAAGCAACAGAGCAAAACTGACTAGGGGATACCAGGAAAAGCCAAGGTCAGATCTGCTGCTGGTGATCTCACCTGCACTCACAGAGGCAGGGAGAGGAGGGCTGGGCTGAGACCTGCCAGCTGACTCCACTCCTCGGACCCCTGGGTGTAAGTCTAAGGAAGGGGAGCCCACAGCCCGAGGGCTTAGAGGGCCAGAAAGAGTGAGAACTTACATCATGTTCTGGGCCGAAGCCTGGGCTCTCATTTGTCTCAGGATTTTCTGTCTCCATTTTTACCTCTACCACGTGCTGCCATGTGACCGCCTCAGTTTCCATCACCTCCTCACCATCTTCTTGGGCTCGGTGACCCACCTCCACTGCAAAGAAGTAAAACAATGGAGCTACCGTTCAGAGGCAGAAGTGGTGGTGGGAGCTCTGGCAACATCGTGTGCGTTGTGTGCTGGGGATCTGTCTGGGTTTCCCTGGCACCAGCCCCAGGAAGGGGCCCCAAAGGAGAGACCGTCAGTCACACAGATCAGCCTCCACTTGCCCACTGGACGTGGTCCACCAGTGGCAACCCGAGCTTCCATCCTGGGCTCAGATGGCTGAGCCGGAAGCCAGGGTAAACAGAATCTGACGTGTTCCACAGGCACCTGCAAAGACCTTGTGGAAATACTGCCTTCTCCTGGCCTTGGAAGCAGCAGACAGTGCCCTGGATTCATCGATACTCAGTCCAGCAAATGTGTCCCGAGCTCTTGCCAGGGGGCAGGTGCTGGACTTGGGGGACAGCAGCCTGAGGACCCGTCCTCGCGGCAGAGTGCACACCTCCCGGCTTCCGCTCCCACCCTCCTACCTCCCCGAGGGCCTTCTCTCCAGACTCACCCTCAGGGGGGTCTTCTGGTCTAAACAGCCGGCTGATGGCCACATCCTGCAGCTTAGTTACGTCTGAAACCATGACTGTGGATCTCCGCAGGTCGTCGATGTGCACAGAATGCCACAGCCCTGGGAAAACAAGCCCCAGAATCTTCCGTGTCCTCTGCTTTCTTCCTGACAGTTGTAAGCATGGATACACCCTCCTGACATCTTAACATACTGTTGAATGAATGATTTGTATCCTAAAGTCTAATCCCTTGAACATATACAGGAAGCATATAGATGTCACTCTATAGATGATAACAACTTTAGCATGAAAATCAGTTTTAAGAACTGACATGACTAACAAAAAAGTATTTAAAGAAGGCTTATTATTCTTCTCTAACTGTATTATTAAACTTTCTCTATCGTAATCAGTAGAGGGGTATGAGACACCAGCAAGGTTTGTCTCTTCTTAACTAATAAATTATTAAACTAAATTATTATTTGCCCATTTCTAGAATACCACTTTTTTCATACAGCAGATTCCTTGGAGATTCTTTGGGATCAGGTCCCAACAAAACAAATATTACAATAAATCAAATCACACGAGTTTTTTGGTTTCACAGTGTCTATAAAAATTTTGTTTATACTACACTGTATCTTATTAAGTGTGTAATAGTATTATGTCTCAAAACACAACGTACATGCCTTAATTAAAAAATACTTGGGACATTCCTGGTGGTCCAGTTGTAAACAATCCACCTGCCAAAGCAGGAATCACAGGTTCAGTCCCTGGTCTGGGAAGATTACACAAGCCTCAGGGCAACTACGCCTCTGCATGACAACCACTGAGCCAGACCAGCGCTCTGCAATAAGAGAAGCCACCGCAGTGAGTCTGAGCACCACAACCAGAGAAAGCCCAAGCATAGCAATGAAGACCCAGTGCAGCCGAAAGTACACAAATAAAAACCTCTACTGCACACACACAAAATAAAACAACCCAAATACTATATCGCTAAAAAATGCTAACCATCATCCTAGCTTTCATCTAGTCATAGCAGGAACACAAAAGGTCACTCTGATCACAGGTCACCACAGCACATATAATAATGAAAATGCTTGAAATAGTTTGAGAATTATCTCAAATACTTGATAATTCAGAGACATGACGTGAGCAAAGGCCTTCAGAAAAATGGCACTGAGAGACTTGGCACAAGCCTTCAACTTGTAAGAAATGCAGTATCTATGGAGTGCAATAAAGCAAAGTGCAATTAAACAAGGTGTGCCTATGTAGTAAATATTTGGTGAGTCTTCCTCAGAAAAAAAAGAGATTTAAGATAGCATTTTCTGACCCCAGGAGCAGGCATTAAGTATCCACACATTCATAACAATGCTAGTGGGAAATATCTTTCTGCGTTATCCATATAGTAAAAGGGGAGGAGCCAGAGATTAATCAAGCATTTATCAACAAATACTGAAATGAAGTACTGTATGTTGCAGCAGCCAGTCTGAAGATGAAGTGTTTTAGTTTTTTGCATCAATCAGCTTTAAGAAATCTAATTGCATTTGAAACAAATATAGTTGAGATTATGTGTGTGTGCTCAGTCACTCAGTTGTGTCTAACTCTTTGTGACCCCATGGACTGTAGCCTGCCAGGCTCCTCTGTCCATGGAAATTTTCCAGGCAAGGAAATGGAGTGGGTTGCCATTTCTTCCTCCAGGCCATCTTCCGAACCCAGAGATGCAACCTGCATCTCCTGTGTCTCCTGCATTGGCAGGCAGATTCTTTACCACTGAGGCACCTGGGAGGACCACTGAGATTAACATGAATCTTCTAATATCAGACTTTGTACATCATACGACCAAACAGTGGCTTGGGGAAAGAATCCACCAACAATGCAGGAGACTGCCTGCAATGCAGCAGACGTAGGTTGGATCCCGGGGTCGGGAAGAGGCCCTGGAGATGGAAATGGCAACCCACTCCTGGAAAACCCCAGGGACAGAGGAGCCTGGTGGGCTATAGTCCATGGGGTCGCAAGAGTTGGACATGACTTAGTGACTAAACCACCACCACCGCAGGACCAAATTAGAAATAACTTAAATATTATTATACAAACATAGTCACAAATATTTGGGTCCTACCTCCATGGAATCCTACATAGGATGTTCCACTTCCCATCCGGGACAGTTTTGTGATAAAATAGACCAAGATATAGTTCTTATTTCCTTGTATCTTGTTGATTTCATTTATAGCAGAATACCTATTTTAAAAACAAAAAAAGCAAAAACAAAACAAAAAAACTAAGAAAATAAACAAAATGAACACTGCAAAATGACTAAAGGGTGTCCTCAAAGAGGTCAAGTTTCATCTCACTTTTTTTTTTAACTGTGCATAATTTCACACCTTCATGCTTGTTATCCTCTCTTAGAAGAGAACAGGGGCAAGATTTTTCTAAGTAGTCTCATTTCTTTCTCCCATTCCTGTGTTCCTCTCCTTTGAAATGGCATTTTTTAATTGGTCAGGAACCCTCTCTTATAATGCTTAATAAGCTTGGCCAGATGCTACTAAGGGTAAGGGTAGTGCTCTTGTCCATTTCAAGAAACAGAGTTCTGGGAACAGACAACCAAAGGACAAAGATAATCATGATACGAAATATGGCTTCCAATGCTTTGGAAGGTCCAAAAATTACTTTTACATCAAGTAATAAGGGAATGCAGTTAATTCTAAAAGCATCAAATTTCCACTACAAACAATTTAAAGCTGTCAAATAAATACAACTGAAAGCATTTAAATACCATTAAGGCCTCTGAACTTGCAGTAAATTCATATCACGTAATTTAAAATGAATAATGACCAAATCATGTCAGCTAAAATATGTTTCAAGGATACTCTCTTATATCCTGCTAATATTCTGTTATTTATACTTCTTGCATTTGGCTATTTTTCCGTTGTTAAGAGCCTTTTCGGGACTGCAAGGAGATCCAACCAGTCTATCCTAAAGGAGATCAGTCCTCCGTGTTCATTGGAAGGACTGATGCTGAAAGTCCAGTACTTTGGCCACCTCATGCGAAGAGTTGACTCATTGGAAAAGACCCTGATGCTGGGAGGGATTAGGGGCAGGAGGAGAAGGGGACGATAGAGGATGAGATGGTTGGATGGCATCACCGACTCGATCGACACGGGTGTGAGTAAACTCTGGGAGTTGGTGATGGGCAGGGAGGCCTGGTGTGCTGCAATTCATGGGGTCACAAAGAGTCGGACACGACTGAGTGAGTGAACTGAACTGAACTGAACTGAACTGAACTGAACTGAAGAGCCTTTTCTCTCTTTGTTTCTCTAGTCCATATTTAGGGGAATGAAAATGGAGAATAATTTTTATTTCTATGTTTATTCTGATACTATACGATTTTTAAAGAAAAAATTCTTTAGGAGCTCCTGAATAAATTTGGGGTATCCTATGGACATGGAACAACAGACTGGTTCCAAATAGGAAAAGCAATATGTCAACGCTGTATATTATCATCCTGCTTATTTAACTTATATGCAGAGTACATCATGAGAAACGCTGGGCTGGAGGAAGCACAAACTGGAATCAAGATTGCCAGGAGAAATATCAATAACCTCAGATATGCAGATGACACCACCCTTATGGCAGAAAGTGAAGAGGAACTAAAAAGCCNCCAACCAGTCCATTCTAAGGCAGATCAGTCCTGGGTGCTCATTGGAAGGACTGATGCTGAAGCTGAAACTCCAATACTTTGGCCACCTTATACGAAGAACTGACTCCTTGGAAAAGACCCTGATGCTGGGAGGGATTGGGGGCAGCAGGAGAAGGGGACGACAGAGGATGAGATGGCTGGATGGCATCACCGACTCGATGGACATGAGTTTGAGTAAACTCCGGGAGTTTGTGATGGACAGGGAGGCCTGGCGAGCTACGATTCATGGGGTCACAAAGAGTTGGACACGACTGAGCGACTGAACTAACTGTGTAGTTTCTGAGAAAAAGAAAAAAGACATACTTTGCTGAGGCGATGAGCTGAGCACTATGACTTCCATCTTCAAAATCTGTTTGAATAATGAGAATTTTACATCTGGCTGTGTGAGCTAAGCAGTTTCTGAAAGAAAAAGGAAATTATCCAAGTGAGTTTTCTGTCCTAAAAGTTGGTGATAATATTCTCCAGAGTGATGGGAACCACAAGGGCTATATAGGAAAACTATTCAAGTGGGATTTTCCTCTGTAAGGTGAGTAGACACTCAAGTGGAGAGAGAAAAAAGCCCCAATAGATGCCTCCTAATGAGACATAACGATGCTGGAGTCAGAAAGGATGTTTTCACAGAGGACAACAGAGATCAGGACACTTGGAAAAGTAAAACGCATCCTTTTCAGAGTCACATGTTCTCAAGGTTCACTAACCAAAGCTGGTTAGAAAACACCAGTGGTTAATAGTCACACATATGAAATGCAAAGTAGCTGATCTGAGGAGGGAGAGGAGGGGGAGGAGTGGGAGGGGAGGGCAGGGATCCTCACCGAACTTCCTTGAGGAAAGAGTACTCGGTGTCAAACTGTTGCAGTGACAAGACGTTGAGTTTCACAGTCCAGTCCTTTACTTCTGATTCTAAAAGTTCACAGTCATGACTGGTTAGCAGCCTGGAGAATGTAGTGATCTGCAAAGGCAGGAAATTAAAATCATTCAGTGGAATGCAAGAAAGCGTTGTCTCCTAGATTTAGATCCAAGAAACATGAGGATGCTCAGCAAATAGCTTCTATGGGCTCATCATTGTGCAGTTCGTACACAGATCCAACTGGGAATCCAAACCCAGAGGAGTTTTCTAACATGAGGTGGTGCTGAGGCAAACAGAACCTACAGTATCAAAGGTATTGGAGAGAAGACTCATCCACCCCTAAGATGCCTTTGAATCTTCTTCCTAGATTCCAACATCTTTTCTTGCTTTGAACCCTGCTTGTGATGATACCTTAGCACTCAGAACAAATGACATTTGTCCTTTGCAATCTTACTTCAAACTTTCCGTGGAGCCGGCCGTCTTTCCCCCGGCTGTTAACCAAATCTCCCCTGCTACAGGATCACACCACACAGTGCAACCAGTACACTCTTTAAGGACACACTGCTACGCCCTGAATCATTATCTCCAGGCTGGCCTTACCACTGAGCTTCCTATTCCTATCTCCAATTGATGACAGACTACCTAGATGTTACAGGAACATCAAAGCCCATCCCAAATGGAATTCATCATTGCCTCCACCAGACTTGTTGCTCATAACCAGTTTGTCATTGGCAGGAAAGCTATGACAAACCTAGACAGTGTATTAAAAAGCAAAGACATCACTTTGCCAACAAAGGTCTGTATAGTTAAAACTATGGTCTTTCCAGTAGTCACGTATGGTTGGGAGAGCGGGACCATAAAGAAGGCAGAGTACTTTAGAATTGATGTTTTCAAACTATGGTGCCTAGAGAAGACTGAGAGTCCCTTGGACAGCAAGGAGATCAAATCAGTCAATTTTAAAGGAAATCAACCCTGAATACTAATTGGAAGGACTGATGCTGAACCTGAAGCACCAATATGTTGGCCACCTGATGCGAACAGCCGATTCACAGGAAAAGACCCTGATGCTGACAAAGATTGAAGGCAGAAGGAGAAGAGGACAGCAGAGGATGAGATGGTTGGATGGCATCACCGATGCAATGGACACAAAGTTGGGCAAACTCCAGGAGATGGTGAGAGACAGGGAAGCTGGCATGCTTTAGTCCATGGGGTCACAAAGGCAGATACAACTTGCTGACTGAAGAACAACAGAGATGTGATTAACCAAACTTCTGGTCAACCAAGGAAGAAACCATGGAGTCATCCTTAGCCTCCTCCATCTCCCAGAGCCCCTATAAAAAATCAATCTTTATCTCTGTCAATATGAATCCTTACTATGTCTCAATTCCACGCATCCATCCTTTGACTGAACTGGTACTGCAGCCTCACTACTGGTATATCTTATCTGTGAGTCTTTTATCAGACTTTTTTCCCCTTCCTCTCTCAGGTAGTGGGACACATTTCCACACACATTTCTCCATCACTCCCCTTATACAGGAAAGCAAAGCTCCTTGGTGCCACTGAAAAGACCCTCCATGAAGTCTGTCTGGCTATATCTCACTCCCATCTCTCAGAACTTAGGGCCTTGCTTTAGGCTTCATCAGTAATTAACTCCTGGTTTCCTGCAAAGACTGGGTTTTTTAAACCTGGACATCCTTGCTCAAGTAGGACCCTCTGCTCATAATACCTTCCAAACCATTCTTTACAATCAGCTTGATGGTCACCTCTTGAAGACGAGTTCGTGACCTCATCCTGATCTGTGCTGCTCCTCTTTGCCTCTGTGGACAACACGATCATAAGATGTCAACAGTACCGATTCATGAGTGTCTTTCAACCTTACACTGTATGCTGACCAAGGACAAGCCACCTCATCTTTATATCCGCAGTCCTCAGAGCAGTACTCGAACGTGGTAATTCCCTGGATGAACGGAGCACTGTACACAGCACTGCCAAAAATGGGCACTCAACACCTGGCAACACTAACCGTCAAGATATGCAGGTCTCCTTGCCCTTACCACGGAGAGGAACCAAAAGTCTCCACACGTTCATTTATGGTTCCGATACACTGACTTAGGACTTCCCTGGTGGCGCAGATGGTAAAGCATCTGCCTGCAATGTGGGAGATCTGGGTTCAATCCCTGTGTCAGGAAGATCCTCTGGAGAAGGAAATGGCAACCCACTCCAGTACTCTTGCCTGGAAAATCCCATGGACAGAGGAGCCTGGTAGGCTACAGTCCATGCGGTTGCAAAGAGTCGGACACAACTGAGTGACTAAACTTTCATACACTGACTTGCAAAGAATCTTGAATTCTTGATGCTAGGAAGTCAAGGACCCAGAGGTGAAAGAGGAAAAGGGTAAAATACAGAAAGATAATAACCTCTGTGAAGATGGCATGGCGTTCTGAATCCATCGTGCAAAGGTGAGCCCGGAGGAAGTCTGCAAAGGAGTTATGCTGCTGCCTGTAATAGTATTCTTCCGACAGGGACTGTGCAGTGAACTGGCCTAGTGAGGAAGCATTCAGCCGAACCACAGCATCAGGGGTGGCACAATCCAGCAGCACTGACTTGGCCTGCGCAGAGACTTTCTGGTAAAGTTCATCAGTCAAGACCTTGTGCCCTACCTGCTCTATGACCTGGAGCACCACAGAGGCACATGTGTCTGAGTGGTACCCAATGAAGACGTCAGAAGGGCTATATTTGGGTCTGGCTAGAAACTGCTCTGCTTTCACATCTATAAACTTCTCCACCCACACCTTGAGCTCTTCCACGATATTCTTCTGCCATTTCTCCAAAACGGTGTTGATGTCCAGATAGTGCTTCTCCAGCCGGTTAATGAGGGGGATGGGAAAATGTTTGTAGACGACATCTTTCTCCTCAATGACTATCAAGCGGAAGTCTGGGTGAACCCGACATTTGACCCGATGGGTCCCCAGACCCAGGTCCACGTACTTCTGACCGCCAAGGTAGACATAGTATTGATTGAGTGCGTCGTAGAGGCTCTCATAGAGGTTCTGCAGGTTGAGCAGCACCACCATCTTGCCGGTTTCCATGCAGATCTTTACTCGGTTGATATTTCGGCAGATCTGGGTGTACTCTTGATCTTTGGGGAAACTGGATCCAAAAATAATCTCTGGTTGGTCTGTAATGAAGAATGCCTGCTGTAGGATCTGTAGGGCCACGTAATTTCTGGTCAGCACAAGCAGGTAGCGGGACTCGGAGTCATCCAGCTCTCTGCCATGCATCGTCTGAAGATGGCCATATATGTTCTGGTGGATCAGCTGCATGGTGCTGACTTCCTCTGTGTATTTTGCCTCGGGTAAATTGGCTGAAAAGATGTCCAGGGCACAAATGTCGTCTTTGCCACTGAAGTTCCGAAGGACAGCTTGTGCGATGTCTTGAGGGGAAGGCTCCTTATTAGAAGCTTTGGCTGCAGCAAAGACCATTTTGATGAGGCTGTAGTAATCACGAAGCCCAAAGAATTCCTTGTCCTGCCTCTTACACACTGTTTCGTAGGCTTTGGCAAAGGATGTGAAGTATCCTCGGATTCTTTCTTGGACGAGGGGCTCTGAAGCGCAAATTCCCCTGGCACTCTCAATGAGCTCTCTTTTGTTGGGGCTGCCACGTGACACAAATATACCCCGGTTCATCTTGGCGGGATCCAAGGCCCAGTTGGAAATGCCTATGAAGCCAACTTTTTTGTGGGGGGCAGGATCATCTTCAATGCATCCATCTTCCAGCAATGGGTGCAGTGCCTTCAGGGGCATTTTGGGTGAGTCTTCTGCTAGTCCAACCTCATCTAACACCACCACGGAGACATACTGCTCGAGGTCCTTCCCCTGCTGGAAACGGGCACACTGCTTGAAGGTGCCTATGATGCCCTGTGGGGTGGAATGTGGACTACACTGGAATGACACCAAATGGACCTCCTTCAGGTGCCGGAAGAGGTCCGAGTGTGCAGCCTGGCCTTGCATGGCATCTGCCACGATGGTCTTGGCGAGAGATTTGGAGCTGCCGGGCTTGCCCACCAGGAAGAGAGGAATCTTGAGCTCGATGCAGATAACCATCATGAAGACGTTCTCCTTCAAAGCCAAGTTCCTAGCGATCGTTTTCCTCAGAGACACACCATGCAGAAAAAGATCTTGGGTTTGCGTTATCTCATCCAGGATAGCCCTGCTGCTATTATACGGTGCTGGAAAGAAGCTGCAAATAGCTGTCCGATAAGATTCCTTCTCCTCTAAAGAGGCGTGGTAACATACCCCGATGGCCAGAACCAGGGACCAGAGGACAGGATCTCTCTTAAAGTTATTTTGGATGACTCCAGTCTCAGAGAGAAAGGAATCCAACTTAGACAAGAGCATCTCACTGTGGTCGTAAAACCATTTGAAAACTTTCACACAGCGTTCTACATCCCTGAGGCTGACAAAGCTGCACTCATTTTGTCTTTTCCTCATGAAACCCTGGGAGGCAGAAAGCACTTCCGTGATTACACGAGTCTCGCTCTGCACCATCACGATGGACTTCACCAGTCTCTGGACAATCTGATGGATGTAGAGTTTTTCTGCAGAGTCATTCAATTGTCCAAAGTCCCACACCAGGGGGATCAGGCTCGGCGGCAGAGCATGGACACGGTACACCAGCTGCCTCAGGGGGATGGAGCCAAGCCTCTCGGCCGTCTCTTCTGCACTAACCCTGTACCCCAATCCGGCTGACTCCAGACGGCAGATCATCTCCTGGGTGTGCTTCCGGTAAGGGTTGCAGGCTGCAATGATATGCAAGCCAGAATCCTTAGCCAGGGGCTGGCCACCCACCGTGTGGTCGCACAGGACCTCTTTGATGCAGCTTATGGCCTCCGTGGTGTTGGCTTCATCGAAGAACAAGATGGTGTCCAGCTGATACTGGGCCTTATTGATGTGGGCCAGCTCTTCAGCCTCCCTGACCTTGGAGTAGATCATGTCGGCAGTTGTTCCTCCGTGGACCTTGACCAACTTCATGGTTTCAGCATCAGCACCCTGACGCTGCAGGTCACTAAGGAATTTTATGAGTCTGGTTTTCCCACAGCCGGTTTCTCCCATGATGATGACGGGGATGCCACACCGGAAACGCATCTCAATGGCAAGGATCTTAAGCATATTATCTGTTGTAAGCTCATATGTTTCATCAGGGTCAGTGGTGCGCTGGATACCCAATGCCAGGCACAGTCTTTCAAGTTTCTCATGTCTGGGCAGCTGGTCAAAGTCAACATTGAAGGGCACCCTCTGAAGCAACAGTCCCTGGTACAGTTGCACTGTCATAACATCCTTCTTGATTACTTTCCCACTCAAGCGGTCTATGGCATCAACACCACCATTCTGATTGGATTGGAAATGGAAACCTATGAACGTCATGGATGTGTGGTCACTGTTGAAAAAAACGTATGGGTGGGGCTCCGACTCCCACCTCTTCCGGAGAGAGAAAGGGGCGAGGTCTTCTTCTTTGACCCCATCCATAGTGAGCGTGTACTTTCCCGGACTTTGGTCAGATGTGTGAAGTGTAGGTGTGGCGAAATCTCGGGCCATGAAAATCATGAAGGTGACCACAAAGTTCTTGAAGCCCATCAATGTGTCTCCAACAAAGGTGGGGTTACAGAAGAGAGAGGCCTCACAATCTCGGAGCTGGTAGTTCAGGAACCGAGCAAAGTTCTGAAGTTCTGACCAGGATGGGTTTATCACCCCGCAGTAAATCAGGAGGTGCTGGATGCATTCGCCAGGGCTGCCTTCAACAGAACCTTTTTGGTACTGGAATGTGTCTAGGTTTTCTTTCTGATGGAACCGTCTTAAATATTGGTAAGGTCTCTGGAATATTTCACTATGGAATGCTCTCTGATCCATTCCTGGCTCTTTGTAGCTCTGGTGAGGATCCAGCTCCATGTTGATCACTTCTTTGGGAGGTCTGCAGGTCACTTTGGGGAAGATGTCTAGAAAACTGAACTGGGGGACAAGTGCATTCTGGAAAGAAGAGACACAAATGAAATGAGTTATGGCTGAATTTCCCCAAAACTGCTTTTGTGTTTTAATCCTCAACATGGTCTAGACTGCATGGACCTCTATGAAAAATCACTTTTCATGAAGAGATTTCTGTAGATAACTCTTTGCATGAGGTGTTACCTTCTGCACATTCAGGCATGGTGTGAGCTGCACTGTAAATAACAAAGCCCTTCTCTACTCAGCCTCTTGGAACTAAATCTCTCCATCAAGCACATACATGCGTGTTTGTCTGTGTGTACAAGCATAAAACTCCCTTCGGTTAAGAAACTGATATAACCGAATTCTCTTTCCCATGTTGGCTGTCATTAAGAAAGCTGGTGCTTCTCCTAGCAAATGAAGTTTCTGCATTCCAATCACCACTGGCATTTAACCCAAACACACAGCACTCACCCCAAAGAGAACAAATCTAAGGTACTATTCATTAATAAAAGAATCTTTGTATTCCATGCATTATTTAAAAATAAGTTTAAAGATTCTTCTTTACTAACACTGCACTCAGCTACTCTGCTAAGGCAAAAGTGGGGAATCACAAACATGAGTAAAAGCCCCTGACCCCACAGCAGCATGAGAGTACCCTGATACACACCAGCTTCGAAGGCCTTCGTGGCAATGTCGAATTCCTTTCTAGGATTTCAATGATATATAAGTGGCATGGGTTCCGAAGCCACATCTTCCCATTTATATCCATTAAGTACTGGAGAATGAGGAGTTTGAAGAGAAACACCCAAATACCAGTCTGCACCTGAGGATACAATCATGTGGTTCTGTAAATACTTACACAGAAGATAGCAGTCCTCCCACCCTAAGGGCCTTCTTATTCTGCTCTATTTTACAATGATACTGAGTATCAATGCATGTAGAAAAAAGAAATTCTTTATACTGGGGATAGGGTAGGGCAGGCTGTGGAAGCTGTGTCTTTCCCTACCCAGCCACTCAGCTAGAACCTGGGGGCAACTTACTGAAGTGAAAGTGAAAGTCAAAATGTTAGTGCTCAGTTGTGTTTGACTCTTTGCAACCCCATGGACTATAATATAGCCTGTCAGGCTCCTCTGTCCATGGAATTCTCCAGGCAAGAATACTGGAGTGGGTAGCCATTCCTTTCTCCAAGGGATCTTCCTGACCAGGGATTAAACCTGGGTCTCCTGCATTGCAGGCAGTTTCTTTACCGTCTGAACTATCAGGAAAGCTCGACTTACTGAAGAGGTCACGTCAAAGTGGAATATTATGGGTCTCCTCTGATACTGGGCATCCAGGAAAGGCAGAAGGGACCCCAGGACTTCATTCTCATCCACCTGAGGGTCAATCAATCGAATAACTTTTCGAGTCACTTTTGTTCCATTAAACTGCATTTTCAGCTGGCCGTGCAACCTCTTCACAAAGAGAGACCTTCCTGTTGACATGAACATATGAAAATTAGATGCCAGGGCTTCAGATCAAGAATGAGAATGTCCAGAAAATCACTTCTCTTTGTACAAAATTCAAAACTGATGCAACCTAACATCAGCTTAAAAAATACATACTTGAGCCATCAAATTTCCTTGCTGTTCCCCACCCAATAGCCCTGCTGCTTCCTGGGACTAAGTCTGAGAACTAAGTCTGAGGTCAGGACAGCAGAGCTCGCTTCATGGGGAGGGGAGCGAGTGTCGCTGGACAGAAGGGAGTACCAATAAAGGGATGCAGTCAACAGAATGGAAATCATGATGGCGACTGAAGGTGGAGGCATCTGTTTCTTCTCAAGACAGAGGAAATATACCTTGTCCTGCTCTGAACCCACATCAACCGCAAAGTAGTCAATGGACTTAAAAAAGAGAGAAAGAGAAAAAACAGCAGAGAAGCCAGTTTAAAGAAGGAAGATGGCTCAGCCAAGCTGGGACCAGGTGAGAAAAGTGTCCCGCTCCAGTGCGGGGCCTGACCTGTAACTTCAGGTGAGTCAATCCTCCAGAGACTCAGTTCCCCACCTGCAGAAGGGCTTATCTGAGCTCACCTCACTCCCCACTGGACAAGCAAGGGCCATCAGATGGTCCCTGGGGCCGGGGACTCAGCAGCCATTATTACCTACGCCCGCTCTCTCCGAGGCTACGATCCCAACACACATGCGGTCCTGGAACACGGCGGCAGCTGACGGGGTCTCTTCCGGGACTCGGAAGTGGTGAGCCAGGTAGGCCTGGATGTCCTTGAGGGGTGCCTGGGGGGTGACGAGGACCTTGTGCTGGCTGAAGGCCGAGGGGAGGTAGCAGTGCTCCCGCTCACAGTCACAGATCATCACGAGCCGGTAGTGCGTCCGGTGGGGCTGCGTGCACAGCCTCCGGAAGAGCGCCTCTGCCCGGCAGGCCACCTCGTAGCTCAGCTGGTCCGCATACAGCAGGCTATAGACCCCGAGTCCCTGGGAGCCTGGGGTCAGGCAGCGACGCAGGAGCAACGCCACCTCCTCGAACGTGGTTTCTGGGGTGCAGAGCAGCACTTCATCGTAGGTGGGCAGGGGCTGGTGTGGGGTCCGCATGTAGATGGCCAGGGCGGCTGGCAGCACCTCAGAGTGGCCACAGACGACGAGGTTGGGCTGGCCCTCCTGTAGGCCGTGGGGGAGCTCCCGCTGCACAGGGGGTCCAGCCATCCTCGCCAGGTGAGCCAGACAGCGGCCAAGGGCCTCCAGGTCCAGGCAGTGAGGCAGGAAGGCACTCATGCATGTCATCGAGCGTGTCATGATGACCCTCAGCTTGTCCACCATCCTGGGCTCAGAGAAGAGCAGCAGTGGCAAGTCTTCCACCGCTGTCCTCTCCTGGCGGCTGCTGGCCCTTCCGCGGGGCCCCCTGCAGGCCTCCGAGACATCCCCCGGGGTGCAGCTGCCTTTGATGAAGGACAGCATGGTGAGGGCAGCGGCGCTGGGCGTCTGCCCCCCGAGCTCCGAGCCCAGGTAAACCAGCTGCTCGGCGGTGTAGTAGTTGAGGTAAAAGTGCTCAGCTCGCTTCTCTGCCACGAATCTCTCCCAGTGGCCCAAGAAGTCCTCCAGCTGCCGGCAGAGGGCTTCCAGCAGCTGGACGACTGGCCCGCCCTCCACCAGTGGGCCCACCGGCCTCAGACAGAAGTCCAGCCGCATGGAGACACCCTTTAGGGGGGTGCAGTAGACCTCAGCTGACCAGGTCCTGAACAGCATGTTTCCAGCAGAGTAAAGGTTTATAAACGACTGGACAAGCCTCTGCACGTTGCAGAACACCTGCAGAGAGAGGACATGTGGTCTAGAACAACACAGACAGAGTTATAATTTGAAGCGCTGGGGTTCATGGCCCTCCACGGTTCACCGTGGGATCTCAAGCATGAGACTGATCATGGAAGGTCTCCCTTTCTCATTTCCATAGTCTCTTTCTTAGGAAGCAGTATGTTGTGAAGATAAAGGATATCATTTATAAAGTGCAAATGAACTTTACAGAGTAAAAACTCCTAATCAAAAGGAGAGACTGTTACATAAACCAATATGCCTTTACCATTGTGGTTACTGTGGATTTTGATGAACGATGTCCAACTACATCTTTAAGTATTTGGGGATGCTTGCTGATTTACGGAGCAAATGGACATCTCTTTGGGTCATGAATTCGAAATACATGCACTCTGCAAGACCCACTGGCTCTACTCCCCACAGTTTTAAAAGCAGAGTGATTCCTATGAATTAAAGACAAACTCAATCTCTTCTGACTTCCCAGGCACCTCAGCAGTGAGAGTGCTCAGCCCAAACAGATGGGATTAGGACACTTGCTCCTACGTAGATGCAAATCCTTACCTCGGAAAATACCTCTACGACTTCAGCATTGCTGTGTTCTTTCTTGCCAGACATCAGCATCAATTTGTTCAAAAGTTCTTTCAGCTCTTCTAAAGAGTACTCTCGCTTCTCCTCGTGGCCTCCCTGGCCCTCGGGAAGGATTAAACGAACAACTGTGTCTGGGGAAATCTGTGGAACAGGGCACAGTCAGAGGTCGATTTGGGGAGGCAGAAACCCCCCGATGACAGCAGCCCTAAGAGCCTCCTGCAGCCGTGCCTGCGACGTGAGGCTCACCTTTTGGCCATCCGTGGGAGCCTTGATCACATAGATGCCTCTGCTGTTGATCGCTGTCGCCAGGGACAGGGACGAGAGCTCCACAGACCCATGACTCTCCTTCACTGTCTTCAGCCACTCGAGGTTCCGGGCAGAGTCACGCTGTCAGAACAGAAGGAGAGAAGATGGGCCAAAGCTTAGGCGTGATCTTCTTGCTGCCACTCTCCCCACCTCTGCCTCCCAGGGACGAACGCCTCCCCTTCTCTGGCCCATTGTGCCGTCATCCACAGGGGAGGCCTCCCTCATCTGCTGCCCACCACTGCCGCGGGCTTTGGCTCTCCCTCCTGGGTCACGCGCTGTTGCTGCAACGGACTGTTCCTCTGTGTTCCCACCCAGTGCCCTGGATCCGTGGATGGGGAGCGAGAGGCATGAACTCAGCTCTCTGTGAGAAGGCGGCCTTCAGCCGGGCCCCTAACCAGGGTAGTGCTGACTGAAACAAGCATGTGAGCTGTGTGTGCTCCTGCCGTTCCTGTTCCCTCCTTCACCCCAGAGGGGCCTCAGCCATCCTGTTGGGCAAGTTATGAACTACAGGCTTACTTGAACCCTGGTGCAGCTGATTTATGTACATGGAAATGTTTACTTTTCTCATTAAAAATGAATCTGTGCCAACTGTGGAAAGTATGGAAAAATACCAAAATGTATAGCATATTAACTAACAATTACCTCCATTCAGAGAAAACCACTGGTAACATTTTAGCACATTTCCTTTCAATCTTTTTTCCCATATATTTCCACCAGAGAGATCACTCTTATTTACATGCAGTTTTCTATCCAGTTTTCTAACAATAGGACAGAGAAAGCATTTCCATATGGGAAGAAAAACTGTTTTCAAACATCCTTTTAAAAGGCTGCATTAAAAACCTGCCATGTGGGTATGCAGTCGCGCTGCTAGTGTTTCAAAGTGACACTTTATTAAACTTAACCTGCTCTGGAGCCAGAAATAAGACTCACCAGTTTCGTGGGCAGGTTGTGGTCATTATTCAGAGCCTTCCACAGCTCTCTCAGGTGTTGCATGAACTCATCAAAACCCGCACTTGTGTCCAGCTCATAGAGCAGGGGAGCGTAACCCTGCACAGCATCGTGGAAGCAAGCTACCCGGTCCACGTCAATGTCGTTCTCCCCCGCAGAGATGGAGGCCAGGTCCACGAACACCTTCAGCTCGGGGATGCCTGGGGCAGGAGGGGTAGATGAATGCAGGGCCACCCTGTGATGACAGGAGCCCCCAATCTGGAACAGTGCTCCTTACTGTTGCTATACCTGGAGAGTGGACTTTTAAGGTTTTCCCCCTCTGCTTCAATAAGAACCTGGGGCACTTTTTCTTTTGCCATTTATGTTGTTGTTTAGTGGCTAAGTTGTATCCAACTCTTTTGCAAGCCCATGGACTAGCATGCCAGGTCCCTCTGTCCATGGGATTTCCCAGGCAAGAATACTGGAGTGTGTCACCATTTCCTTCTCCAGGGGATCTTCCCGACCCAGGGATCGAACCCTATTCTCCTGCTTGGCAGGCAGATTCTTTACCACTGAGCCACCAAGGAAGCCAAATCATTTATGTTGATACTACTGAACAAGACCTGACCTTACTGGACAACACCAATGTCTGGGCATTGCATGGGTTTTTTCGTGTGTCTTATTTCATGCAATCCATGTAATATTGCCATTTCATTATTAAAAGTAAGCTTAGCTGGTGAATAACATATTGACAGTCATCTACAATCAACGGCTGCTTACTAATCAAACGAAGCAGTGAAGCTGGGATAAGATAAGCATGCAGCCCATCCCCTGTCCCTGGACAGCAAGACCATCCCCCTTCCTTCTTTCCTGCCTCCTTCTTCCCTCCATGCATTAATTCTGCCAAAATCACCCAAGCCACAGAGCTAAAAAGACTGCCAAGCCTGTACGCAATGATAAGTAGATGCAATTACATCTAGAAGACAAGGCTGCCTTGGCTTCTAGTAAAAAAAAAATCAACCAAAGGAAAAAACTAAAGGGACATAATTTTTAAATGATCACCTGCTGTTCACAGCATGCATCCAGAGTGAGAGGGGAAAAAAGTAGCCAAGGAAATGGCTTTTACACCAGCAAATGAGTGATATTATCTTGATATAAATTCTACCTACAAACCTAGGCACACCTTGCACATTTACCTAATGAATACAGATGAAAATTTGCTAAGAGACTAGATTTTAATTATTCCAATCACCAAAATAAAAGGAGAATTATGGGAGGTGATGGAGGGCTAATTATAGTTATAATGGCAATCATAAGATATAAATGTATTAAAGCAATGTGTCATGTACCTTAAGTTTACGTAATGCTACAAGGAAAATAGTGACGTGAAAGCCACTCAATCGTGTCCGACTCTTTGCAATCCCATGGACTATACAGTCCATGGAATTCTCCAGGCCAGCATACTGGAGTCTGTCCCTTCTCCAGGGGATCTTCCCAACCCAGGGATCAAACCTTGGTCTTCCACATTGCAGGTGGATTTTTTACCAGCTGAGCCACAAGGGAAACCCAAGAATACTGGAGTGGGTGGCCTAGCCCTTCTCCAGCAGATATTCCCAATGCAGGAATCGAACTGCTGTCTCCTGCAACTGCAGGCAGATTCTTTACCGACTGAGCTATGAGGGAAGCCCTTATGTGTAAAATTCATTTCAATTTAAAAAGTTTGAATGTAAAAAATGCAGAACATGATCAAGGGAGTAACTGCCCAGAAATTCAAGAAGACCACCCTGTTAAGATCTAAATACTCTCCAGCCTTCTGGCCACCAGAGTGATGGACTGTACCTCTGAGAGCCTCCTGGACCCAACTAATGAACTCCTTTCTCTGGGACAGCTCCTTCAGACACTGACACCGAGTCTCATCTATATCCTGCAGAAGCTTTTTGGCACGAATAATTTGCTGGTTCAAACGGTCCAGTTTTTCATGGCGAAAGTTGTCCAAGACAGTCTAAGAAAGTCATCAGAGAAAGCTGTCAAACACAGTCTGCAAGACAAGGCAGTATGTGGGCTGAAACTGGCTCCTGGACCCCCAAACAGAACTATGCTGACCATCCCAATAGTCCCTCCTGCCAAACTTCTAAAACTGACACTAGCAGTCACACTACCAGTAAACAAAGGTAAAAACAAAGCCTTTGGCATATTCAGGCATTGAATAAAATACAAATAACCCTGAAGGAAGCTGTGAAATCATCTTGCCCAGTTTTTCAAAGCCAGAGATCTGGGATCTCGCCCCCACCGCCCCACCCCCAACCCCAGGAGTCCCCAGTAAATAACTTACAAAGCTTAGTAAGGTGTGGAGAACACTGAAGTCACCAGTCAGGCCCAAAGTCTCTTTGACCTTCCAGATGACCTTGGCTGAGTCGACAGCCTGATTCAGGTGATGGTATTCCTTGATCTGCTGGACTCGATCCTTGATCCAATCCTTCTGATCTCTGGGATACAGAGCACACATGATCTGGAGGTCTTCAGTTAGGACGCTGTAGTTATTCACAAAGTCCTTGAAGACGTCATCAATTTCCCCAAAGGTGACCTCCCCTGACTTCAGATCCTGATACAGTTTTGTAAACCTTCTGAAACAAGGACAATATAAACATTCATACACCTCTTCAGGCTGAAATATCTCCCTTTCCAAGTTCTCTTCTGGCTCACTCAGCTCCTGTGCGGCTTCTGCCCAGAAGATCTGGAAGATGTGACTGTCCTTTAGCAAATATGCGTTTTGGGCCATTTCTTGGACTTCGGGGCTCAGGTTATAATGTGTTGTTCGCTTTGGGTCAAGGGGGGTGGCTGACAAAGTCACTGTCACAACTTCGTTTAACTTTTTTCCACGGAGGTCTTCCGAATGTCTTTCAGCAATCTCTCCAAAATCCACTTTTGAAACCATAAGAGAATGTCAAGTCAAACTCTACTCACAATATCATTTTGTTTTACTTTCCCAGTTTTCACTCCCCTTGCTGCTCTTAAGGAAATGCAAGTGAACACACTTGCTGGCATTTGTTCTCAGTGAGTGTCCCTAAATCTCCACCCTCGCCTTGCTCATCAGTTTTCATGACATAGAAGGCTTTGCAACTTCTGGGTGAAGATGACAGTTTGAAATCTGCACATGTTTCCACTCCCTCCCCAAATCCTGCTGCAATGACAGAACTGAGATTGTTTTTCAAAAGCCATAAAGCAACAGGGCTGGGAAGTATAGAAAAGGAGACCACAGCAACAAAACTTTGGAACTTGAAAATGAGATGTGCTGGGGGTAAACAATGTTTCAAGCCTGAGAACTTGGGGTCTTAGCCCATAGTGGGGGAAAGCTGAGATTCTGCCAGGTGTCTGTCATCAGAGAATTTCCCACATGCACAGACCCTGGTTGACAGATGCTAGAATTTGGCAGGTGGTGATGAAATAAGGAGGACTGGGCTGAAAGTCTGCATAACAAGTCATCCAACAGGCTCATTTTCATCCCAACCCATTCCATCAGCAGGCTGAAGGCACCTCCTCCACCCTGGCATGCAACAGGTAGTTTATATTCTAGAGAGGCTCTAGAGGGCTCACAGACGGCTCTCTGGGGTGGGGGGGGGGGGGGGGAACCTCGGGTACACGGCAGAACTAAGGCATTTCCAGACACCTACCCTTCGTCAGGAAGCTAATGGTTGGTATGTGCCACTAAATTTGAGAAGCTAGAAAGGAGAAGAGAGGACACAGGGAGTAGAAGGAAGGACTGGGGCTAGATACGCATCTTAGACGCTGAGAACCCTCCAGCCCTCATTTCTGTCTTGACTCCTAGAGACCTGGCAGGCAGCCCTTATCTTCCAGGCAAGAGACTGGTGATCTGAGCAGCCCAAGAGAGAGGCACTAAAGATACAGGCTATTTCAAAGCCTAGCCACCCCACCCTCAGAATCCCCCACCAGGGTGTTAGTCCCCTCTCTTAATATAAACAGATAAAAAAGAATTCTAGACAGAGGGGCAAAGTCTTAAACATGAAAAATAGACATTAAAACATACCAAGAGATAAAAGCAACTTGGAGGAAACAGGAAACTATTTAAGAAAAAGAAAATCTCTAAAGCAAAAATATAAAAAATCTCAGAAAGATATGATACTATAACCATGAACCAGAACAAGATAGTATGGGAAAAGGATCACTCAAAGCAAAGAGCTCTTGTAAATTAAATACAAGTAAGAAGAAGGAAAAATTTAATGGCAAAGTTAGAAAGAAAACTTAAGAAATTGCTCAGAAAACAGAACAAAACAAAAGACATGGAAAATAGGAGAGAAAATGTATGGACGTTAGATGACTGCTCCAGGAGGTCCAATATCCAACTGTGGATTCCAACAAGAGAAAAAGTAATCACTTAACTAACACAAGAAGTTTCCCCAGAACTCAAGGACTTGGATTTCTAGATTTAAAAGATCCACTTAAGTATGCCCAGCACAGCAGATGGGAAAGAGATCCATTCCAAGGAACATCATTATGACATTTCAGAATAAGGGGGACCAAAAAAAAAAAAAAAAAACCCAAGAGCTTCCAGGGAGAAAACATGTCGTCCACAAAGGATTAGAATCCCAACTGACTATAAACAGTGACCCTGCAGAGACAATGGAGCCACGAACCCCAAATCCTGAAGGAAAGATCTGCACCAACAACAGATCTCCTGTGACGGCAGATGTTTTCAGACAGACAAGAACTCCTGGGCCCCTTACTCAGGAGAAACAGAGTGTGTATTTCACTATACACAGGAGTGAGAGCAGGGAGCCATGACACCCAGAATACTGATCCAGCGGAGAAGAGAGGCAAGATACCCCTAGGATAGCTTATCTCTGGTTTGGAGAGATTCTATCTGAAAAAGCAAATATATCTCCTTCTGAGGAAATTCAAACAGTTGGTAGAGTCTGGCATTGGATTAAAAAAATAAATATATTGAAAACAAAGCATAGGGCAAGATAAGAATTTTAAATCTAGAGAAGATAGTTTGCATAAGAAGTGGGAGAGAATAATGGCTTGGGTGTAAAGAGTGCATTTACATAGTCGTGACATTTAAACCCTGAGGGTTGATGAAATTATGATAAAATTGGAGGGAGGTGAGATTGGAAAGGCTATGTGTATAACGCAGAAATTGGAAAAACAAGGAAATCTAAATCCTAATTTTCCATAAATAATAATGTTTAAACCTAAAAAATCAAGAAGCAGGCTATTTACAGCTATGTCAGTAATTATCAGAAAATTTTAACTTCATTAAAAATTAACACATTAGAAAAAGCCTCCCCCCTCCCAGATGAAGGGCTGCTACGCTGACGTGTTTTTAATCATATTCTCCTTTGACCCTTCTCCCCTGAGGACCTTTCAATTCTGTTTATTTTAATGCTTTAAGAATACCACCTTTTATCACGTCTTTTACCCTGCCACACAACTTCAGGAGAGAGTCAACATCTGTCTTCTCTTTCTTTAGAGTGAGTAGTTCATCCTTCCTCTGACTCAGCACTTCCTTCATAGTTTGTTTTCTGTCTTGGATTAAAGAACTTTTACTCTCTGGGAAAAAAAAGAAAGGAAAGGAAGTCAGTAGAAATAACAAATACCCATTTTGTGTCAAGCCATTTCTCGAACCTCCCGTGAACATGCTCAACATGCTGGGCTGTGGGACGGTGATGCCACAGGCTGTATGCACGGCTACTCCAAGATGTCCCCGTGTCAGTAATCAGGAGGAATAAAAACAACCAGTATTCTAACGTGGTCAGTATTTTATCACTTCCCCTAATTTTCCTGAGGATTAGAAGCCGTCCCCTGACAACTTCCTGGAGAGAGAAGCCATCATAAAGATGACAAAGATCACCTCTCTATAAGACACACAGGCAAAGAGAGAGGCTTCTGAGCTCGCAACTCCTCAGGAGTCTGAAGTCCACATCTCAACGTGATACTTACGGAACTGCCAGATGCTGAGGAACCGATCCATGTGTTCTAGGATCAGCTCCAGGTGCCCAACTAAAATTGTTCCATCGATGAGGTCATTTGTAACTTTTGTCAACACAGAGTCCGCAGTGGCCATCAACTTCTTGCCTTCCTTGGTGATATTTGCTAATATCTCCTCGTTGGTTCCTGACCAAGTTAATAAGAGAGTTAAAATGATAGGTACCCCACTTCCTTCCCACATTAATGGATTTCCAGTAACCTCCTATTGCTCTGCCCCAACTTTCATATAATAAAGCAAAGTCATTCTGTATTCCCAGGTATATTTCTCACATTCTTTAGAGGGCAGGATTTTCAAACATGCTTAGTTGAACCACCAGAAATTTTCTTTCCCAGTAATATTAGGATCATACATTTGTGTCATGTCATTAAAAGCAAATATAGAGGCTTTATTCACAATTGCAAAATCTTGGAAGTACCCAAGATGTTCTTCAGTAGGTGACTGGACAAACCATAGTCCACTCACACAACTGAATATTATTCAGTGGTTTAAGAAGTAAGCTACTAAAAGGAACCTTTGATGCATATTGTTAAGTAAAAGAAGCCAATCTGAAAAGGCAACAGAGAGTATGATTCCAACCATATCCCTTTCTGGAAAAAGGCACAACTGTATAGGAGAGGAGAGGGAAGGGATGAACTGCTGGAAAACAAGGAAGTTTGAGGGAAGTGAAACTGTTCCGTAGGATATGGTAATAGTGGATGCACAACGTTAAACATTTGTCAAAATCCACAGAAAGTACAGGAGTAAACCCTAATGTAAACACTGGACTTTACTTACTAATAACATATCAATATTGGCTCATCAGTTATAACAATGGTACTGAAGCAAGACATTAATAATAGAGAAAATTGTGTGTGTTGAGTGGGTAGAAATGGGAATACTCTGTACTTTCTGCTTAATTTTTCTTTTCTCTCTTTTTTTTTTTTCTGCTTAATTTTTCTGTCAACTTAAAACTGCTCTAAAATATGAGGTCTGTTAATTTAAAAGACACAAATGGAATATTTTCAAGTGAATAGCTTTTAATAGACAACAACAGAACAAGAAGAGCCAAGGCCATCTTCTTATCTATCGCAACCACAACTCTGGCATGAGAGGAACTTGGGTATTTTTTTGTTTATTTTTTAAGACCATCTCAGTCATTTGATGAAATTGACACTCACAATAATCTGTGGTGCTTGTCCATTAGATCTGAGCCTATGACTCACACATAAACCTGAATATGATATTTTTAGGGCAACACACGTTTCCCTTCTTGGTCACAAACTCTGGGGTCATGGAGGGTAGGGGTGCAAGAGTCAGGCAGTACTTAGTTTTTGCTAAGGTCACCAGTACTGGACTGGACATTTACATGGATCTCAGAATAAGAAAGACAGGGCTTTAGATACAGACACACTGGGTTTGGATTTCAGTCCTTAACACTTATTATCGGTGAGACCTTAAGTAAGTCACATTACACTCTCCACCTCAGCTCTTGGTGAGGTTACTATATCAGCCCAGTAGCTGGAATATAGCAGGTATGCCATGGATGGTGGCTTTCAGTGTTAGTTCTCTATTATAATACAAGATACTCTGAGCCTTTCTGGGTCTGTCAGTCCAAGCTGCTTGTTTTGGCAAATATCAATCCAATCTAACGGACTAACAGGTCAAACACTCTGCCGCCACTCTTGAGTCAGGAGGTGCCACTGGACAGATGCTCCCAGCACCCTCCATGAACATACCATATAACTTGAAGAGGTGCTTGATGTCTGGCCATGTGAGCAGGTGATTCAAAACCCCACCCAAGTCGTCTACAAACTCCCCTCTACTTGTTGGCCAGGACTTGGTGATCACAGCAGACACAAGGTTGCCACATTTTTGCAAGTCATTATAAGAGATTTTCCCAAGGATACTGGTTTGAGACTGTAAAAACATGAATAAAGAGAGGGATATTTAGAAGGTTATATGGTTGATTTACTTTTTAACAAAGAAGCAAATTAACTACCCAACAGCATTTCAGAAGTCTCTCATAACTAGTTTTACAATGCCTCAAAAAGCCAAAAGAGTAAATAAAATACTTAACTTTTCTGAGGGCATTTCCATTTTCCTGTCCACTGTCTCCTTAAGATTGAACACTGGGGATGTGGAAACAGGTACCCACAGAGATACTGACACAACCCACAAATTACCCCCTTTTCTCTTGCTCAGTGCCATTTTTCTTGGAACTTTCACATTATTAAAAACATCAAACATAATACAAGTAACCATTAATATTGGTACTTTGGTATTATTAACTGTAATTATTTTAAAGTTGCCTACAAACAACACACACATTTTAATTCTCTTCCTAAGTGAATTGATAAAATCTTTTCAACTCTAAACATTTTTCTTTCATAATGCCTTGTTAACCTTTGGGGTCTTTTACTGCATGCTCAGCAAGGGATAATACCAAGGGTGGGTGAGTGGCAATGATAATAATGAGGCATTTAGGAAAAGCCTGCAAGATTGCTGGAGGTTACATGTGAGCTGCTTGATGCAAAACAATAGCAGGAAGCTGAGCGCACTTTACAGAATGGGTAGAGAACACTGGATTTCAGGGTGGGGAGGGGGATGCCCAGAGCCCATTCTTTGCTTGGGTGCAGAGTCTCGGAACCAGCAGTGCTTAATAGGCTTTGGTTGGTGATTTCAGAAAGCAAGTATGCATGCAAATGCAGTTCCTGAGTGGGAAAGGTTGTTCACCTGGCAGACCGAGCCCACGGCTTCAATGGCACACATCTCAAAGCATTTCGCCACACTGTCTTCTGCACCTGCAGCAGCCCAGTTAGAGTTGCAGAAGGCAGAAATCTGGAAGAGAGGCCTCTCCTGCAAGACGGGAAGACAAGAGTGTGAGAGGTTAGGGATGCTACACTCTCAGACCCTGTGCAATGAAAACACCCTAGTAATTTTCACTTTCCTAGTGTTGTATCAGCTCCCCATTACTGCGGCCTTCTTCCCATCTCACGAGAAGCATGTCCTCCCCACCTCTAACCATTAGACCAAAAAGGCCAAAATACCTACTTAGCAGAAAAAGCATCTGGCACAGCAGCTTGCAAAAAACAGGTGAAACTGAAAGTGAGAGTCGCTCAGTTGTGTCCGACTCTTTGTGACCCCATGGACTATACAGTCCGTGGAATTCTCCAGGCCAGAATACTGCAGTGGTTAGCCTTTCCCAAGGGATCTTCCCAATCCAGGGATCGAACCCAGGTCTCCTGCATTGGAGGCAGATTCTTTACCAACTGAGCTATCAGGCAAGCCCACAAAACACAGGTAAACTTTTTAAAAAGATTTCTTCCTTGCTTCTCTTTTCCTAAAAAGACCCATTTAACAATTACATATAAGAATCTCATGTGTTTTTAAAAAGCTGAATCTCCTAGGGTCACAGGCCTTAATTAAAAATGGGGAACACTTTTGTGTTTTCCCCCAGTTGTCACTGGATTTAACAAGGCTCTTGTCACCAACAGGCCACTTAGAGCAAAAAGCACATAGGCTTAGTTAGTGCCTATTCGAATTTCACACAAGCCAAGGGTTCCCCTGGTGGCCAGAAACTGTGCCCTTATTCTTTTCTAGGATACCATCTATGGTCAAACTATTAAGGCTGAATCAGAAACAGAGTCACCTGAACCCCATGTCCTGTCCATTCAAATGCAGGCATCACATGTACTGGCTAGTCCATGTGGTCTGGTTCCAAAAAGAACATCCCCTGCCTTTCAGTACCTGTTTGAGCCTCCCTGCCATGTCCCCCAGCAAGGATGCCTTCCAGTCATACTCCGTGGGGAAGTTTATTTCCACCAGTCGCCTCCAGACCTGCAAAATCCACAAATAAGGGACAACCACTAAGACACCTAGATGCCACCGTGGATTTTGGTGAAAGAAGGCAATTACAGTCAGACACAGAGCACAGTGCTTTGGAGGACACATGGGTTCAGACTCAGTTTTGTCCAGTTGTCCACTGTGTCACTGGTAAGTCAGGGCAACCCACTTTAGCCTCATAAGACAAAGGGTCCGACTGGACCAGGTCACCACTATGGTCCACTACTGCTCTTCATCCAGAAAGGATTTCCCTCCATTGTTTTAATTTCAAAAAATTTCAAACTTAAGAGAAAGTTGCAATAACAGCATAAGGACACCCATATACTTTCAGCTAGACTCCCCAACATTTAAAGTGGCTGCTCTATCTCTTTCTCTTCTGTGCTCCCTTTAGTCTATCTAGAAACAGGCATTGTCTCCGCTGAACCAGAGTTGCAGATGGCGTGCCCCTTGGCCCATAAGTCCTGCACAGGCATTCCCAACCCCATGGCCCTTCTGCTACACACAGTAGTTCAGGTGTCGCTCTGAGGCCCGTTCACTCGGGTTGACATCTTTCTCATCTTTCTCCCTGCCCACATTTTGCCATTGTTCACTAGTCAACTGACTAGGTCCAGGGTCCAATTGAGGGACACATGGCATTATCATGTCTCCTTTCTAGAGGAGTTCTCCAGCCTTTTCTTTCTTCCTTTATGACAGTGAAAACACTTTTTTGCTTTCCCATTATGGTTTATTGCAGGATACTGAAGACAGTTCCTTGTGCTATATAGTAGGATCTTGTTGTTTATCTGTTTTATACATTAATACTTTATATCTGTTAATACTAAACTCTTTAATTTATCCTTCCCCCACCTCCTTTTCCTTTTGGTAACCAACAGGTCTATTCTCTATGCCTGTGAGTTTATCTCTGTTTAATAAATAAGTTCATTTGTATTTTATTTTCAGTTCAGTTTAATCGCTCAGTTGTGTCTGACTCTTCATGACCCAATGGACTACAGTACACCAGGCTTCCCTGTCCATCACCAACTCCTGGAGTTTGCTCAAACTCTTGTCCATCGAGTTGGTGATGGCATCCAAGCATCTCATCCTGTCACCCCCTTCCCCTCCTGCTGTCAATCATTTCAGCATCAGGATTTTTTCCAATGAGTCGTCGCATCAGGTGGCCAAAGTATTGGAGCTTCAGTTTCAGCATCAGTGCTTCCAATGAATATTCAAGTCTGATTTCCTTTAGGATTGACTGGCTTGATCTCCTTGCTGTCCAAGGGACTCTCAACAGTCTTCTCCAACACCATAGTTCAAAAGCATCAATTCTTTGGCATTCAGCTTTCTTTCTGGTCCAACTCTCACATCCATACATGACTACTAGAAAAACCATAGCTTTAACTATATGGACCTTTGTTGGTAAAGTAATGTCTCTGCTTTCTAATATGCTGTCTAGGTTGGTGACAGCTTTTCTTCCAAGGAGCAAGCATCTTTTAATCTCATGGCTGCAGTCACCATCTGCAGTGACTTTGGAGCCCAAGAAAACAAAGTCTGCACTGTTTCCATTGTTTACCCATGTATTTGCCATGAAGTGATGGGACTGGATGCCATGATCTTAGTCTTTGGAATGTTGAGTTTTATGCCAGCTTTTTCACTCTCCTCTTTCACTTTCATCAAGTGGCTCTTTAGTTCCTCTTTGCTTTCTGCCATAATGGTGGTGTCATCTGCATATCTGAGGTTAAGGTATTTGTGTTGTATTTTAGATTCTGCATATAAGTGATAGTATTTGGTATCTGCCTTTTTCCATCTGACTTACTTCACTTAATATGATAATCTCCAGTATGATAATACTGTTCTGGCCATTACTCATTTTCACATTCAAATTGCCTCAGATTTGGCAAGAGAGCCCCTGCAGGCAGCTTCTGTCTCTTTTTAAAAAAAAAAATGTAATAATCTTAGATGAACAGAAATATCGCAAAGATAGTACAGAGAGTTCCAGTTAACCCAAGTGCTAACACTTTACGAAGCCATACTACAGTTGTGAAAACCAAAATTAGCATTGATAGATTACCATCACCAAAAACCACTAACTCTATTTGGACTTCACCACTTTTTCCCACAATCATTCTTTCGCCCTCCAGGGTATAACCTAGGACATCACCTGGGTTCTGTCTGCTTGTGAAATGTCACCACTTGGTTTCAAGTACTTTTACTTTATGGTAATACAAGGTGTTTCAGGCTGGCCGTGCGCTTCTTCAGCCCCACCTTTAGAATCTGCTGTTCCTTCCAGAAGCACAGGGATTTTTCTGTTTTGTTTTTTAGAGGGAATGGCATTTAGAAGTCATGGCTGGGTGTGCTCACAGACCTGGGTGTCACCATCTCTAGGCCCTTTCAGCGGATGGAGCTAGGGAATGTTGCTTTTAAAATAATGAGTTCACACAATACCTCTAGCTTTTTTCAAACCATAGACCTCCTTTCCCCTCCCCTAATCCATATGTTCCCTCCTCCAATGAGAAAGAACCCAAGCTTCCAACAGCAGCAGCCCTTGCGTCCCTCTGCCCAGCCTTACAGTACACACAACATAGCTTCAGACTTGCTACGTTCCACTGCCAACCACAAAGCTTCCAAATCAAGTTCAAGATTTATGTATGTTTTCTCTGTTTTGACCTTAGATTCCGTCCCTGAGAGGGTGAGTGGTCAGAGTTCTGGGCTCTGAAGTGAACTGTTAGTTGTTCAGTCGTGTCCAACTCTATATGACCCCATGGACTGTAGCCCACCAGGCTCCTCTGTCTATGGAATTCTCCAGGCAAGAATACTGGAGTGGTTGCCATTCCTTTCTCCAGGGGATCTTCCCAAACCAGGGATCAAGCCCAGGTCTCCTACATTTGCAGGCAGATTCTTTACCATCTGAGCCAGAATACTGATGTTCTGGGCTCTGAGTGTTCGGATCAATGATCCTCTCCCCCTGGTGTGGACAGGTAATATGTCTGAATAAGACTGAGATGTAGTGAGAGTTATCTGTTTTTGTTCATGCACAGTTTCAGGGATGTGATTTTATAATGATCTCATTAAAGTATCCCTGGAAGACAACAGCCTAAGTCAGAGGGCCACATGCTTGGTTTCTTCATGTCACTTTCTAGAACTTTTTCCTGGAGCCAAGTCTTTAGGCCCTTCCTCCTCCTCCTTCCCAGCATAAGATTCTGTCCACATCTCACTTTCTGGAAGCTCTCCCTGCCTCCCTACCTTTTGGGTCTGATTTCTAATTTCCTCACGTTCAGATGCTGCTCAGCCCAGTTTCCCTTTCATGGAAGCTTTGCTCTCATCTTATTTTCTACTGTCAACATCATAACCTGAGCACAGCATTAGACGTGAATGCCCTTCCCCACTGGCCACCATGTCCCAACAAGCTCTGTCCCCCCCATCCCGCCGCCTCACCACTGATGTGGGGACCACAGTCCACCCGCCAGGGAGTCCATGCCCTCAGTCCCCTCAGCTGTTAGGGGAGCAGCTGTCCATTCTGCAGAGGAGACCCCAGTGTCCCCTGCACTGGACTGGCTTACCTCAATCTCCTCTCTGTAAGTGAAGGTGACAGGTGAAAAATAAAAATACCCAATCTGGAACATGCTCTTTTTAAAAATTCTCCGAAGCCAAGATTTTGTAGCAGCGAGGGTCCCCTGGAAGACCGTTTTTACTGAATTCTTCTTTCCAGTTTCATTTCCCGGCCCTCCTGCTGAATCCTGTCACCGCAAGAGAGAGACGGAGTTGAATTGACCCCACATGGCAGACCCAAAGGATCATCCAGATATTTCTCCACCCGCCTCTGCGGCTGATGCCACCTATGCACACGGCAGAGCCTACATATTCACAGCACTTTCACTTTCCCGGCGTTTCAGCTTCACTCTGGGTGGACAGCATGGGGGTCCAGGTAGGAGAAGCAGTGGCATGGACGTGCCCTCAAGTGACCCCAGGTAACTGTAACAGAGGCGATGCTGCCTCACCAACCGGTAGACCTCCTGGTTTCTGAGCCGACAGACAAGGGAGAAGGGTGCGCCACGGGCTCAGAGCTTCCAGCAGCTCAGAAAGCCAAGCTCGTGTAAACCCTGTCCCCGAGTGACATGCTAGGGCCAGGAGGACACCCAAATCCCTACCCTGGTGCTCTTTCCTTGCGGTTCTCCATTCATTCCCACCCCCTGAAAAGCCCCTTTCCCCGGGGGTCAAGGGCTCTAGGGATGGGGATGCCTCTTTCCTGCTCTCCTTCCCTTTCTCATCAGAAGCATCTTTACCACAAAGTGGATTCAGCCATCAGCCCCACTTAGAAAGAGGCCTCTCCCAGTTCTGATGTGTATTCTCTTTTGCTTCAACCGAGTCCCACAGATTGTGTAAATGTCAAGGCCCCCCAGACTGGATCTGCTGGTGTCACTCCCTCCTTCCAGAGACGGTTGGCCCAAGGGCTAGAGGCATCATAGTGAGGCGGCTGCCCAAGGAGCTGATCGCTAAGTGGGAGACCAGTACAATCAGTAAACAGGGCAGGTAACAAGATAGGAAAGGCACATAAAGGGTGCTCGGGACTTCCCTATAGCTCAGATAGTAAATAATCTGCCTGCAAAGCAGAAGACCCAGGTTCGATCCCTGGGTCAGTAAGATCCCCTGGAGAAGGAAATGGCAACCCATTCCAGTATTCTTGCCTGGAGAATTTCATGGACAGAGTAGCCTAGCAGCTACAGTCCATGGAGTCACAAAGAGTCGGACACAACTAAGCAACTAACACACAAAGGGTGCTGTACCCAGTCTTGGGTGTGTGTGTGGAGGGGCAGGTTCTCCCCTGAAAGATTCAGGGAGCTCTGGGCAGAGTGTGAGGGGTAGGCTGGGTTATGTGTGGGCAGGGGTACAGCGATGCTGGGAGAATAGCACAGAGGATATGGGTGGTGTGGGTCAGCAACAGTTCTCAGCTGAAAATGGGACATGCTGGCTCAAAGTGAAAGTCACCAAATGGGCCAGCAACTTCTTGAACAATCTAGAAACTTTAGCAGGGTGTGCGTGCCACCTGCAGTCTGGCCTAGCCTAGACCCAGGCTCCATCTCCAGCCATGCTAGCCTACCTGCAGAGCAGCAGGATCCTCTCCTCCCTGACACGCACACGCTGCTCTCTCACTCTGTGGGAACGCCAGCCCCTCCAAAGGCCCCGTGTTCCCAGGGCACCTTATGGACACACCAGTTTAGTATTAACCCACTGTGCTGCAATTACGGGCTCACTGGACGGCACCCCCCTACGCATCCCTGCTGCCAGGCTCCTCTCTTCTCCATCTGGTGTGCCCTGCAACCAGCAGATGATGGGCTGTTAGTGAACACCCCAAGCCTAAAAATCTTCTCTAGAACTTTCACCTTTCCTTCTTGTTTTTCTCCACCTGATATGCTGTCAATCCTATCAACCCTTTATGTTGGCACATAACCAAAAGCATTTCAGAGCCTCTTCATATACTTTGGTTTTATTTAATTTCAGTTTTGCAAAGCTTTTTCTTTTTATGGCACAGGTAGAGAATTTGGACCAGACTGTGGTTACACTAATCTGAGATCCCAACCAACACTCAAGTTAGTTATTTCTGCAGGGACATATACCGTAAGTAACTAACAAATTTCACATTTCTTGAACAGTTTATCTAGAAGTTGGCACCTGCGTAGGATGGTTTAAATAATATCCACTTCAGGAAAAAGCAATCATCCTACCAATGTTTATTTTTAAATGTTCCCTTGGTATTTTTTTAAAAAAGAAAAGCTAAAAGAACAAAGATAAAGTACACACTTAATTATATCACTAACATCACAGTTATGACTTGTAAAATGGTTGGTCTAAATAGGAAATCATCTATCACCTTCATGTGGAAGCTCAAACTCAACAGGGTGAAGATCACACAACAATGGGAAAAAATGAGCTGTGGACACATGCAACAGCACAGATGGATCTCAGAGATGTGCTGAGCGATGAAAGCCAGACACAAAAAAGGACAGAGTTCCAAGACAGGTAAAACTGACTTGTGATGGTACTAATCAGGAGAGTGCTTACCACTGGGAGGTATGGAGGGAGGGGGCACAGAACTCTGGATTGTTCCTACAGCTTGATGCCGGAGGTGGTGCTTGTGTGGAAGGGCTCTGAGGTGTGCACTGGGGTGTGTGGACCTTGCTACTGTATTCGAGTTTCAGTGAACAGGAAAAAGGCCCAGGTGGGAAAGATGAGGCATGACCATGCATTTGGGTGGGGAGATTCTTGGTGGGGAGATTCTTGGTGGGGAGCCCTGGCCATGTGCTGGGCTCTTGAATTTACCCAGTCACAGCTAATACTCTACACCTGAACTTCTGCACTGCCTCCTTTCTCCGTTCTTCCCTCTAACGTAAGCCCTGGGGGCAAGCATGCAGACCCTGGCTCACCAAAATAGCCTCATGAGCAGAACAAAACCCGGCATCAGGTATGTACTGACACACCTGAAGGTGGAATCAGCCGTCCTGTCATTCCACAATCCTAGACTCAGCCTGTCTCCTTTTTGAATAGAGGATGCCTCAGGCTCCATAGCTCTGCTGGGTATGGCATTATGTGTACATGTTCCACTTACCACTACAGGTTTAAGTATAATAATTCTGCAAACAATCTCAGCAGATAAGGCAGGCATCTCATAAAACGTGTGGGCTTTTGATATTCTGCAGGTAGTTTCGTGAAGTTTCAGGCACACAGTCAAGTAGGACTGTATCAAGGGCTCCTCAAGAATCCTAACCCACAAAGAGTTGAGAGAAATGAATGAAGTAATTTAGGAGGAATTCGAAAAGAGTACCCATTATTCATGACAAGTTCCTTCCCTTTAAAACACCTACAAGGAAGGCATGTACTTGATCCCATATAGGATAACATCCAGAACATTTCCATTAATTTTGAACTTGTGACTGAGATAAAAAGAAAAAAAGTCTTTTTGGTTTGCCTCCATGGTCTGAACTATTTTAACAAAAGCAAGTTAAATTATTTCCAAGTGTATTCCTTTGTTTGAAAATAATCTTAAGGATGGATATTACCAAAGATTCAAATACCATACAATTTTTTAAAAAAGAATCAGTAAGCTACAGGGAGGGAAAAAAAGAAAGAAATGCTAGAAGCATATGTCCTGTGCATGAAATTTCTTTCAGCTCTGAGTGGACCTGCTTATTGGCTGATACGTGACCAGAGCTGAAAGGTAGGGAGCTGATCAGGAGGGTTTAGAAGGTGGCAAGAGACAGGAATTACTGGGGCGATTCTGTAATACACAGAATTAGATGGGGTCCATGAAGTCCCAGGTCCTTGGCGTTAATGCAAATCTGACACTCCCACCTCCATCCTGAACACCCTAAGAATTCAGGTGAGGCGATCCTGGCAGTGCTCTGAGAAGCTAAAAAATTACCTCCCACATTTGTTCATTTTGTACGCTGTGCCTCCAGGGTGTCAGAGCTCACACATATTTGCAGGAGCAAATGATTTCAGATCATTATGGAAAGCTACCTTTGTATTTATTTTCAGCTTCTCTGACTTGCAAAAAAAATCTGAAGACTAAATGCTGATAAGATGCAGGACACAAGCATGAATATGTAATATGATGATAATCACTTAAAAATAAATGACAAAAAGGGCACAGGAAAAAAATCAGATGAAAATAAACCAAAATGTTAGCACCTGATTTCAATACTTTTCCCTTTTTAAAAAAGTAGGATGATTACATCAATACCTTGAAAAAAGAAGTGGAATATATATTAATTTATGGCCTTACATTAATGACAGCAACTATGGCATAAACCCAATCATAAGGGATAACCTTGTACAAGAGAGATTACCTTTTACTTTTCTACTTACTTTTCCTGATAAATATCCAGAAGGCACAACAGCATTTTCAAAATATTCTCAATACTCTAGGGTGGGGAAGAAAAGAAAAAAGGGAAGATTTAATCATGATGCCACTAACCTTTGTTAAAACAGAACCAAAAAAAAAAAAAAAAACCACCCAAAATAATAAGGCATAATAATTTTCTTTCTATAAACAAGCTTTAAGGGGCTCAAGTACTAATCTTATACCTCTTACAAATAAAACTTGGGATTTAAAATTAAACCATTTTCTCCTCCCCAAAATGGGAAAGGACAATAGCAATTAGGAAGTGGACCAGCATGCAGGATAACTTCTAACCCTGACTTGCACAATCTCACATATCCAAAGGCTGTTGTTTTATTGAATTTTGTTTACTGAAACAGAATAAACTCAAGTAAATTAACCCCTTACCCTAAGAAATACTGACCCTTCCCAGTTCTCTTATATCTAAGTGCTTTACCAGGTCAGGTTTCCAGAAAAGGAGAATCACAAACTCTGACTGATTAGTTTTTGACCTGCTTTTGTTAAGCAAGGTCTCAAGAGCTGATTCCAGACAACAAACCTCGAAGTTTCTTGGAGAGATTTCCTGAAGTCCGTCCAGACGGTACCAAGTCCCTAGAAGACAGTCCAGGGCACGAGGGGGACACTGACTCAGGTAATCGATGAGGTGTTCCATGTAAGGAGCCAAGTTACTCAGAGGAAGCAAACTGAACCAGGATCGGAATAGATACTTATCCACATTCAGCAAATATCTGTTTTTTTCCATTAGCTGGAGTAATTGTATCCTTATAAGGGAAAATTGGAACAGAAAAAAAGGGCAGCAGGGAGATAGGTAAAAGAGACAAAATTAATTAAAATTATCTTAGAAGGGATCTAGAAAGTTCTGATTTCAAAAATAACTGAAATGCCAACAACTCAATCAAATAAGAAGTAAACAATAATATACTAAGAATTCAGCAACATGGATGAACTCTGAGGACAAGATGCTCAGTGAAATCACCCACTCACAAATGAACAAATAATTTGATTCCACTTATGTGAGGTCCCTAGAGAAGTCAGATTCATAGAGACAGCAGAGTAGTGGGGACCAGGGACTGGTGTTGGTGGGAGAATAGACTACTGATTATTGAGAACACAGTTTCAGTTTTACAAGATGAAAGGTTCTGGAGATGAATGGAGGTATTGGTCGCACAACAGAGTGAATGTATTTAACACCACTGTTGTGGTGGTGTACACTTAAAATTATTAAAATGGTAAACTGTAGGTTCTGTATATTTTACCACAATAATAAAAAAATTCACCAAGAATTAAGCATTTTCAATACATGCATATGTATGGCTGAGTCCCTTCACTGTTCACCTGAAACCATCCCCACACTGTTAATCTGCTATACCCCAATACAAAATAAAAAGTTAAAAAAAAAAGAATTAAGGATTTTCCAGCTTTATTGAAATATGGCATATGACACTGTAAGTTTAGGGTTGATTTGATACACTTACATACTGCAAAATGATTACCACAGTAACAATACTTGATACCTGCATCCATTGTGTCATATAGTTACCATTTCTTTTCTGTGATGAGAATCATTAAGATCTAATCTCTGAGCAACTTTTAAGTAAACAATATAGTATTATCAACTAGAATCACCATGTTGTACATTCAGTTCGGTTCAGTTCAGTCACTCAGTCGTGTCCGACTCTTTGCGACTCCATGAACCACAGCATGCCAGGCCTCCCTGTCCATCACCAACTCCCGGAGCTTACCCAAACTCATGTCCATCGAGTCGGTGATGCCATCTAGTCATCTCATCCTCTGTCGTCCCCTTCTCCTCCTGCCCCCAATCCCTCCCAGCATCAGGGTCTTTTCCAATGAGTCAACTCTTCACATGAGGTGGCCAAAGTATTGGAGTTTCAGCTTCAACATCAGTCCTTCCAGCGAACACCCAGGACTGATCTCCTTTAAGATGGACTGGTTGGATCTCCTTGCAGTCCAAGGGACTCTCAAAAGAGTCTTCTCCAACACCACAGTCAAAAGCATCAATTCTTCGGTGCTCAGCTTTCTTCACAGTCCAACTCTCACATCCATACATGACCACTGGAAAAACCATAGCCTTGACTAGATGGACCTTTGTTGGCAAAGTAATGTCTCTACTTTTTAATATGGTGTCTAGGTTGGTCATAACTTTGCTTCCAAGGAATAAGCGTCTTTTAATTTCATCGCTGCAGTCACCATCTGCAGTGATTTTGGAGCCCAGAAAAATAAAGCCTGACCTTGTTTCCACTGTTTCCCATCTATTTCCCATGAAGTGATGGGACCAGAAGCTATGATCTTCATTTTCTGAATGTTGAGCTTTAAGCCAACTTTTTCACTCTCCCCTTTCACTTTCATCAGGAGGCTCTTTAGTTCTTCACTTTCTGCCATAGGGTGGTGTCATCTGCATATCTGAGGTTATTGATATTTCTCCCGCCAATCTTGATTCCCGCTTGTGCTTCTTCTGGCCCAGTGTTTCTCATGATGTATTCTGCATATAAGTTAAATAAGCAGGATGACAATATACAGCCTTGACGTACTCCTTTCCCTATTTAGAACCAGTCTGTTGTTCCATATTCAGTTCTAACTGTTGCTTCCTGACCTACATATAGGTTTCTCAAGAGGCAGGTCAGGTGGTCTGACATGTCCATCTCTTGAAGAATTTTCCACAGTTTATTGTGATCCACATAGTCAAAGGCTTTGGCATAGTCAATAAACCAGAAATATATGTTTTTCTGGAACTCCCTTGCTTTTTCGATGATCCAGCAGATGTTGGCAATTTGATTTCTGGTTCCTCTGCCTTTTCTAAAACCAGCTTGAACATCTGGAAGTTCACAGTTCACGTACTGCTTGGAGAATTTTGAGCATTACTAGCTTGCATTACTACTAGCAATCACTTTACTAGCATGAGAGATGAGTGGTACATTAGCTCTCCAGAATTAATTTTTCCTCAGAATAATGACGTTTGTACTCTTTGAGAAACATCATCACTTTTCCCCACCTCCCAGCCCTGGTAATCACCATTCAACTCTCTGCTCTTGTGAGTTTCACTTTCTCAGATTTCACATATGTGATATCATATCTATAGTATTTGCCTTTATCTACTTTATCCCACCTAGCATAATACCCTCAAGGTCTATCCATGTTTTGCAAGTGGCAGGATTCCCTTGCTTTCGTGACTGAAAAATATTTCATCATGTATACATATATATGTATGTGTATATATATACACATACATATATATGTATACACACATACACACCAGTTCCTCTTTATCCATTCATTTACTGACGGACGCTTAGGTTGTTTCTATATCTTGGCTATTGTGAAGGATGCCGCAGTGAACATAGGGGTGCAGATATCTCTTTGAGATAGTTATTTCATTTCCTTGGGAAATACACCCACAAGTAGGATTGCCGGATCATAATGCAAAAGCTCTTGGCTTAACTTTTGATGCCATTTTCCATTGTCAGTGTAACAATTTAAGAACTAAGCATGTTGATGCATGATGCCCTGGATTCTACATGAACCCAGTTCAGGGAAGGTCTTTAAATTACTCTGTTCTGTAGCACTGCCTGGACACCCAAAAAGATGACAATGTGAAAGAAAATACTATACAGCAGAGTGCCACAACTGACAGAGGTTACGAGAAACATGTGGATAAAGCTTCACTACATACTAAAGGCCGCTTTTGCCTGAAAGGCACAATATTTAAGACCAACACTAATGTTTGTCATTTGCCAGCTAAATTTCTTCTAGACAGTTGGTCTAGAAGACTGTCTAATTTGGCTTTAATTTCAAAAGATCTCAATAATAATGAGGAAGCAATAATTTAATTTAGCTTGCTCACTATTTCAATCCCTAAAATCCTATAGGTTAGATCCTATTGGGTTGGGGAGAGCAGATGAGACTTGGAATAGCTTCTTTGACAAAAGACAAAGTAAATGGGGGATGGTATCTGTGCTTTGTAATAACTGCTAATATTAATTTGTGACTGAATTTGTATTTTTTATTTAATTTTTGTACTTAAATTTGATTTACCATTTTTCTTTTACAGACTGTGCTTTCTGTGTCTTCTCTAAAAAATCTTTGCTTACCTCAAAATGATACTTCACTGCATACCTACAGAGTGCAAAGCCACTGGTCTTTTTCAATTCCACTTTCAGGAATTTATCTTGAGGAAATAACTGGACACGGAAAACTACAAGAAGTGCATCAAAACATGCTTACAAAGCAAATGTGCAGAAACAATCCAAGGGTCCAGGAACAGAGAACTAGCTAAATAAAAATTGCAACACTAAGCAGTCATTACAATAGGTGTGTGTTTACTGACAAAAATAAAATCATTCATACAATTGATACAATACACTGTTAAGTGAAAAAAGAAAGTTGGAAAACAGCATGAAACAAGATAAATGATCTATTATAGAGGCAGGGAATGGGGAACAATTGGACAAAACCAGACAAAAGGCACAAATTTCCAGACATAGATAAGTGCTAGTGATGTAACATATAACATGATAAATATAATTAACAGTATAGTGGACTGAACTGAACTGACAGTGGATTATACATAAAAGTTGTTAGGAGAGTAAATCCAAAGAATTCTCATCAAAAAGGAAACATTTTTGTCTGTTTCTTTAATTTTGCACCTATGGACGATAGATGTTCACTAAACTTCAGTTCAGTTCAGTTCAGTCGCTCAGTTGTGTCCGACTCTTTGCGACCCCATGAATCGCAGCACGCCAGGCCTCCCTGTCCATCACCAACTCCCGGAGTTTACTCAAACTCATGTCCATCGAGTCGGTGATGCCATCCAGCCATCTCATCCTCTGTTGTCCCCTTCTCCTCCTGCCCCCAATCCCTCCCAGCATCAGGGTATTTTTCAAGGAGTCAACTCTTCGCATGAGGTGGCCAAAGTACTGGAGTTTCAACTTCAGCATCAGTCCTTCCAATGAACACCCAGGACTGCTCTCCTTTAGGATGGACTCTCTAAACTTATTGGTCATCATTTCATGATGTAAGTCAAATCATTATGCTGTATTTCTTAAACAGTGCAGTACCTCAATTATATCTCAATAAAACTGTAAGAAAAATAAATAATCTATCTTTTGTGGTTTATTTTTAAATATATAAAGCACCCACATATCCACATTTGGACACAACCCTGCAAATACATAGGCCAAAGTGTATGATTATCTCTGTGGTTGCAGGCCATTTTTGTAGCTTTCCATTTCTTGCATGTTTAAAACTTTTTAAAGAAGTAATTTTAAAGGAAGCAATATATTACTTCCATCACTAGAAGGAGGGGTAAGTGGACACTGGAAGTCCACTGGAGATCTTGGAAGCACAGTTATGATTCTAAAATTTACATACACAAGTGCAGGTCCAAAACTTACTGATCTGGTCTTGTTTCCCGAAACTCCGAGAAGGAGATGCCTTCAAGGGCTGCCCAGGTGTCTTCAGACTGCACGGCTGAGCCCTGGGCTGGTGGGGACAGGTCCATACAGTGGTGCAGCACAGGCAGGGCACACACCCAGAGGTCAACCTTTTTGCCCATGCACATTTGGCACAGGTTTACCAAGGACGCTCGCCAGCTAGAAAGGGAACAGAAACAGACATCAGTTCAGGATGGCCAATGTGAGGCCCACCTGGAGGTCTGACATCCATTAGGGAAGGGACAGCTCCTCGCACAGAGCAGGAGAACACTCTGGGTATCTGACCAGGGAGAAACCTCAGGGCCCACTGGGCACCCAAAAGTGTCAGGCACTGAACAGGCCCTCTTGCAGCCCCAGAGCAAACTCCCAAGGGCATCCTTCCATTCTCCATGACAGTGGGAGAGACAGAGGTTCAGAGAGGCTTGTGATCTACAAAAGGTCCCTGGTGTCAGAGCTGGGGCTTGAACGCAGGTCATCTGGCAACAGTAAATCTAAATACGAAGCAACTTTTTGCATGTAAGTGGGGAGCCTATAAATAATACATGCCATGTTCCTTGCAAACACATGTACATTTGCCAGCATTTCTTTTCTCTTTCAAAATTTTATTAAATCCTGGACAGGATTTAATTGGATGTTTAAAATTTATAAAACCAGGAGGCAAGTGTCCATTAAGACTGGCTGCTCAGAGAAGGCTACCCAATATTATTCTTGAGTTCAATTCAAACAGCTACAGAAAAAAGACCTGGGGATCATCAGAGTGTTCTGGGGAGGCGCCTCCACCCAGTGAAATATAAGTGCCTTTGGGACAGGCCGCAGCCTCCACACTACCAGTGCTCCCAGCCTAAAGCAATGGGCACAGCAGTGGCTCCTAACTGGGAACGACAGTGGCCGAGGCCACGGTGAGGGCATCCACAGTGCTTCCACAAACATCCTCGAGTCCAGCTTCATTGTCTTACTATGACCCAGCCCCCCAAACACAGGCCCACAGGGTTAAGACACGATACACCTTGCGTGTGTGCATGCATAGGCACTTCATTTGTGCCCAACTCTGCTACTGTATAAACAGTAGCTCACCAGGCTCCTCTGTCCATGGGATTCTCTAGGCATGAATTCTGGAGTGGGCGGCCATGCCTTCCTCCAAGGGATCTTCCAGACCCAGGGATCAAACCCATATCACCTGCATTAGCAGGCAGATTCTTTACCACTGCACCACAGGGGAAGCCCATGATATACCTCAAAGCTTCTCAAAAGCAAGTATTCAATAGAATATGTAATAAAATGAAAAACAGTACATAGACTAGAAAAAGGCTAGACTGATAAACACTGAAATGACAATAGTGAGTGGTAAAATTATGGGTCATTTTTTTCTTGTATGTTTTCATCCATTCTATGACAAGCTCTTATTTTTATAATCAGATAAAACCCATAGAGAGCTAGGAAATCTTTACACACACACACACACACACACACACACTACCTCTGAGATGTTTCAAAGATGTGTTTCAGGTCCCTGCAAAAGGCATCTGGTGATGTGGCCTCTGAGTGAAGGAGGTGACAAAGTGAGGCCAGGTCTTTTTCCAGTAAGAGGAAGTTGAATTTTTCCACTAACAAAAGGACAATCATGCCCATTCCCAATTTACTCTTCACTGGGCAGTCCTCAGGCAGACGGTTCCCACTGGTTTCCAGAAATGGTGCCATTTTCTTTGTCAAGCACTCCCATAGGTGCTTCTTCACCTGGTCCCAGGAGAAAAGGAAAACACATAACCATGGCGTTGAACCCACCAGAGGTGTCAGGACCTGCCTGGCGTTTCCTGTGAGCCGGGTAGGGCCTGAGGAATGAGGGGCAGGGAAATCTCTGGGGAGGAGTCGCCCTCCACCTGCCTCCCCACTAAACCCTGAGTATCCCCTTGCCACGGGACTTCGGGAGGTACCACCAGCGGTACATACAGAGGACTCAGCATGCTGGAGAGGATCTCAGGTTGGGGTCCTGAGCCTTATAAGAGTTCACTAGTCATCTCAGATGTGGCTCCAGATCTGTCTCAAAAATGCTTAAGCCATATGACACAGTAGCTGGAGATGACATGGAGGAGGATGCCAGTCTTCTTGTCGTGGAGGGAAAGGGCAGGTGAGGAGGTGGGACCAGGTAGTGGAGGGGAAGGGTGGGACCAGTAATGGAGGTGGGTCTAGAGGAGTTGAAACTGAAAGTGTGAGTCCCTCAGTTGTGTCCTAGTCTTTGCGACCCCATGGACTGTAGCCTGCCAAGCTCCTCTGTCCATGGGATTTTCTTGGCAAGAAAACTGGAGTGGGTTGTCATTCCCTTCTCCAGGGGATCTTCCCAACCCCAGGATTGAACCCAGGTCTCCTGCATTGAAGGCAGATTCTTTACCATCTGAGCCTCCAGGGAAGCCCTGGTGAGGACGTGGAAGGAGTCAAAAAATGAGGAGGACAAAGAATTCCCTAGAGGTGGCGCTAGGAGACAAGAGGCTGAAATAGCCTGCCCCCATCCACCTGTTCACTGAGTCTTGGAGTCATCTGGCCACTAGATGGTGAGGTGATGCTGAATGCCCAGGAGACAGAAAAGGGAGATGCTGCTGACACCCCTGAGGTCTGGTACCTTCTTCTCTTCATACTGTAGAGCACTCCATGGCTGTTCTTCTCCTTCATAGATCATGGGCACACGAATGACATCATAGAACTGCTGGAACTGGATGAAAAAGTTCTTTAAATTGATGGCATTCCAGGTTTCAAGAATGCTGAAGATGCGGTCCAGCATGACGGCAGCTGAGATCTGCTTCCCTATCACCACGTTTTTCCTCGTACCATCTGTTATATGATCCATAAACTTCTGAAATGCCCCAGGGGGCTTCATACAAATTATATCATCGTACTGATGCCAGTCTAAGAGTAAAGAGAATATTATACTTAGGGGCATCGAAACCCACTAGACCTGAACACTCCACCCTGGAAGGTTGATCTTGACCAGAAGAAGCAAGATGAAGGAGTCAAAGAAGGGAATGAAGGAGCCAAAGAAGGGAAGAAAGACAGGAAAATTACAGAATGTGGGAAATAGAAGGCAGCCAGCACTCACTCACTCCATCCAGGTACACCCAGCCGCAGATGAGCAACGTGGGGCCTGACCCCAGAGGTAGCAAAGATGTTTAGGACAAGTAACCTAGACACCCCGCAACTACCCTTAAGTACTTGAAACATGCTTTTGTTGAACCAGATGGCTCAGCATACTTGGTACGTGAGTTCCTTAGAAAATTACCACATGAATGCACCCCTCCAAAAAAATAAACAAAATAAAGCACCTGGTCTTGGTGACAGACTGGTCCATCTCTCTCAAAAGCTGACAGATCAATCTTTTTAAATAAGAACTTTAATATTAAGTAGGCGTTATCTAATAGTAGTTCAGATGGTAAAGAATCACTGCTGCCTCTCCATGCCCCAGTCCCCTCACTTCTCAGCAGATCCACCCTCTCTTCTTTCCCTTAGAAAACATCCGCTACCCTGTTTACTCTTGTGAGTGCTTAAGTTACACTGATCAGAAACATGCTGCCAAGCTCAGGCTTAGAAAACATAAAGCCGGGAAGTATGGCAGGGCCAATGGCAAGCAAAGAAGACCCACAGAGGACAAGGAAAGCCTTTGTTCCAGAGAGGAACGTCCAGCCTCAGAGGCTGATCAATCAAGAGTCTTCGGCTTACCTCCAGAGTCCAGAAGGGAAGATTTCACCCGCAGACAGCGGTTCACATGCTCGCCTTTCTTTGACAGTTCTTTGTAGATGAACTCATACTCAGGAATCCTGCCTCTGCAGATGATGTATTTGTAAGGAATGGGTTTATTCACGTGCTGCTTGGAAATGGTGGTGCTGCCTTCAATGAGGGACCCGTTCTCATGTAAGTCTCTGTGAATAAACAGGAGAGCAGCTGGATATGTGAAAATCCTCTCCCAGAAATGCTCATTCTTCTCAAACACAACGTGGAGTGCAGACCTAATGCTATAAATCTATGCTGAGAGAGAGGATGCTTCTAGAACAAGGCTCACTTCCACACGGAGACAGAAAGACGACCAAGATGAAGTATGACAAAGAACTGCATTATAGGGAAGAGTTTTTTGAAATATTTATCTTCCAAAAGCTCTAAGAATTAATCAACTTGATCAGAATTATGATTTCAATATATTTCAAAGACTGGACATTCTGTACATTTCCTTATTGGCCAACCGGGATATACTCACTTGCTGTAGTGCATTTCGCAAACATTATGACTCCATGCAGGTTTCCCAAATTCTTTTCCGCCCCTGACATATACTTTGTGTTGATCAGGGTTGAATCCAAAATGTTTAGAAATGATTGCATGGAAATATACCATGATTCCTTCTGTGGAGCTCAACAGACTGGGTAAGTCACAGAAGAAAATACTGATTAGATCTGATCTCTCTACTCCCTGCCCACACACATACACAGGCATACATGTGCACACACGATCTTGTTTCTGGGCGTCCACTAACACACACCCCAGCAAAGTGCAAGAGAACCCACACTTCAGATAGACTGCCCACCATGTGGGTCCCCTCGGCTCTCCCTCTACTGTGGAGGAGGACAGTGGGCACAGGGTGGGGTGATCTCTGCCCAGCTTCAAAGAGCTGGGGGTGGTGGGAGGGGGTGACTGAGTACTCTGGGGCATGACTGCCTCTCTCCTGACTTCTGTAAGGTCCAAGCTGCTCAGGTCCCCAGAGACCATGTGATGGCGCATTTCAACCAGTCAAGGAATTGGGACAGGTGCCCCTCCCTGCCTACCTCCTGAGCGTTGCCCTTTGCCCTGAGAGTCAACAAGCAGGCAGCCTGGGAATCTCCTCTGGGGTGGCGTGGCCCTTCCCGGCCCCAGTGCTGGGCGGGGGCCAGGCCTCTGCCTCCCTGAGCCAGTTGCACCCACCTCTCCTTAGCTCGCTGTGTGCTCTGGTTCCTTTGCGCCTTCTCATTTTTCACAGGGGCTGCATTACTTCCATTATTCCCCTCTGGCCTCTTCAGATTCTTTGGCTTGGCTTTCTCATTTTCACCTGTTTTTCCTCCGGGAACAGCCGTCTGGTCCTTGGTTGCAATTTCCTGGAACAGGCACCCAAACCCCAGCCTTTAGACCAGGCTCCATGCTTGCCACAAACACAGGATGCTTGTCATAGTCACGAGACTGATCACAGCCCTCCCCTGCTCAGAACCTAAACGGCTTCCAGTCCACCCACCACAGGCTCCAAGGACTCCTGTCCCAACATTGTTAACCCCAGCCTCTCTTCCCTTCACCTGCTCTTGGAAGAAGCAGCTTTCCTGCTGCCCCGTAAACAAGCCCACCACACTCTCCCTTGGGGCCTTTGCATGTCCCCAGATAGGCATGTGGCTTGCCTGTCACTCTTTCAGTTCTCCTTGGAGAGGTCCTGACTGGCACCCACTTCAGGCCCTTGCCCTATTTCTCTCCAGGGCACTTCGCACAGTCTGGCTTTGCATGTCTTTCTCCCCACTAGAATGTGAGCTCCGAAAGGCAGGAACTGGTCTCATTCATGGCTATACCCCCAGCACCTAACACAATTCACCAAATGATTAAGTTGTGGAAGGAACGGGACTAAAAGGAGCAGCCCATGGGATGGACAGCAAGGATGGGGAGGGTGTCCTGGAGAGCCGACCAGGCAGGCAGGAGACGCTTTACCTGGCGGTGGTCTCGGGAAGCAGGGACGCTCGTGGGTAGCTCTTTCATTTCCTCGTTCTTATCTTTAACATCTTTCTCAGCTCCTTCCACTGAACCAGCTGGCTCAGCTGTAGCATCACTTGCCTGGAAGAAATAAAGCCCCCAGACATCAGGGCCAAAATGACAAAGTGCACAGGGAAACTTGGACTCAGTGGCGTAAGGGTCAGGCTCTTCCACCAGCCCAGGAACAGGGGTCAGCGGCTCAGGGTAGAGGCATAGCCCCTCCCACAGCGCCCCTCCCAGGAAGCAAGTCGCAGTGTATGCCCTTCAGACAGTGAAGTGCTGTCAGATCCGCACTGCATAGCAAGGTGCTGAGACAAGGCAGGACAACCCTGGCATCACTTCCCTAACTCACCCCAGAGGCAGGAGCCCTGGCCAGCTGCCCGGTGGTCTGCAGCTCTTTCCTGGGCTTGGAGGTGTCCGCCTTTGGCTCAGGCAGCAGGAGCTCCTGGGCAGTATCCTTCTCCCTAGGAGAGCCTTCGCTGGCAGAAGTGGGGAGATCTTCACCCTTGGAGGGGCGCGGGGACTGGTGGTCATTCCCTTCCGGGAGGGCTCCTCCCAGAGTCTGGTCCTGAGGTGCTGGGCTGCTCAGAGACTCGGTGCCCGTGGCTGCTTCTGCCTCTCCTGCAGCCTCACCTTGCAGAGGGTGGCCCATAGCCTCCAGTGGTATTTTGCCCACACTTGGAGGCTGGCCTGGCTGGTGAGTGGGACTACCCTGCTGAGCTGGGCTTTGGCATGGAGCTGTGTCCTGGAGCCCAGGGTTTGCAAGCGAACTCAGACTACAGGGCTCCAATGAGGACGGGGACAAAGAATCCAGCTCTGCAGATGTGGAAGCATTCTTCCAATTGCTTTTCTTCCTTTTACTCCTTCTACGCCGCTAAACAAAAAAAGAGACACTCATTTTGTTTCTCAGGTTTTCTACACTCTCACCAAAGGTTTCCTCCAATTTCCTTTCAATTTCTGAAGTACATCAAGCATAGCTCAACCCAACCACCTTACAACTGCTAAATCTGCCATTCCTCTCTCTTGGAAAGAAGGAAACTGAGCACGAAGTGAACGGGGGTGGTAAACAGAGTTGAGGGACAAGTGGGGAGCAGTGATGGTCACACACTTTGCTTTGCCCAATCCAAGCTGAGACCCTCATGTGGAATACCTTCCAATGGGAGGGCCTTGTAAATATGGCTTTCAAATGTTAGAAAGTATGCACAGGCCCCAGCATGTCACACTCTTATATGGTATGTATTACATACAAAATAGAGATGGAAAAATGAGCAAAAATCTAAGCTGTTCCTTCCTGCACTTGCACTGGCACATTATGCTTCTGCCTGCAGATCCTCACTCAAAGGCAAGAATCCTCAGCTTCGGAATCAGACAAGCTTGTAGAAGCAGTTGTGTCAGGCCCCTGCGAGGACCCCGAAGGGCTGAATGCCCTGCACGCATGGCAGTCTTGGTCTGCAGCAAAATATTGGTTAGTTCATTAAGTGCCAGTAACCTGTGATCCTCCCTGCTACTGAAGCCCAGTGTGGGCCTAGGGCTTGGCATCTTGCCCCTTGCCTGGGCTGAGTCCTCGGGAGAGGGAGATGGAAGACCTTGGGGTTTATCTGCACATGGGGTGGGACATCTTGTTCTGGGTCAGCTTCCAGATTTTCTCCAAGAAACCTGACCAAACTTCCAGCCCATCTGCTTGAAACAAGCAGCACAACGCACAGGCTGTCCTGAACAGCAATTTCCCAGTTTGACATCAATACCAGTTAACACTGTGGTAGACAGAAGGAAGGTCATTCAAGGCGGTCACGTCCCCAACTTCCAGGGCATATAGCTCTCTGAAGATTTTGCCAACATACTGATGGTGACTCAGCACATCTGGGGGACCTCAGGTCCTGCATTTCCATGCTGCTGCTGCCAGTCCAGGCTTGCTCTGTGAGCACTACAGAGCACTACTCTGTGAGCAGCTCCCCACTCCAGGCACCAGCATCTCCATTAGCTTTCCTGGTGGTCCTGAAGTGCAGCCTCACTGGGAACCACAGATCAGACCAGCAGGAAGCTGTATGCAGACCCCACAGCCCCAAGCCCTTTGTAGATTCTCCTCCTTTTTGAAGGCAAGCCTGGCTTAAATTAAGTCACTTATGCTGATTTACCAAAAGGAACCTGGAACTCTGTCCTAAGCACAAGGAACAAGAAAGTAAGACGAGTTCCTCCCCCATAAAACTGATGGTTTACTGGGAGGGAAATACTAAAAACAGATGGTTTTAGCTTGTTAGTAGGACTTGGAGGCTTCCAGTGAAGAGCCTTAGGTTGAGTCTGAAAGTCACTGAGAGCCAAGAAGGCAGTTTCATCAATCGGCAAAGATTACTGGGACCTGTGCATCTGAACGTGGCCAAAGCCACAGGCTACCTTCTAGGTTGACCTGCCCACCCAGAATCAAAGCTTATGCTTGGCTAGAAGACCCCCACATGACTGGCCCTCACTGTCTGTCAACCTCATCCCACCCTAGTCCTGCCCTGGCCTCCAGCATCAATCCTGTTTTTTACTATCTGTACTTTAGGATGTTTCCGCATTTGGGGGGACCTTGCTCATCCTGGAGAGACTGCCCCTCCCAGGGTTACTAATATCCAGAGAGAGGTGGTGACTCACCACAAGCACATCTTTCATCTGCCAATCAACCAACACGGAGCTCCTCCCTCCACCCACCGCCCACCTCCTTTATCAAATGCTCCCTCCAAGCCAACATTTCCAGCTCCAAATCACCACAGGGCCAAGTACAGGACATCTAGACCACCCTACTGCCCAGAGTCCACCAAGAGCATTCACACTAGCCAATTCTGGACCTCCTCAAACCTGCCTGCCCTGCCCCACAAGGCAGACTCGGGGCCACTTTCTCCCCTTGCTCCTTCCATCTCCCCTGGCCCTTCAGACATGGCCCCTCCTCCTGGGAGCGGTGAGGAACACTGACCTCCCGTGTCGTCACTAGGCACAGAATCAGGGCGCCTCAGGCTTCCGGTTCCCTCTTTCGCCAGACACCTCCTTCACTTTCACTTTGTCCTCTGCCCCATACCCCTCGACAGACCACCTGGACACTCCCAGTAGGAAAGCAAACGTATGTAGCCCTGCACTTGCTTTATTTTGTTACTCAGAAACCGTCAACTAAACAAGCCTTTTATTTTCCCTTCCCTCCAGGAAGGAAGTCTCTGTTTTCTTCACTGCTGCATCCACAGTGTCTAGAACAATCCCTGAGCCCCGGTAGGTGCCTAAATGCTTCTATCTCATTATATAAATTCCTCAGAAAGTCCCGTGTCTCCCTGCAGCACCAACATGTTCCCTCTTCCCCTGGGATGCACCCACCTCAGTCAGGCCTGTGATCAGACCCAAAAACAAAGGGTTTTGTATCAAACTATTAGTGAAATGAAAATCAAAACTACAATGAGACATCACCTCACACCAGCCAGAATTGTCATTTAAAAAAAAAAAAATCCGCAAAGAATAAACGCTGGAGATGGGTGGAGAAAGGGAACCCTCCTACACTGTCGGTAGGAATATAAATGGGTACAGTCACTATGGAGAACAGTATTTAGGTTCCTTAAAAAACTAAAAATAGAGCTACCATATGATCCTGCAATCCCACTCCTGGGCATATATCTGGAGAAAAACATGATCCGAAAGGAAAAATGCACCCCAGTGTTTACTGTGGTACTGGTTACAATAGACAAGACATGAAAGCAACCTAATGTCCGTTAACAGAGGAACGGATTAAAAAAAGCTGTGGTACATACATACAGTGGAATATTACTCAGCCATTAAAAAGAATGCAATAATGCCATTCGCAGCAACATGGATGGATCTAAAGAGTGTCATACTAAGTGAAGTAAGTTAGACAGAGAAGGAGAAATATCATGTGTCATCGCTTATATACTGAATCTAAAAAGAAATGATACAAATGAACTTACAAAATGGGAAGAGACTTAGAAAAGGAACTTATGATTGCCAGGGGAAGGGAGACTTAGGGAGTTTGGCATGGTCATGTACGCACTGCTATGTTTAAAGTGGAGAGCCAATAAGGACCTGTTCTATAGCACATGGAACTCCGCTCAATGTTATGTGGCAGCCTGGATGGGAGAGGAGTTTGGGGGAGAATGGATACATGTATATGGATGGCTGAGCTCCTTCAGTATTCACCTGAAACTATTACAACATTGTTAACTGGCTTTACCACAACATAAAATAAAAAGTTCAAAATAAAAAAAAAGAGAGTTTTGGCTTCTGATTTGCAATTTGCCTTTCTTCTGTTTATCTCCCTTTCTCCTTTTTTTTTTTATCCCTATTCGATTGTGCTTTTTATAAGCTGCTACAAAACGCTTAGAATAAGACTCAGATTTCACACAGGCAACTTAGTTCTCTCAATACACATCAATGGGGCCACATGAGTGTTTGGCCCCTCACAGGTCTACAGGCAAGGCACAAGGCTAAACTCTAAACTCTTCCTTGACAAAAGTCAAGCCTATATATACATGTTACATATTTATGTATTCCTCATTACTGTGGTCTGTCACTCTGAACTCATTAGTCCGGAATATGTACACTAAAACTAAACACTACTGATTAGGAATCCAGACCTGGTCACATACTCTGGGTGTGGGCAGTGGATGGGGGTGGTTGGGAGGAGACCCCAATACTTCTGATGATGTCTTTGTTGACGATGGATGGTAGGGGATGCGTATCCACTAAGTAATCCGGCATCTGTGTTATATATACTCTGTAGGGTGGGTGTAATATTTAATTAAAACATTTGTTAAGTGCATAGTTTATTGACTTGGAAGGGATGCTAGAGAACTTTCTGGGGACTGAATGTCCTGTCACTGGATCGGGTAGGGGTGACAAAGCGGTACACACAGCAGAACATCCAGGGGGCTCTACCCTGAAGGCCTATGTATTTCATTCAATACCGATTATACCTCAGTTCAAAGGCTATAGACCAGCTCTAAATGCATACATAAAGGCTACTCCTATTTCTGCCTAGAGAGAATTAGTGAGAAAAAAGTAACAGTTTGCTACTTCTTGCAGGGAAGGTGGGTTAGTCAGAACACATGTCTGATTTTATATTTCATAATGAGGGTCCTCAGAGAGCAGAGAGATCTCAGTTTTGAGGAGGGCAAGGCAGCCCTGTTCACTCCCCTGAATACTGGGTCAGGAGCACATGGAGGGGTGGGGGTGTGTGCTGTGGACCCCGAAAATGCACATATGGCAGGAAGTGGGGGTGACAGGTGAGAACACGGACTAGTAGGAGAGAAAGTCTGTGAAGGTTTTGACAAAGGCTGAAGAGTTGCAGGCTAGGTGGGCCTGCAGCCCTGCCCAAACTCCCAGGGGTCCTCTGCCTCATTCTGCACTGACAGTGATTGGGATAGAGTAGGATAGTTAGTTAGTTTAGGAATCACTCTTGCGGATTAAGAATGTAAAAGGAATTTTTGTAGGCTAATGATTACTCAAGAAAAGAATCCAGTAACCTAGCAACAATCTACACTATCTTGAAGGAAGACCAAGCATCCAAGCATCGGGCACATTCAGGCCACAAGTTCTGATGATTAAAACACAGGACAGTAGATACGGTGTCCGAATCTTGTTACATGAAATCAGGGAGTTAGCGGTCCTTGAAGAGTAGCATTTTGTAGCTAAGATGGGAACACAGGAGAAGGGGGAAAGAAGCTAAGTGAAAGAGGACATTATATGGAAACTTAACCCAGCCCAAGCTCATTCTCCTGGCTGCACTGACAGGTCAGTAAATCAGGAGATGAGTTGTTGGAACAGGGAATAATGATTTTAATCAGAAAGTTAGCAGACTGAGAAGATGGCAGCCTAGCGTATCAAAAAACCATCTTCCCACAG